AAACAGCCATGGGGCCCCTAGATCTTATTCACATTGATCTGATTATAGACTCATCCCACGTGACAGAATACACATGCACATTAGTGCTGGTTGATGATCATAGCAAGTATGTACATGCACAACCACTCTTACAAAAGAGCCACGCATTCACACAACTCAAAAGAATAGTTTCATTCCTAGAGACACAGACAGGCAGAAAGCTAAAAGCAATCTGATCTGATCAAGGAACTGAATGGAAGAGTAACAAAGTGTTAGAATGGTTATTAGAAAAGGGCATAGAGTGGCAGACTACTGTTGGTTACAACAGCAGGCAAAACAGATGAGTAGAACAGATGAACAGGAGCCTGGGTGAAAAGATGCAAACACTGCTGATGCAAAGGAGTTTACCAAAGAGATTTTGGCCACATGCCATACGAGCGGCAGCATTCAAGATCAATCTTACTCCCAATGTTGATGGAGAGTTTCCATACCAGCTCATGTTCAATAGATCACTGGAATGATTCATCCGCCTCATGTGTGTATTCAGATGTCTAGCTTGGGTAAACATTCCAAAAGCCAAACGAAACAACAAGAAGCTGGACCAGTGAGCGGTTGCAGCCATATTCATAGGGTACAGCTTGGAAAGAAAGGGATGGCTATTCTATAGCCCTGATTACACTCCAAACATTTTCTGGAGCAACTCAGCAAGATTCATGGAGACACAGTGTTGGTCAGACTGATCAGAATGGCGACCAATAAGTATTCAACCTCCACCAGTCCCAACTATTGAAGAGGAACTTGATGATCTGGGATACACAGAAGAGAACCTATTTGATGAGAGAGAGCAAGAGCCTTTGGAAGAGTACATAGACATGGAATTAGCTCTCAAGGAGGAAGGGAGAATGATGGAGGAGAGGGAAGAGTATGCACTGGTGCCACCAGAGGATAGAGGCCCATGGCCGAACTGGAAGCTGGCTAGAAACATGCACAACCCGGAGACCTGGGTAAAGAAGAGTTACTTTGGGCTAACGGTAGCCAAGTTCAAGGAGGGAAAGGACAGCCTGAACCCAACTGTTCATGAGGTGCTGGCTGGAAAGGATAGGAGGTTCTGGGAAGAGGCAATGCACAAGGAATTGGATGGACTTGAAGCGATGGGAACATGGGAAACAACTGTTCTACCGCAAGGTATGAATGCAGTTGACACACAATGGGTGCTCAAGATCAAGACTGATGCAGACCTGGTCCCCACAAAATACAAGGCAAGATTGGTAGCGTGGGGGTTTACCCAGAGAGAGGGCCTAGACTACACAGAGATATTCGCACCAGTGGCACCTATCCAGGTGATAAGGGGAGTGCTGGCTGTCATGGGCCTGAGTGCGCAGAACGAGGAAGGACCGAAGTTCATATGAAGGTAGCGCAGGAATCGTGGAATCAGGTAGATCGTCAGAGCTGTGACAGAGTTCACCGAGATCAGCAGTAGAATCAGCTCTATGGCAGATCACAGCGAAATCGGCACAAGCATCATCAATATCATGAATCCCACCGGAATCTGTGACAAGCGAGACCTTGTGGCAGATTCCATGAAGATCGGTAGCAAGGTTGTCCATACGATGATTCACATGCAAGAGGGACCAAGCTCAAGTGACATGCAGATGGTTACCACTCAGGGGCCCACAAGACAGGAGTAAAAGAGAACTGTCACCAGTCAGAAGTAGGAGAGCTGTGTAAAGGACACTGGCGAAAGGGACATGAAGAAGAGGAGCAGGGTCGATGAAGTTGACACAGCTCAGGTAAGACAGGAGGGACAAGGTCTGATACAGAGGAGATGCCTCCTTGGAGACACCTGTACAATACTTGACAAAGAGGGTACTCTCTGGAGAGAGAGAGCAGGAGCAGTGTCGCGGGTGATGCTGTGAAGAGATATATAGGCATACCTTCTTGTCATGAATGGTCGAGTGGATCCATCCACTCTACACTCATCAAGCAACTAGTATTACTTCAAAGCAATAAGTAAACGTTAGTTCACAGTCAGCATAAGTAGTAATCAACAGATTGCTCCTCATCGAACTGCATGTGTTGTATCACCGTTCCCTGATGTCCAAAGGTGGTTCATAGCAACCAGCAGTCCGGGTAATCATAGAACCGAAGGCAGACGTCCACTGTGGCCTGGGGATCACTTCAAGCGTTAGTTGACACACTGGACACTCGTGTCGGCGTCAACATTCCATACCCACACCAGACCATTGGTGTCAGTGTCAAGCTCACTTAGAGTCATATTATAGGTTGATTGTGCCGAGCTACCTCTGGACAGAGTGTCCACAGCGGTTAGTCGAAATCTGTCATAACAATAATACAGCTACAGATTCTAACGAGAAAGGTGACAGAGAAGGCTCTGTCGCATATTTCACTAAGAATCGAAATACCATTAGCACTGTCGCATAATTCAACAGAATCGGTGATAGTACTGATACTACTACTGATATCAGGTTTCAGGCGCGCGACCGCTGACACTGGCCATCGCAGCCATATGGGACTGGGAGGTTGACTCCATCGACATTAAACAGGCTTACCTTAATTCAAATCTGCATCATGATGTCTACTTAAAGCCACCGGTAGGAACCAGGGTACCTCCAGGAAAGGTATTTAAACTCATAAAGGGGCTTTACGGTCTGAAGCAATCAGGTCAGGAATGGAACATCGAACTGGACACCCACCTCCGAAATATCAGCTTCCACTGCATGCCAAGCACCCCATGCCTTTACTCAAGGGGAGCAGGCAACCAACTCATGGTCATCACAGCATATGTGGATGATATGCTGATCGCATCACCTAGCAGAAGGGAGGTCGACCGCACTAAAGCTGAGATCATGGACAAGTGGGGAACAGAAGATAATGGACCTGTAAGAGAATTCCTAGGAATCAAAATCACCCAAGAGAGAAGACAAGGCAAGATCACACTCAACCTGACTGCATACATCAAAGGCATGGTAAATAAGTGGCTAGAAAGAACAAGCAAATGAACCTGGATCCCAATGCAGAGTGTAGCAGGAACTGCTGGAGGAAATAAATGCAACCCAGACCAGTCCAAACAATATCAAGAGCTAGTGGGGCAACTTTTGTGGGTATCCAACACAGTGAGACCAGACATCTCATTTGCAGTAGGAGTCTTAGCATGATACATGTCAGGACCAATCGACAATGCTTGGAGTGCTGCAATGCATTTGTTGAAGTACCTGAATCAGACAAGCGATTACCATTTGAATTTAGGAGGAATGCACAGGAGTCACGCAGACCAACCGGTGGTTACATATACTGATGCAAATTGGGCTTCTGACCCCACAAATGGACATAGGAGTACATCTGGAGCAATCACATATGTGTATGGATGCCTGGTTAGTTGGAAATCACATGTACAAAAATGCATGGCACTATTGGCAGTAGAAGTGGAACTGGTTGCAGCCTCCAAAGCAGCAAGAGAAGCACTCTTCTTCTCATACCTACTTAGGGATCTAGGAGTATTCAGAGTCAAGCTGACACTATGCACTGATAGCCAAGGGTGTATACAAGTCAGTAAGGACCCAGCCAAACACTGGAAACTCAAACACATCAATACCAGATACTATTTCATTAGGGATCATGTGCAAGATGGTGACATATCGATCGAGTTCAACGGAACAGCCAACAATGTGGCCGACATACTCACAAAGCCACTCAAGGGACTCAACATGACAAGGATATCAAGAATTATAGGGTTGGATATGCCATTGAGGGGGGGAGTTGAAGAGGCACCAGCATCGCTAATGCATGATATAGTAAATGGGAGCTCACAGGATTGGGGAATTGGGAGGGCATCAGGTGATGAGGAGGACAGGCAAGATGAGAGGCTGGTGGGAGCTAATGCAGCCTATGCATGAGGATTGACACCATGGTATGGAGGGGACATGTTGATATGACAATGCTTATGAAAGAAGATACATGGCACATGGGCATGACTCGACAAAGTGAGCAGTGTCAGGTGCAGAGAATATGTATATATGTTCTTAGCTTAGTCACTACCTCCTTACACAATTTAAGTCTTCTCAATTAGACACACCTGACTGTAAAGGAGTGCCTGACTGTGGCCTCTAGAGCGGTGTACCTAATTCAACTGTGTGTGTGTGTGTGTGTGTGTGTGTGTGTGTGTTAGATTAATCCGCCTTTCTTTTACTGCAATTTCGGCGGACGGCAACTCAGCCCTCTTGACTCGACTCGACTCGACTCGACTCAACTCAACTCAACTCGGCCCCTTTGCACTTGCGATTTATTTCTCTCTCCGCTCAGCCGCTGTCGATCCACATCAGAATCACGCGCTCATCCTCACAACGACCATCGCTTTCATCTTGGCTCATAGCTTCCCTCTTCTCCTCTTTCATCATCAAGACCCAATCGCAACAACGTTGCATTGCGCTGCAGCTCCCTTCGTGGCCAGCATCATCCCTTCTTGAGCCTCAATATCACCGATAGCCGTGCTCACGACCTAGCCTGCTTCAGCTTAACGCTGCTCGGACGACTCCTATCACTTTGCTCGACTAATCCAACTTGACCAACCCAGCCTCGAGCGGCTCTCTCTCTCTCTCACGAACAGCGCTAACGGTACCATATCATCGCACCCGGTGCAAGCATCCCTTGTTGTTGATCCCTTGTCGTTGATCAACTCCAGGCTCATCCGTCACCTCACCTTAACCAGCCTCATCCTTCATCTCACCTTAACCAGCCTCATCCGTCATCTCACCTCAACCAGCCTCATCCACTCTGCATACAGTCTTAACTGCTGGCACCGACTCTCTTCCGCGCTGACTGGTAGCTGGATAATTGTTCAAGGACTGGCTCAGCTTTGGGCACCTATCCGCTTCCTCACTTTGCTTCTCTGAGCCTGTCGGATGATCGAACGAGCATCACTTTAGACGACGCCTGTCCGCTCGGCGTCGCAACGCATTCAGTCTCAAGGCCCACAGCTCAGCTCAACCTCAGCCTTCACAACAATGGGTCAACAACAGACAAAAGAGGCCGGCTCGGCCGGTGCTTCCGCGTCCCACTCGAGTCACGCACGTTCCTCTTCTCGAGCCATGACACCATCCACCTCCGCCAACCTAGTCGCCTCACTCTCCGCAACCAGTCTAGGTCCTCCCTCCCCACCACCTCTTCCCGCTCATCTCGGCGACTCGGTCAAAGTCGACCAAGGCGGTCTCATCCCACATGGCCTCTACACAGCTCCCAAAGACTACGATCAGCACTTTGTCCGTCAAAGCATTCTCGATCGTCGACTGGCTCCCTTCTGCAAAGGTAGTGACGACGAGGTGGGATATGCAGACAAAAAATTCAACAGCGAATGTCCCATTTGCTTCCTCTACTACCCTTCTCCACTCAATTTTTCACGATGCTGTCATCAGCCCATCTGCTCCGAATGCTTCGTTCAGATGAAACGTGCTGATCCGACTTCCACCAATCCACCCTCTTCGCAGCCTCGCTCCTGTCCCTTTTGCGTCGAGCCTGAGTTCGGTGTCACGTATGTGCCGCCAGAGGCGCTACAGCGAGGTCGACGATCCAGTGGAAGCGCAAGTGACAGTCCCAATGACGCAACGGATGCCGCCAACTTTGCCGAGATGGCCATTGGCACAGGCGGTGTAGGCCTACAGGGCGCAGGCAAGAAGAAGATTCTCCCAGCCGATCATCCGAATGTGATCACCGTCGATCAGGTCAGACCGGATTGGCATATTAAGCTGGCTCAGGCCGAAGCTGCTGTAGCTCGAAGGGCAAACCGAAGGGTTATTATGCGACAAGTGGGCGATCGACTCATTCCTATCGGCATTTCTTCCTCGCGGATGGGTGCTGATCTCGCTGCTGCTGCCGAGAGCGGTAGGATCAATTTGAACGGGCCTGGTGGCAGTATTATCTTGAATGAAGGCCAGAACTGGCCAGCCAGCACGGCAGGTGTCACCACTTCGCGTCGACGCAGTAGTCGACCTAGTCGTGGTGCTGGTGAAGGCTTACCTGAGTTTGCGCGCCTGATCCGGATGGGTGCAGGCGAGGATATAGAAGAGGCCATGGTGATCGAAGCGATGCGTTTGAGTTTGCTCGAGCACGAGGAGCAGCAACGTAAGCAGGCGGAGGAGGAAAAAAAGAAGAAGCCCCAAGTAGCAACTGCAGCAGCTTCGGCAACATCTCCTGAGTCGACGTCTAACCATCTTGCATCAAGCAGCACACCACCACCACCACCAGCACAGTCAGTCTTGCAAGGAACCGAAGCATCGCAGCCAAGCACAGCCCCTGCTTCTTCTTATTCGGCACCAATCCTTCCACCTCCTGCAACCTCTGTCGACCCCGCATCCCTCGGCCTCTCCCAGACAACAATGGACGAGCTCCGTGAGCTTATCGACGGTGGTCCCTCCCCGCCAGCTTCCAACGCTCCATCCTCTTCCTCCCCCTCTCCCACTGGAGGTGCAGGCGGAGAGTCGAGCAGACGACTCCGATCATCCATCCCAGCACCTGCACCCGTACCCGTCCCCGAACCCGTAGCAAGGATGGCTCCAGTCCTAGCAGAAACGCACAGCATCAGCACTCAGCATAACTACCCTTCTCCTCCCCCTGAAACAGATTCGAATGTGGGCAAGCACCAGGGAGCGACGACATACTCGACTACAACGGCCAGCTATGATCCTAATTTGAGCGCACCGGGCAGTCCGAGCAATTCCGAGTTCCCTGCTGCTGCAGGTGTGGCGAGGAGTAGGATTGTCAACCCGAACAACCCGTTCCGGAAGAGTATGGGAGAGCACCCTTCCTAAGCCCTTTTTCGTCTGCAAGTGGAAGTAAACAATTTTTGGCATCGTCTTCATCTCTCTTTTTCTTGTCACCGTAGCTCTCGTTCTTTGTCTGCCACTTGACAGCTCGCATCCGTTGCAGTCCGCAATGATGATCTCTTTTTGCATTGCAATCTTCATATCCGGAAATGGCTGCTCGTGGGACAAAGTCGGGGTCTGTGATCCATAGGCTAAGCCCTCAGAGTGAAGGTGAGGCTGAGGGAGGAGGCTGTTAGGCCGGCCAAAAAAAAAAAAAAAAAAAAAAAAAAAAAATGGTCGAAAAATTTGACTGGGTCGCCGGCCTTTCGACAATCCGAAACCACATCCGACAAGTGACACAGGTGCAGTCGAGATCTTGCCTTGACACCATCTTCCTTCTCGCACGTCCTTCATCGTCACTTTTCTCTTCGCTCGCCTTCTTTCGAAGCAATCATCCTCACCTCTGTCGCCATCACATCCACTGTCGCAGTCACAATACCAGCCTGCACTCACAACCAATTCATCGCAAGCACTCTAGCAGCAAAGCAACGAAACTACCACCCGAGCCCGGATTGCCAACATGGACGTCTTAACAAGCATAGACCCGACTTCATCCCAATCTTCTTCCACAGACCCATTTCACCCATCATTCTTCGAGCTTGCTGCACAATCTCAACTCTCAGACCTTATCAAACCAGCCGTTCGCTATGTTCTCGCTGTGCTTGCCCAGCGTAATCCACGATACCTTCTACGTATTGTAAATAGGTTCGATGAGTTATATGCGTTCTTAATGGCTGCTATCGAAACTCATTACCTTCGCCTATGGGGGGCATCATTCAGCGAGAACTTTTACGGCCTGCGGAGGAGGAGAAGGCCAGCTTTGAATACAAGTATTCGTGCAGGAGGTGTAACTAGTGTTAGTGTTGCAAAGAATGAAAGGCTAGGGAAGAAAGAGATTAGGTTGAGTTTGTTGTTTTTGGTTGCCTTGCCCTACTTGCGGGCTAAGTTGGAGGATCTTTGGGAGAGAAATGGTGGAGGCTTGAGCAATACAGCTAACCTCTTTGGTGAGCAAAGAGAGGCGGGACGCAGTCGGTTTAGCGAATCATCAAACCTCCCCTTACGACAGAGGCTGAAAAAGATGCTAGTGGAAGGCTTCAAAACTTCCTATCCCTACCTGAAAACGTTATACCAACTCTGGTTACTCACCTATAATGTCCGATATCTATTTGACAAAACACCATACTGGCGCCCCTGGTTCTCTTTAATGAAAATAGACGTACGGAGGGTTGGACCGAACGATGGACCTCGAAAGCGATTCTTACCGAGAAAAGGTCTGCCGAGTTTGCTCAAGCAACCGGCAAGATTCTTCAGTACAATCTTACGTTTAGCACCAGGGGTAGTGTTCGAAGCCTTAAAATTCGGCTTACCGGCCAGCATATTCTTCTTCAAGTTCTTAGAATGGTGGTATGGTGCAGACAATCCTCGACGACGCCGAAATAATACTTCCTCAACATCCGGTGCAACTAACGAAGAAGGTTCAGCAACAGCCCTCGACCCTCCAGCACCTTTACTTGCAGACTTACAGAAGGGTGTGTTGGGAAAGAGAGTTCCAGAAAGCGTAAGGGAAGGTCTACCGCAGTACAAGTTGCCTCAAATCTTCGCACTACCTGGCGATCTTCTGGATAGGATAGAATCAGCGCAGGCTGACGAGAAGCAGTCAAGGCCAAAATTGATCAAGACTAAGGAAGGCAAGGGGGAGGAAAGGAAGCTGATCCATAACTCATGCCCATTGTGCGGAGCAATGCCGATCAACAATCCCGCCGCACTACCAAGTGGCTATGTTTTCTGCTATACTTGCGCTTTCAATTTTGTCGAGGAGCATGGTAAGTGTCCTATCACATCACTGCCTGTACCAGAACGCAAGGATGCTTTGCGAAAAGTGCTTGGCTAGAACCACTTGACACGCAATCTCATCAATCACCAAAATCACTCTGTACTGGGACAAAAGACATTCCATTGCTTGTGAAGGAGCTTACAAGCGCTCGAAAAAGTACACGTAAGCCTGACCACTCAACCCTTTAACGCCTACATCTTCTTCTCCCTCCTTACTAGCAGAGGTAAAAGGAGCCTTGACAACCTTCTCGTCGTTAAAGAAGACCCACTCCTGACCTTGTTTGACATGTGCAACGTAGTGTCCACTATGCACGCTGGGTCCTTTGTGACTGATGAAGCTCTTGACTCCATATCTAGCCGGAAGATCGCTTGAGCCAGGAATGACGTTTGAAGCACTTGAACTCTCCCCCTCTGTCTCCGCAGCAGGAGCAGCGTCTTCACCAGGGTCATCGGCATTCTCAAACAGCCAAGCAACCGCCACCTCCGCATTGTTGGAGTTCAGACCGAGTGCTTTTCGAGCTTGAGCTTTAGTAAAGCCCATTTCTTCCAACATGCTCGTGTCTGGTCCCGCACCAGCAGCAACAGAGGCAGAGGTGGAGGTGGTGGTGCAAGTGAAATCGATAGGATCATCAATATCCGCATCTTCCATGTGAGCAAATAACCAGTTCATTGCACTCTCCGCATCTCCCATTCCTGTAGCCAGCATTGCTTTCTTACACCTGATCTCGGGGAAACCCATACTTGTCAGCTGAGACACTACTCCTGCGTCCCATTCCGGTTCTCCGCTTCCACCACTGCCTCCGCTGGGGTTGGAAGGAGCGGATTCGTCTTCAGGCAGCTCTTCTTCGTGAGGCTCTTTACCACGACCAAGATACTGGTCAAGATCGAGCGGGGTATCAAGCGGGACGATGATAGGAACGGCAACCTTTTGAGGCACCCAGTTGATCAGTTGGAATCGACCAACTTGAAGCGCAAGAACTTGAGGCAAGGTGGTGAATAGAGTGCGCTTGGTGGCGGTGACCTTCTTCTTGCAAGAGGGACAGTTGTATTCGAGCTCTTCAGGCGCTGTGAAGATGTCGAGACATTCGACTAAGCTGACTGGCTCGTACTCCGCCGCGGTTTGGTTGCTTGTTGCAGTGCTGGTAGCAATAGCTTCAGTCGCTGCATGGACACCTTCAGCCGGCTGCTTCCCATTCGCCTTCTCCTCCTGAACCACTTTCTGTCGAATAGGAACAGGCAAACTCAACCCAGCATCCTGCTTCTCAACACTGTAACGCACTTTATGACACTCGCTACACTCCAACCTCTGTTCTAACCCGAATCCGAACACGTTTGTCGGATCTTCCGTCGGAGCAGCAGACCCCGCTGCCACAACCTTGCGATTCTCCTTCTGCACAATTCCAACAAGATACTTGAAGAACTCGTCGGCGTCTTGTTGTCGCATCGTCGAGAACTCTTCGTGGCCCTTCCCAACGAGTGCTTTGAACATGTTGGGTCGCACGCCTTGCTGGAATAATGGCTGTTGCTGTTCTTGTTGCTCCTCGCCTCCCTGTGCTGGATTCCAGCCAGCGTTGCCACCTTGCTCTGGCTCCCGCGAATGAGAGTAGCGACCAGATAGTAAGCCATCGGCGATCTTGGTGATTTGACATTCGAAGCACGTCGCTGGTTGATTACTGCACGCCAGAGTATGCGGGCGGTATGCATCTCCATACCTCTTCTGGAAGGCAGGCAACGAGAACAAGCTCTGCAGAACCGAAGACATGTAGCAGCTGTTGCCCAGGTTGCGAATACCAGTAAGTCCAGGCCCAAAGATAGGCTCGAGCATCTTTCCATCCTCGCTTGTCATGTTAAAGTCGAACTTGAGGTTCTGCTCGATCTGGAGCTCAGTCATGCTCTTCTCGGTTTTGGAGAGGTCCATCACGTTGATGCCAAAGTGCGAAAGGTGCTGGGCCAAGTTGGGGTCGATACGAGCGTCGTTGCATGCGTAGCAGTAGATGTCAGCACTGCCTTCTGCCGTGATAGTGCCCTGCTTGACGGAGACAGGGTGGCCAGTCTCTTCGAAATGGGTGAGACCGTGACTGTTGCCTCCCACGCCGCCAAACTGAGCTCGACCGCATCCAAGATGTCCGCAGGTGACACAGAGCCAGAGGTTGGAAGTGAGGTCACATTTTCCGCAAGAAGCGAGGTTGGAAAGCTCAAGCTTGGTTGGCTCGCCTGGCTGGACGAGCTCGCGGGTGTGGTGGCATAGTACGATCTCTTCTTCCCATGCTTTGACCTCGCTCTGCTGTGCGGAAGACATGGCAGTCATGACTCCACGAATGACCTCATCGAGCTTGTCAGTGATTGGAAGGTCCTTGCCTGGTCCACTTGGATCGCAAGCAAGACACCGTGGCACAGTGTGGTAGTCGTACTTGTCGGTGTCGCTTTCAGCAGCGATGGCAAGCTTGGTAGGCTTGGAAGGCGCTTCGCCTTCTGCTTTGGGAGGCGTCAGGCGGCGTGTGCGACGGACGTTGAGGACAAGCGCATGTTGCGTCTTTTCGAAGTGAAGACGTGAATGCTCACGATCCTTGTTGCCCGTGCAGCCGCCGTTAAAGCAAAGCAGACAGACGTCAATGCCGTTTGATTCATCCTGGCCGTCGAAGCAGAGCGTGCACTCCTCCTTGTGAACGTGTTGCGACGGTCGAGGGGATGCAAGCGCCATGAAGGCGGCGCTTAGATGCGGGCAGGCCATATCGGTAGAGTCTGTGTGGATGGTGCGGTCGCCTTGTCTTGATGAAGGGTCGGTATCGCGATCAGTCCGGGATGATGACCTCGACCGTTTCATCAGCGATGCTCTTTGTCGATCAAGGTGAGTTCAGAGCAGCGCAAGTACTCTGTTGTGCTCGAACAGATATGTTTTGCGGGACTGTGGTAGTGAAAGGATGATGGTGTGAAGAAGGTCGGGAGATGGAAGAACTGAGCTCTGTCATGCTCAGAAATTTGTGCTGAGCTGCACCGTGCACACACAGCCAGGTGGAGGCTTGCTCACACATTGCTCAGCTGCCTCAGAAATTCTCGCACGCGACATCAGCAGTTGAAATTGTTGAAAAGTGAAGACGTTTGGTCCCGATAACTGGCGATCGGGGACAGTCTAAGTACGATGTCACTGCTGCCCTAAGACAGAAACATGTATACTCAATTGACTGCAGAACGTGGTGAGAGCCTAGTGCTCTCAGCTTGATATAAATACATCGTCGTGGTACATGCCGAATGTGGGAGCTGTTGTACTTAATGATCTAGCCTGACAACGAGCGGGACTGTGTTGTACCCGATCTCTGGTGAGATCGGTCAACTAACCGGATCGGCTCTGCCTGATCTCCGATCAGATCGGCTCTGCGTCACCTTTCAGCGTCTCACTGGATCGTAATCTTCAGCAGAAATGAGCCGTTGTCATGTCAACCTTTATGCATTTCACATACCTGAGTCAGCTGATGAATAAGCGGCCTTCGCTCTCACGAGCTTTGCCCTGTTGGCATTCTGGATAAACTCTGGAAAAATTTCGACGTATCTGCAACTTCAGCAATCCGCAAAGCTTTCAGCGACGTCCTCACGAATGACATGATACTACTGTTGCCTCTTGGTCGACATCACAAACACAGTATGCATGGTATAGCTAGATTAACCCGGACAAAAATATAGAAACTAAAAGTACATAGGAGCGAGATGAAAGCAGAGCCATTGGCGTTTAATCATAGGTAGTGCGATCGCGCAGACGCATTTGACGCAGTCCACCACGCCAGAACCAGCTGGAATCCTCAGCATCTTGATCGTCGCTGCCGTCGTCCCTTCTGCTGCTGGCAGCTGCTCGATCGGATGCCTGCGATGTTGACCTGACGTTGCTGCTTCTTGTCGCACCAGTGTCTGCTGTGGCACCTGCGCGCCAGGAAGCTGCAGTGGTAGAGTCGATATCTTCCCACTCGTCGTCTAGAGCGCCAATAGCTGGGCCGCTGTGCTGTTGACGAGCGCCACAAGCCTGTGTAGAGGCCGCGGGTACGCCCCCTGATGAAGAGTTCCTTCCTCGATTGGATAGTGTGCCTGCTGCTGGCGATGTTGGCGAAACGGCTCTTCGCCCTGAGCTCTGACTCTCGGATGAGCCTCGCACCGAGAGCGAATCGTCGTCGTCGCTGTCCTCATCCTCATTGATGCGGCTACCTCGTCGTGCACTTTGCGTGAGCGAGTTGCGAGCATTTGTGGAGCCTCGACGTTGCTGTGACGCGGCTGTGCCATCTATACTTTGGCTTCTTGGCTCGTGAGCCGCACGCAGAGAGGAAGTTGTTGAGATCGTCTTAGTGTCGCGCGTAGGTCTTGTACCTAGCGACACAGAGCGACTGGGTGTAGGTGAGAGCTCAGGCATCGCGGCCATGTCTGAATTGCTGTCCATTCCTGTTCTCGTTGAGCCAGGACGGTCAAACATCATGTGACGGAGACCAGGTCCTGAGACGCGAGAAGAGTTCAACACTTGCTCGCGCAACGCCGACTGCTCGTGTGCTGCACGCCGAGCCGCTGCCATATGCGCCAAGCGAAGTCGGCGGAAACGAGCCTTGATGAAGTTGGGTTGGTGGTCCATAAAGCGTTGTGCAGCTGTCGACATCCATCCAGGAGCAGATGATGCCGTTGGATTGGTGTCGCTCGAGCCGGAGCCTGTTCCTGCGGTAGTTCTGCCGTCATCGATTGCCGCTTCGGGATCGATGTCTCCCTCGTCACCATCTCCTGCACGAGCACAATGCACTGCAACGCCAGTGAGGGCATTGCCATCAGCAACGGCATTCTCGTCCTGCGAGCCTCTTCTGGAGGCCCCGGTAGCAACGCGAATCTGGTTGAGCTCGATCTCGTCGTTGGTCGAGCCACTGTTGGCGCGCGCGGAATCGCCGAGGGCATCGCTCTCGTCACCCGCAGCGTTCTGGCGGCGGTTGTTGCGACGTGTGAGCGTGTTGGAGGCGGTGGGCTCACCAACAAGTCGGTCCTTGATGCGACGGAAGCCATTGAGACCCGGAATAGAGCTGGAGTCGTGTTGCGAGCTGTGAGCTTCGTCGTTGTTGTTGACATCGGTGGCCTCGAGTGCGGCAATCTTTTGTTTTTGCTTTTCGACCTTACGACGCCGACGCTCTTCACGTTTACGCTTGCGTTCGAGACGCTCTTGACGATCCTCAACTTCACCGATACCCATTCCACTGCTGACCCACCACCAAAATCCAAGCCAACTCTGCCAGATTGTGAGGGTCCAGCATACGTTGGGTAGCCACCAGAGACGATCATACTTGATCTCTGTGAAGCTGATAGCAGTGTTGATGAGGGCAAGACCGACGGAGCCACCTCCGAAAGCCGCTGTACCACCACCTGCACGCCAGGCACGTCTTCGGTTGACGAGAAGACCCCAGATGAGAAGAGCGCTGGTGTAGAGTAGTGTCAAGGTACTGTTGCAGATGTTTCGAATGGCATCACCAAGGTCGTTGGTCTTTGCATCGCTGTCGTCCGCCAAGCCAGTGAATTCCATGCCTGAGTTGATGATGGCCATGGGACCCAGCATCCAGAAAATGAGACGTGCCTCGAGAGCGGATGGGAAGAGGAGTGTGAGGAATTGAATGTGAGTGATGTGAATGAGAGCAGCGGTAATGGCGCGCATGAGAAGGAAGAAGACTTCTTGCACCTTGGTCCAAGAATCATCGCCAGGTGGGAGTTGTACGCCGATGTAAGGGAACATGAACGGGTATCGCTGCGAATCATCCTCAAGCTTATCCAGAATAATATGGAGCGTAACGCTGAGACTGATGAGGAGCATAAGAGAGCTGGAAAGTTGAAGGTAGAAGTTCTTGCGACTGAGTGGGAAATGATATTGGACGGTGAAGAGGAGGTGAATGATAAGGACCGAAATGAGCGCAATGTTGATACCATCGACGACAATCTGTGCTGGCATGCTAAAGGCAAAGTCGGGCATGAGAGCGAGAAGAGGGTCGCTGCCCATCGTAGGCGAAGGCTGACCTTCGATGCTGACGGCAGCAGTAGGTAAATCGGTGTAGGTTCGTGTGGCGGCTGTGTTGGTGTTGGACGAAAGCTGGCGGCGGAAGAGTTGCTGCTGCTGTACTGCATCATCACGGCGAATGGGTATCTGATTGCGTTGTGCCAATGGTGTAGCCTGTATGGTTGCGGTCAGACTGATGAGCATAAAGACCAATATGCTGACGAGCAAGGCCAGGCGCCCGCTTGAAAGGTTTGGACGCCTCATGGTGCCGGTAATGATTGAGATGAGAATGCGAGGTGAGCACCAGCGAGCAAGTCTATGCTGGAGTAAGAGCCATGGTATGCGTGTAGGCCGTGGTAGGCGAAGAACCTTAGCCGATGCGATAGAGAGTGACGGTGGTGACAAGTGAGTTAAAGCAAAAGAGGCCGAGATGAGGTTATGGTGGCGCCAAGAGACAGAGCCAAGAGTGAGAGTGTGTGCAACCTGCCTAATTTGCGAGTGTCTCTCTCTCCGCCGCTGGATGCTGCGTTGACCCTTTCTCAACTGAAATTGCACTCGAAACGCTCCGCACGATCCGCCTCTGCTGTTTATTGGATATTGTGTGTTGTGAAGGCTTAACAATTTGGAGGAGAGGAAACTCGGCGAGCGCGTCGGATTCCAAGAGGCTCAGTTTTGGCCAAGACTGGCTGGAGTTGGAGGGAAACAAACCTTTCTTGACGAAGCCGAGAGGGGGATTATGTCAGCTTCGGTCAAGTCGAAAATGAAATATGAAAAGCAACCAAATCCAACTCGAGTTTCGAAAAAGGGAGAAAAAGAAATCAAATTTTCTCGGATCGTGGGAATCGGAGGGACTGCAATTGCGCACGTTGGCCGCATTTTCTCACTCTTCTCAGCCTTGAGCCTTGAGCCTTGGATTCAGCGGATGGCCCGCTCCCTCTGTCCTTCTGCCTCTTCCAGTGCGTTTGAGGCGCCATCAGCCCTTTCTCTCTCTCTCTCTCTCTCTCTCTCTCTCTCTCTCTCTCTCTCTCTCTCTCTCTCTATCTATATATATCTTTGCGTGTGTGTGTGGTGGCATCGCGTGTTCCCGACTCCCGCGTCTCCGACATACCACCATCTTTTGGCTTCATCTTTCCTTCTCTTCTTCCCTCTCTCTCTCTCGCTCACAACAGCTTCGCCGCTCGCTGCCATCCAACCTTTACACTTGGCTGCTATACTATACAACTCGTTTCGATTCTGGCTCACTCTTTGTCACACATTCGCTGGTATCACTATCCTTTCGTTCGGACTTCCAAGCAGGCGTCAACTTGTCTCCATACATACCCTCACCTCCTACCGAATCGGTAGCCCAATTTGATACTTCTCTCGTCTTTTGTCGCTGAGAATCGAAGCAAAGCCGCTCACAATCATGCAAGGCAACCACGAACAACACCACCCGTCCGCGCCTGCCGCCTACGATGATGGCTCCAACCAGCCCGATTCTCCTATGAAGCAGGATCGAGAGGAACTCGACCATACTCAGCAATCTTCTGCTTACCAGCCACACCCCTCCTACGGCTCCAACATGAATTTCAGCACTCCCGTTCGTTCCTCTCATGCAGAGGCACAGGCTGCTCTTGAAGCTGTTGCGGCTGCTGCCAGCGCCGGCAAGATCCAAATGACACCTCCTCATTCATCTTCTTCCTCCAGCTCAGCAAACTTCATGACCACTCCTGTCAGTGCCGCCGCTGCCGCCGCCGCTGCCGCTGCTGCTGCTGCTGCTGCTGCTGCTGCTTCTGCTGCAGAGGCTTCGGGTAAAATTTCCCCCGGAGGCCCTGCCTCCCCCTTCGGTACCCATCTGGGAAGGAACAAGGCATGCCAGAGCTGTCGTGCTCGTAAACTCAAGTGTGACGGTCAGAAGCCCGTTTGCGGCCAGTGTGCCAAAGGCTGGCAGATCAAGTTCCGCATGGCTCAGAACAAGGCTAAGAACAAGAAAAAGGCACAGGACCCCACCGTCCGTGCTGAGCTTGAGAGCCTTCCTGAGACAATGCCTCCATGTGTCTACCTGCCTATCACACAGCGAACATCCAGCCGCTCAGCTCGTCCTTCGCTATCTGGACAAGACCCAGACAGCTCTGTTGCACCCGATACCCCTCAAGCCTCAACCAACGCTCCCCCTCCGCCAATGGATGGCTCACCCATGCCTGCGGCTGCGAAGAAGCGCAAACGTGCTGATGATAGCAACAACGAACAAATCATTCAGATGCAGCAAGAGATCGATCAGCTCAAGCAACGTCTTGCTCAATTCAACGGAATGTTCAACGGACCGACTCTCGATCCACAGCAGCAGCAGCAAGGTGGCAACCGATCTGGACGTCACCCGTCCAAAGACGAGCTCGCCATCGCCCACATGCTTGCTACCAGCATGCCATCTGGCGAAGGTCCCTCCAATGGTCAAGGTCTGCCCATGAGCTCCTTTGACTACCAGCAAGCTGTTGCTGCCGTTGCTGCCAACGGCGGCAACTTTGATGTCTTGGATCCTGCTCTTAGCGGCGCCGCCACGTCTCTGCCTTCCGCCTCAGTCTATCCCCAAACTCATGCTGCTGACGCTCGCACAGATCCTCGTAGCGCAGCCTACAAGCAGGCCAAGGTCACCGCTGTTCAGGATGAGATGGACGAGGACCCTGCCAACCCTTTTCTCAAGCTCATGGTCACGAGCTGGCCTGCGGACTTCCCGCCGCCTAACCTTGTCAACCAGCTGGTGTCCACCTACTTTGGGAAGACCACGGCCCAGTCGCTCTTTCTCCACCCTTCTCGCTTTATGGAAAACTTGTCGCAAGGACCTCAGCATCCTCGCTTCCCCAGTTTGGGTCTGCTCCACGGCATCTTTGCCATGGCTTACCCTCGCATGCTGGGCTCTGAGATCCACTCCGATGCGCATGGTCACAATGTCTTCCAGGGCGCTGCCACTGGTGAAAAGCTTGCCAGTCTCAAAGCCGCCGCCGCTTTCCATGCCAAGAAGGCCAAGTTATTGTGCGAGCAGGCTACCCAGCAGGGCCGATTCGAAGAGGCTGCTCAGATCCAGACTCTTCTCGTTGCGTACTACTACATCAACGACCGCTCTATTGAGGCTTGGTTCGCCTCCGGCAATACCTGCTCACTGCTCAAGGGTATGGAGCTCAACCGACTGTCATCCATGTCCACCTACGCTTCCAACCACGACGGCTGTAAGCCTGCCGCTGGTAGAAAGCAGCCAAAACCCGCCGTCTACCGATCCGTCGTGAAGCGGTCTGCAGCTACTCCTCTCGAACACGAGGAGCGTATCCGTCTCTTCTGGAATTGCTTCTACAGCGATCGCGCTGCTTGCTCTTCCACTCATTGGGCGCAGAGCATCGACGATCTCGACATCAAGACCGAGCTTCCTGGTGCCTTTGATGACTTTATCAACAGCACTTCCGAGCTTGTCTACCGTCGCAGGCAGACCCTCGAATCGCCCGATCTTTTCACTGACGGTCACTACGACCCAGCGATCCTCCATCTCAAGGCGGCAATTCTGCACTCCAAGTGCGTCAGCCACATGTCTAGGCTGCCCATCAAGGCGAGCGTGCAAGATGTGCTCACGTCCGACTTTTACAAGCTCGATGGGTGCATTGTTGCTTTGCTGCAGAGCATTCCTGACAAATGGCGTGATCTTCCCTCCTTCGATCCCACACTTCGTCCTTCCTCGAGCAGCGAGGAGCCTCCATTCCTCAATGATGGTGTCAACTACCGACCGCAGAAGCAGATCAGTCTGATGACCAACCAGCTTGTTCTTGCTCACGCGCTAATCCACGGCAGCTGTATCTCGTTGCATGAGCCTGTTGCACACAGAATGCCTGACTCGGCTCGAAAGGCTGCTCAGGCGGCACAGAGCATCATCCGGATTCTCAAGACTTTCATCTCTGCTCGTGTTGACTTGTTGCAGGTTGGATCGCTGATGACGCTCATGATTGTGCTTGCTGCAAGGGCTGTTACGAGGCAGTACAAGAAGATGCGTCGGGAAGCGGCCCAGACCTATCTTCGTCTGAGAAAGTCGCGCCCTGATCTGGCTCAGAGGGTTGCAGAAGCTGGATTCTCTGGCGTCTTCTCTACCGCCTCATCAGCTTCCTCTTCCACCACCAACAAAGGTCCCAACTCCGGCGCGACGTACAATGCGTTCGGTATGGGACTGGACACTTCAGCCTCCGATGCTATCGAAGAAGAAGACGCAGCAGCCGCAGCAGCCGCAGCAGCTACAGAAACCACTTCCATCTCCAACATCGAATTGAACAACCAGATTTCCACCGCTGGATTCAGCGAATCGCTCGAAGACGAGCTCGAATTTGCTCTGGACATCGACGCCTCCCTTCGAGCTCAAATCGACCCTGATGGTCAGTTGTCACAGTTGAGAGACGATCTCGAGTTGATCTTCTGGAGTCTTATCAAGTATGGCCAGACGTATCAGTTGGGTGTTGGACAAGCGAAGGTGGTGGCGCAACTGTTGGGTAAGGATTATTCGAGTGAGTTGGAGCAAGCGGGTTTGTTCAAGAGGTCGGGAGAGACTAGTGTGGTTGGAAGTGCAAGTGATATGGGTAGTTGGGGTGAGACGAATAGTCCTGTTCAGTATGCGGCTGCTGCTGCTGCTGCCGCTGCGGCGGCAAGCGGGGTTGGGGCGGCAGGAGGTGTGCAGGGGATGGCACAACAGCCGCCTCAAGGTGGTGTGCAGCCACAAGGTATGGGTGCGTACAACGGAGCTGATGCAGGTGCATACGGCGGGAGAGGGATGAGCAATAACGTTGATGCTGGGGCAAATGCTTCGCTCTTCCACTCTACTGAGGGTGGATACAGGTTGGGAAACTTCTGCCTCGATCAACCACAGGTCTCGGATTACTATCCTGCCGGAGCGCAACAGCAACACTAACAGCAGCAGCAACAACAACAACAGCAGCAGCAGCAGCACAAGTAACAAAATGGTCTCTGTCAAGTGCATACGATGGTGATGTAATCTATTCTTAATGTTTTCTATTGCTTCCATCTCGAGTGTTGTGTGTGGTGCTATGATGAGTCGGAAGGGTGCGGTGCCCATAGGACCTCAAGTGGACAAGGGAAACTCAAACAATACATCTGCTTGTTCGGAGCTACATCCCTAACATAATGAATCTCTAACCCTTCCGTCGCTTTTCCACCATCTCTCTCCTGCCATTCTCCGTCCACCTGATCCATGAACTCCTTTTGGCCAGCAACATTCCTGTACTTCTCGTAGTCGGGGTGAGATGTGAGATAGTTTCCGACCTCTTTTTTGGATGAGGAGGGGGAAGAAGATTTGCGGAGACCGGCGAAGGTTTGTGGTGGTGGAAGGATTGGTTTTGATTTGAGGCGGTGAGGGGAGTTGGGGAAGAGGCCAAGGGCGGTATTGGCGCGATTGAGGATGTCGAGAGCTGGTTGGAAAGGGTCTTTGCTGAAGCAGTGGACGTGGATTGTTGGTGTAGCGCTGAGCGAGGAGTCAGTGGATTGAGAGCGGGAGAGGAGCTCGGTTCGGATGGCATCTTCGCCAACGATAGAGGCGAGGTGAGTGTACGCCCCGCGGTAAGCATCGAGGAATTCAAGTGCTGTTGCGGGAAGGTTCATTACGAAGTGATCAATGAGTTTGCGTGGTGGATATCGATCAACCTCTGGTCCCGCTGGAGGGTTGATGGTGAGTTGGGATGCATCCTTTGCAAGCTCTGTTGGAGTGGAAGAAGATTTGGCGGTGTGTCTAGCAGCATGTACAGCCCTAACCTTCTTACTCTTCTCCTTGATCGTCTTTCTGGCAAACTCTCTCAACCTTTCATCCTCCTTCTCCACCTCTTCACCATCAAATCCTTTCGGTCTTCCCCGAAACTCACGCTTCCACGCCTCGACCATGCACCATCTAACGAACTCCCTACCATCCATACACTTCCCCACCAAGCCTCCATCAAATCTCTCCCCCTCCTTCTCCCCCTCCAAGACCTTATTCAAGGTGGCATTCTTCAACAAGCTCTCATGACTGCTCGGGTTCAAATCATTCGCCAATACCCAAGTCCCCCTCTTCGCCGCCGGAACCGCAAATGGTCCCACTCCTGCCATCACATCAGCCAGCACCTGATTTGGTCTGCACTTGTTGATCAGTCTCATATGCTCCGCGTGCAGGCGGGAGTTCCAGTATACGCTGCGGAAATCGAATTCAAACGTGCAATCGGACTCGGAGACGGTAGCGATGTAGTATGGCTCCCCGGCGAGAAGTTCCATTTTGAAGAAACGGAATTCAGTGTCGATCGTATCGAGCTTGTTGACGACTGTGCGGAGAGCGGAAGAGTGTTTGGAGAGAATGATGGCTCCAACGAGGTAGCGGAAGGGAAGGTAGATGTCGAGGAGGTTGAGGTGGGCGATGTGACCGACGATTGTGTAGCCGCTGGGGACGCCTTCTGTAGAAACGATTTGATGGGGGAGGAGGGATTCGAGGACTTGGTCGGATGAGAGATGGTCGTAGCCCAGCTCGAGAGTGTGTTCTTTGATGAGCTCAAAGCCGTGTTTCTGGATGGTTGTAAGAACAAGATCAGGGGTAGGTGAGGATGAAGGGACGTTGAGAAGGAGGATGCGCTGAGAGGGGTCGCCGTTTGGGTGCGGTTGGACGTAGCGCACGCCTGCTGCGTTGAAAAGGTGTGGCATGATCTGTTCGTCCTTGGTGAGTAGAGGGAGCTGACGGCCAGAGAGACCGATGGCTTGGAGCTGAAGCTGGGTGGTAAAGGCAGGTTTGAGCTGGTCGAGGAGGCGGGCTGCTCCTTCCATCGTTTCCAGCTCTGGTTCTGTGCCGGAGAAACGAGAAACGGTCGGAGGGGCAGAGACGACGAGCTTGTTCTGTCGCATAGCTGTGCGAGTGGTCATTGTCGCTGCTGCTGACGAGCTTGACGCTTCGTCCAATGAGACGGACATCTTGTGAACCGCTGTGCTCGGACAAGGCCGTCGAGAAGAGGAAAAGGTACTGACGCTTTTCGAAGTGAGCACACACTGAGTAGCCGGCAGAAGGTTGAGGCTAGCAGAGCAGCGAAAAAGGCCAGTGGTGTGCCTCGCAAGCATGTAAAGACCTCGATCGGCGATGTTGTACAAGGTCAGGTCGGAGAGATGTGGTTGAATCGAGTGGAATGAATAGCATATACATCACCTGTCAGAAAAAGAAAGACCCCCAGGAAAAAAAAAAAAAAAAAAAAAAAAAAAAAAAAAAAAAAAAAAAAAAAAAAAAAAAAAAAAAAAAAGAAAATGTCCAAAAAACATGGCGAAAAAAATCCGAGAAAACATATCCTCCGACATCCGAAAGCCGACTTCCTTTCTCACAAACAAAACTCCACACAACGCACTGTCCACCTCTATACGTTCGATACAGCACTACTGTATGTACAAGCATGACATGACACCCAATGTCTCTTCACTGTACAGTCGATACTCCTACGGGTCAACGAGATCGAGCTCGGGCGTCCAGAGCACCAGCCTATTTGAGAACATATACCTGCTAAACAGTAAATACAGATACCTGAACCACACTAGCTGCGTTTGATGCTTCCACATTGCCTTTACCACGTTCGCGTACTGCGCTGGACTCGCCAAAGCGTGGATCTCTGAGGCTGGAGCGTATCCCTTCTCCTCGCTGATCGCCGCTTTCGACGCAGGTGGGCGACCAGAATAGGTGATAGTCTCCCAAACGGCAAAGGGCACCGAGTTGAACTTTTCCCATATCTCCAAAGAAGGCAGCACATAGAGCGGAAGCTCGCGGGAGAGCGCAAGGTTGCGCGTGCCATTGTATGTTGCAACGTGATTTGTGTGTCCAGAGACTCCTCGCTTGTCGAATGTTATCAAAGCTTCGATGGATGGAAGAGTGTTGATGTGCTTGTTGACGAGAGACGCGATGTGGTCGTTGGGCCAGACAGCTTCCATTGAGTCTTGAAGGAGCGGATGATCGACATACTTGACCTTGCCAGCGGGAACTCCAAGTACGTTATAGCTGTTAAAAAGCTCCCTGGTGCGCTCAGTACCGAGACCGGCGGCGTTGCCAGTGGACAAGCAGAGGGCGTAGATGGTAGTACCTGCTGCAGCGAGCGCTTGAATGGAAGGTGCGAAGAACATGGCTTCATCATCTGGATGCGCTGTGACGAGAAGGACTGATGAAGGCAGAGTGCGAGCAGAGTCATCGAAGGTGTCTGTGGTCTGGATGCGAACGCCACTGATCATGAATTGGACAATGATCGAGCCGAGAAAGACGACGAGGAAGAATGAAGGACGCGGAATGGCCATCCGCGCCATTTGGAGCGGGTTGAGAGGCTGATCCGCCATGATGACGGTAGCGTCGTCTCGACGATGAGTTGTGAAGAGGTTGCTAGAATGATGGTTGCGGAGGGGCTTATTGTGCAAGGAGCAGGCACAAAGTTCCGGTGGAGTTGCCGGCAACGTTTACGGGGTCCAGGTCTGGAGAAGAACGTGTCCAACGTATTTCTGCGAGCTGATTTTGTGCCTAGCGAAGGTGTAACATTGTATCATATTTCGATTGCTGTCCATCGCTATTAATGTCTGCCATCGTACTTGCCCGATCATGCTCAATTCAACCTTTCACACCCTCAAGGGCTTTGCATCGAGCTGTCACACTGCACGACCAAGAACAGTGTCTCGTACCTAGACGACGCCAAGCAGTCAAATACGCGATCAGCAAATGTGCAAACTCACTGCTCTACAACAGACATCGGATACGTTGCTAGCACAGGTGTATCAAAGATCAGCAACATGGAAGCGAAGTTGACACCCTCAAATCGCTGACAAGACTTGGTCCTCTTCCCTGAACTTCAGGAAGCGAAATTACCAGACATCTGATCTGCATTCGAGGGTCAAGCTCGCCTGAATGTTGCGCTGGTTGTGCATTGCTGCATACTTTATATGTTCGGCAGAGGGGCAAGGGATGAGAAAAAGTTGCTGCAACAAGTGATGCCAACATAGCTCGCTTGGTCGCCTTTTGTCCATTTTGCCGAATCTTGCTGAGAACCAGTCATTCATGCTAGACCGAATCAAGGACGAGAAGAAGAAGCCGAGTGTCGAGTTGCACATCAATCAGTATCGGCTGTGTATGTATGTGTGCATACTTGTCATCCTACAGTAGACTACTCGCTCATCTGCTGACGGCTTTCAACCATTGACAACGGTTCTGTGATGCGGCGGAACTGCTGAACAAAGAGCAAAAGGGGGCACAATAGAGAGAGGAGCAATTCATTTGGCAATCCCAGCCTGACACACACGGCCGCACAGATGAGCATCAGCCGGGCAATACAGAAAACGATACAGAAGCCATGTTAGATTGCGGGTCAGCGAGGTGGCTCGCTGGCTCAAAGGCTCACTCCCTTGCGCGGTTGAGCGCAGAGAAGAGCGGGTCGTACAGGCGGAACATAAGGAAGGGAATCGGGTGGGAGAGGAAAGGTTGGCAAGGTCGATATTGAAGCGACACTTGCGGAAATGAGAAGATGATGATAGGAAGATGAGAGGCAGTGAGGAGCAAGCAAAGCAAACAAAGCCAATTGAGCGGGTTGCGAGGCGTGTGGTCCAGCTCAGATGCGCACGCCATGTCACGTGCAGCAGCTATTGTCCTTCGTCATTGATGCACATGTCACAGTGTAATCGAAGGTCGTGAGACTTTTTTCTTACCTTAGCGGCGGAGACGTCAACATCCAACTTTACGAGACTTGCTTCGTATTGTTCAAAAGACAGCATTCGTTGCCATGGATGATTGCTTCAAACCTGCCGTTGCTCGCAAGGGGAAAACTCGAGTGTCCCCGTGAGCAACCAGCTCCTTTGGTGGTTACACAAGAAAACAAAAAAGAAAAAGAAAAAAGAAAAAGAAAAAAGAAAAAGAAAAAAGAAAAAAGAAAAAAGAAAAAAGAAAAAAGAAAAAGAAGGAAAAAAGGGAAAGAGGAGCTGTCAACTCTAGCTAGCTTAACTGATCCTTTCGCTTTCCCTTCCTTCCCCGCCTTCTCGCGGCGTTTTCTTTTCCCTCCCTTCCCTGGCGGCACTGTGGTGCTGTGCTGTGCAACCATGGATTTCGACACATGCGAATACCTTTCAACGGCATTTTCGCAGAGATTCAGATCAGACATGCCAAATGTGTCTGCCCCATGCTTAACCCCCAGAGGGGGGCACCATGCCCAGGGCCCCATGATAATGCTATGCAATGCTACATCAAAGATAAAGGAATCCTATGGATAGCCTTGATAAGCATATTGAAAGCACCATTGTAGTCATAATCTGCCGAGTAGAGGCAGGTTGGGCATTGGAATTGTTTACTTGCACCTAGTCTTTGGTTGAGATTGCCACACTGAGAGCAGGTCTTTGATGTATGTGCTTCTGGTTGTATAAGAAGCACTGTTGGCTGCCCACATTTGTGCAGATAGCATGGATCATGAGCAATGTCATGGCATTTAACCAGCAAACAGTTAATGAAGTTGCAGTGTCCCCAACCCAGCAGCCTCTGACAGGTGTTTCAGTGCAAGTTCCCATTCTTCCTTTGTATCATCTTGCAAACCTCCATCCTTGGCATGACCACAATGTTGGATGAGGTTGCTAGATAGTTTGCCATCTGGCAATGTAGATCATTGATAAGCTGCTGCAGCTTTTTGTGGACCTTCTTTGAGTGCTTTTGAAGCTTGCAGCATTGCACAGATGACAAGGCAAATGGCAGGGCTGGATGGCATTGGCAGGTTTCTGTCAGGGGTCACGTGCCTGAAACCTGAGATCAGTAGTAGTATCGATACTATTACCGATTCTGTCGAGTTATGCAACAGTGCTTGTGGTATTGCGATTCCTGGCGAGATATGTAGTAGAGCCATGTCATGGGCCTGGATGCTCAAGAAGCAGGAGGGTCACTGGTTCATATGGAAGGAGCACAGGTATCGAAGATCTAGTCGATACCAGTAGAGAGCATGGTTGTAGTGCAGTCTCCATGGAGACCATGGACTCCTACAGACTCACATGCAAAGGAGCACTGAGCCCATATGCGAGGAGGGCCAGGCACAGCCATGAGGAGGACCAAGCTCAAGGAGCAGGCACAGCCATGAAGAGGACCAAGCTCAAGGAGCATGCAGATGGTTACCACTCAGGGGCTCAAGAGACAAGAGTCAAAGGAACCATCACCAGTCAAAGGAGAAGGAGCAGTGTATAGGAAACCAGCAAGCAGGTCCTGAGGAGGAGGAGCAGTGTCGAAGGAGTCGACACCACTCAGGAGGCACAGGGGTGCCAAACAAGCAGGATAGCAAGGAGGAGGAGCAGTGTCGAAGGAGTCGATAGATCAAGGAGGACTGGAGTGGTGCCAGAGGGGCCCCCTGTACAGTACTCGATGAAGAAGGTACTCTCTGGAGAGAGAGCAGGAGCAGCATTGCTGGCGACGCTGTGAAGAGGTATATAACCATGCTTTCTCATCATCAAAGGTCGAGTGGATCCTCATCCACTCTACACCCCCATCATAACTAGTTATCACTTCAGCATAAGTATATATTAGTTTCAGTCAGCATAGCAGCAATCTATCAAGGTTGCTCCTCATTGTAGTGTGTGTGTTGTATCACCACTACCTGACATCCGAAGGTGCCCCATAGCAGGTTAGTGGTCTGGATCAAGATAGAACCAAAGGCAGTAGTCCACTGCAGTCCAGGGATCACCTCAAGCATCAGTCAACACACTGGACACTTGTGTTGATGCCACCAACCTTATCACCAACACCATCAACCTCCTCATCATCAACACTCACACCAGACCTTGGTGTCATCATAACCTATGTATTGATATTGATCATGCCGAGCTACCCCTGAATGGAGTGTCCACAGAGGTCAGCTGAAACCTATGATAGTATATACAATGAATGCCACCTGCTGTCATCGCGCAACTTGATAGTTGCTGAACAACTAGCTCATTGAGACTGATACTGAGACCATAGCTGTTGCACAGATTGATAGTCACCGAGCATCTCAACAGACTGACCTGGGTTTCAGGTGTGAGACCCCTGACAATGCACTGCTTGCAAATGCCATCCATGTATATACACCTTCGAAGCTGGATAGAACTCAGCCAAGTTTCTGTTGATTCTGGCCCATGCGCTGCCTTCTTGTGCTGTCTCAGGTGTTGTTCTCTGACTTATTTGCTTCAGAACAGCTGAAGAGCTCAACATTCTTGCCAGCTCAGCACAGCATCAGATATGCTGATCAAAATGACTCAGCCATTTGTCAGGGGTCTCACACCTGAAACCCAGGTCAGTCTGTTGAGATACTCAGTGACTATCAAACTGAGCAACAGCTATTGTCTCAGTATCAGTCTTGATGAGCTCGTTGCTCAGCGACTATCAAGTTGCGTGATGACAGCAGGTGGTGTTCATTGTATATACTATTGTAGGTTTTGGCTGACCTCTGTGGACACTCCATTCAGGGGTAGCTCAGCACAATCAATATCAATATGTAGGTTATGATGACACCAAGGTCTGGTGTGAGTGTTGATGATGAGGAGGTTGATGGTGTTGGTGATAAGGTTGGTGAGTGTTGATGATAATGAGGTTGATGGTGTTGGTGATAAGGTTGGTGGCATCAACACGAGTGTCCAGTGTGTTGACTGATGCTTGGAGTGATCCCTGGACTGCAGTGGACTACTGCCTTCGGTTCTATCTATATCTGGACTGCTAACCTGCTATGGGGCGCCTTCAGACATCAGGTAGTGGTGATACAACACACACACTATGATGAGGAGCAACCTTGATAGATTGCTGCTATGCTGACTGAAACTAATATATACTTATGCTGAAGTGATAACTAGTTATGATGGGTGTAGAGTGGATGAGGATCCACTCAACCTTTGATGATGAGAAGGTATGGTTATATACCTCTTCACAGCATCACCAGCGATGCTGATTTTGCCCTCTCTCCAGAGGGTACCTTCTTCATCAAGTACTGTTCAGGGGGCCTCTCCTGCTTGCTTGGCACCCCTGTGCCTCTTGAGCTGTGTCAACTCCTTCTACACTGCTCCTCCTCCTTGCTATCCTGCTTGTTTGGCACCCCTGTGCCTCCTGAGTGGTGTCAACTCCTTCAACACTGCTCCTCCTCCTCAGGACCTGCTTGCCAGTTCCCTATACACTGCTCCTTCTCCTTTGACCAGTGATGGTTCCTTTGACTCTTGTCTCTCAAGCCCCTGAGTGGTAACTGTCTGCATGCTCCTTGAGCTTGGTCCTCTTTGTGGCTGTGCCTGGCCCTCCTCACATATGGGCCCAGTCCTCCTTTTCATGTGAGTCTGTAGGAGTCCATGGTCTCCATGGAGACTGCACTATGACCATGCTCTCTACTGGTATCGGCTAGATCTCCGATACCTGTGCTCCTTCCATATGAACCAGTGACCCTCCTGCTTCTTGAGTGTTCAGGCCCATGACAGCAACAATGTGAGATCAAACTAGAGCTTACATAGTTTCACTCTATCCTTTGCTTTGACTTTGTGTGCCCAGGTCTAATTCTCCTACTGAGTCTGATTCTCAAGGTAGGAGAGCTTGGCTGGCATGTGTGCAAAGCAGTAGAAGCTCGCACAGTCAACGAGGCAAGGTGCAGTCAAGTACTAGCTCAAGCAGTAGCTCTGCTCACTGACTGGCATGCATTCGTCCTTGCATCTTCACCAGCATACCCTTTCATTCCTTATTACACCGTCTCAAGATGGCGGGCGGTCAAGGGTCTGTCGCAGTGTGAGTTTCACTTGCAAACAAACCTCCCTCCCTTCAACGTTACACGAGGTTCAGTCCACAGAGTCTTCCTAGCATCCTGTATGTGATCGCATCCTCTTGCTCGAATCGCTACTGTATCTTGAACTGATGCTTGACTTGTTGAGAACAAGGCTAGAGCGTGTTCGAGGTTCGACACTGTTGCATGTGTTCCTTTATCGTCGCTTGCATGAATGGACATCGTTTTCACCATTCAACAACTTCTTCCTCCGTTTCCATCCTGCTCCTGCTCCTGCTCTTTGCCCGTCCGCCTGACTTGGACGCTACTCCCTCCGGTCCCTGCATCTGCATTGTCTTGAACGTGCTAGCGCCGGTCGCTAATTTCAGAGCCCTCTGAACTGGATCCCCGTGAGCCAGGACAATAAAAAGCTTCGACCTTCGTCGACCGCGAACCAGGTCCTCCCCTTTCACTACTTTGTCCTACCATCTCACTCTCTGCTTCAGTCTTCTTCCGCTCGGCCTCCGACCTCCTCGACTCTAGGTGTCCCAGTCAGGTTGCCTTCGCAAACGGCAGTGCCGGCTTCCCTCCTTATCACCTATCCTAGAACGCATCGAAGAGGGTCGAGCTCATGCTTCTCATCACGACACAGAATCACCCCTCATACATCTGCGACGCAAGGTATCACGCAACCAACCGCTCTGTCCCACTTGTCTGCAGCCAAGCAACCATTCACACGACGAATCACAACCGCGGTTGGACATCACCCACCTACCCTTTTCTTCTAGCAAGCGACCCCTGCGTGCCACGTACCTGTCGTATATAGTCGAGCGCTCAAACCTCTCGACCTGCGAGCTTGGCCTTTGTTTGCTATCGTCAGAAAGGTCTTGCCACTCGCCTATCTAAACCCTCGATTCATCCCTCACTCAGAGCAACAGAACCAGCTTCATGACGGAACAGGCACAAACCAGCTTCTCTGCAGGGTCCCCTGTTTCAGCTTTGGCCTCACTCTCTCGCAACGCTAATGCAAAAATTGTCACAGCTCGCAAGGTCACCCATGCTAAAGCGCCCGTTGTCACACACTTCCGCACGCATTCCAAGTCTGGCTCCGTCGAGCTTCGCAAGCAGTCCCCCTCAGCTCAAGAGGTGGCTGCAGGAGTTGGCGGGTCCCCACGCATCTTGCCTTCGCCTGTCCCTCCTCCTTCCTCTGCTTTACCACCTACACCTGCTTCTCCTTCGGCCCGCGTGTCTTTGAGAGGCAGTGCCAGCTCTTTCGCCACCTCTACCACATCCACTGCTGCTGTTTCTGCACCTAGCATTCTCGCCAAAAGCATTCGCAAGACCTTCCGACACCTCAGCGCCGGTCTTACACCAGAAGAGCACAACGAGCTGGTGCAGAAAATTCTCACCGACTTGAGGCCAGCCAGTCATCCGAGGGCGGGAAAACCTTTCTCCTGCGCTTCCAGGTCGAGCAGTATCACAGTAGCATCTCCCTCTCAGCCTAAGCCCAAGGCGGCGAGTGCAAAGATGGTTCTCAGCAAAAGCGATGGGCCGCAAGAAGTAGGAAACACAGCAGGAAAGAGATTGAGTGTAAGCAGTGCGGTTAGTAGCGAAATGACGAATAGCGGGGATGAGAAGAAGGGTGGGTCTGATTCGGCTACTCCCCAACTCAGTCAGAGTAGGACTCCAACGTCTACGACCCCTGCTAGCCAAATTGTCACCTCCGCTGACAATGGCCAGACTCAGACACCGGGCGCAGGAGAGAAGGACGTCTTGACCCCAACAGCAGCATTGGAGAGTCTGCGTGTGCTGGAGCAGAGCTTCAGCCGTTCCAACCCTAACTCTCCTCTCCAGACTGACTTCACCAGCGATTCGAAGGTGTCCCAAACCACCACTGCTGTTGCTTCCCTTACCGAGTCCGAAACAGCAGCAAATGGCACAGCTTCTCCGCCCAAGGTCAAGCGCAACAGCTCCTCTCGCGAATCCGTGCCTACTCTTGATCAGCTTGGTTCGTCTAAGAAGGGTCCCGGTATAGACTCGAACGGCGGTAGTGGGAGTGCTGCTTCGTCTGAGCGTGCTTCTTCGTCTGAGCGTGCTTCTTCGCCCCCAAGCGTAACCACCAAGACGCCCAGTTGGATTTCACCGCTCACCACGCTGGAAGCTATTCGCGTGCTTGCTTTCCAGCAAGCCAACGGAGAACAGCCTCTGTCGCCAACAGTGCCAGAAGCAGCCGCAGTCACTGCAAGCGATGCCGCTTCTTCAGACGAAGTCAGTGCACTGCGATACGCGCTAAACTTCACCCTCGCTAGAGCGGACAAGTTGGCTGAAGCACTCAACAAAGCCAACGAAGATAAGATAAAGGTCGAGACCGAGCTTGAGATCTTGCGCCGCAACGTGCTGTCCATGTTGGGTAGTAAGAGTATGTTTTCGACTGCCACGCCGACGCAGCCGCAGCACCAGGGAGGTGATATCTTGGAGGAAGAAGATAGCAAACTATTCGAAGACGCCATGGCTCGACATACTCCGGCTGCTACCGAACGTGCCCTTCCTGCCGCTGTCTCACGACCTCCTCGTGCAACACGCACCACCAAACCCGCCGCCCCATCCGCGAAGCCAGCGGAAGGAGTCAGCATCGCCTCTCTCCGCAAGAAAAACCCTTCCATCAACACCACCTCCGCTGACTCCTCCGCCCAGCACTATGCCCCTCCCACTCGCAAAGCCAGCACCACCACCACCGACGAAGCATATGAGGCAGAGCAAGACGAAGAAGACGAAGACGAATTTGACATGTACCCCTTCGGTGCACCTGTTCGTAAACCTTTGCCCGAAGTATCCATATCTGACTTCCTCAACGCTTCTCGTATGTCCAAGACTGAGATTGACGAACACGATGCTCGGCGCGAGCTGGACAGGGAAGAGGATGGACCTGGATATGCTGGCTCTAGCACTTCTTCCCATGTTCCGTTGGCCGCGAGCTACTCGATGAGGTCTCTCGATTCCAACAAGAGGGGCTTCTTCAAGGGGATCACGAAGTTGGTCGATCAAGAGAGGGCAAAGAAATTGTCAAAGAGACAGAGTTTGGTATCGAAACCAAGTATGAGCTCTTTGATCACACCAGGTATCGCTACGGTGATGAGCAGGTCTGCGTCCACGAACAACATGCAGGGAAGCGGAGGATTTACTATGGCGTATGAGGAGGAGAGCATTATTCCAGCTTATCCCGGGACGGAGGGGAGGAAACATAAGGCGCTGTCAATTAGCAGCTCGTTGAGGGAGAGTTTGGAGAGGCAGAGTCTGAAGGAGGCGGGCATTAGGGGGGGTGCTCAAAATGGGAAGAAGTCTTGGGTTAAGAAGGGTGGAGAGGCTTTTGCCGTTCCCCTGATTTAGATTTCGGGTCTATATATTAGCACTACACACACTCGTTTTGGTTCTCCCTTGTCTCGTTAGCCTCGCTTGTATTCTGCATAGCAAGCGTAATACCGGTCGTTCACTCGTTTATACAGAAGATGCCGGAACCCAAACAGACTGTCATTGATGAGCTTAGAAATCTGTATTACTGCTAATGACGTATACGAGTGACGACAGAGTATGCAATGGTATGCTCGCTTAGGCCTGGGCAGCCTCCTCCTGAGCCAAATAATACTCCTCAGCTTGAGCAATACACCTAATGTTAGCACCCAACTTGTTGATCGTCTCCACATACTCATCCTCCTCAACACTATCATACACGATACCACCACCGGCCTGCAAATACGCATACCCACCCTTGAACGTCATCGTCCTAATCGCAATACACACATCCATCTCTTGATCCGCAAAATCAATCCTTCCTACTGCACCAGCGTAGACACCTCTCTTCTCCTTCTCCAGCTCGCTCACCAATTCAATCGCGCGGATCTTGGGCGCACCAGATACTGTGCCTGCTGGGAAAATAGATCGCAGCGCATCAAAGCGCGACTTACCCTCTCGCAATTGCCCCGTGATCCTAGACGTGAGATGCATAACATGAGAGAACTTCTCTACCTTCATAAAAGACTCGACTTGGGTAGTGGAAGGGTCGCAAACACGATTGATATCGTTTCGGGCCAAGTCGACAAGCATGACGTGTTCCGCTTGGTCCTTGACACTGCTAGCGAGTTGGTGTGCTAGTTCTTCGTCCTCTGCGTCGTTAGCGCCACGCTTGACGGTACCTGCGATAGCGTGAACTGCGACTTTGCCTGCTTCGATCTTGCAGAGTGTCTCGGGGGATGCTCCGACGAGTTGGCAGTCACCGCAATCAACGTAGAACATGTATGGGGAAGGGTTGACCTGGCGTAAGTGACGGTAGCAATTGAAGGCGTGGAGTGTTGTGCGACGTGTAAGGCGTTGGGAGGGGACAGCTTGGATAATGTCTCCTTTGACGATGTTTTTGCGGAGTGAGGTGACGAAGCCTTCGTACCCGGCTTTGCCAACGTTGGAGACTGCTTCCTGCCCGGTCAAGATGGCTGGTTGCTGAGGCAAGGGTGTGACGGCAGAAGTGAGGGTCTTGATTAGGTTGTTGACCTTTTCGCTCGCCTTGTTATACAACGCCTCGACATCTGCAGGAGTAGAATCCTTTGCGAGCTCGGCGGAAAGGTGGACGTGGCTAACGCAGCGAAGAGTACTGAAGACGTGATCGAAGACAATAAGAGAGTCGGCGACCATAAAGACACTCTCCGGGATACCGAGGACATCTTTGAGATCGCGCTTAGTTCTTGGCTCGAAGTACTGGACGCAATCGTAGCTGATATACCCGATGGCGCCACCGGTGAACGTAGGAAGACCCTGAACTGGAATGTACTTGTATGGGCTCAACTCTTTCTCGATGGCGAGAAGCGGGTCTCCTTCAGCATCGAGACCGGGACCAGTACGAATGATTTTGAGAGGGTCAGAGCCGATGAACGAGTAGCGGCCGATCTTTTCACCGCCAGTGACGGACTCGAACAGGAAGGAACGACGTGATGTGTCGGCACCACTAGAGAGCTTCAGATAGGCAGTGACAGGTGTCAAGAGGTCGGAGGGAAGTGAAGTGTAGACAGGGATGATGTTGCCAGTGGCATTGGGTGAGAGAAGGGCAGACTGAACCTCGGAAAGCGAGGGCTTGAGTGCGTGCTGTGGAGTGCAATTCATTGTCGACGATGACAGCAGCGGGGGTCAAGACGACAGAAGCGGACAGTCAGCTGGCAGTCTTAGAAAGAAGTTGGAAAGGGGGCAGGGAGCTCACCAAAGCCATGTTTGTCGTTGCTCGCGTGCGTTCGAGGCTTTTATGTAGTCACTGTAGCGAGGGAATACGTGTGGCTGCAGGGGAGATCAGCCGGGGCCTACAGGGAACACGTCTGTAAGAACAGCTATAGAATCTCTGAACGAGGGAAGCAAGTTTATGAGATAGTTGGCAGGACCGTGTGGCGGTGGGTCTGTGGGTTGCCAATGACGTAAGTTTGCGTTGCGATGCTTTTTGTATTTGCTGTTGCGACTGTCGACAAGGAGTGTAAGGCAATGCTATGCTCAGCAAGCAGCAATCAAGCTAGCCAGCTTATCGAGAGAGGGTTGAGAACAAGATTTGCAAAGAGCAAAAAGATAAGGAGGAGGAGGTATCAACGTCGAAGATGTCTTGTAACGGCAACACAAAAAAGTGTCCGTGTGCCGGCTTGGACATTATTGCTTCTCTCACGCCTTTTTTGTCCACTTTTTCTGTGACTCTTCTCACGACTGTTCTTCTTGGATCACCGATTCTGTTCGCAGCAACCGAGCTTGAGTCAAAATCGCCGATCTCACGCAGTTTACCGATCTCACACTTTGCAGGTCACTTTTTGGACAACATGACACTTTTTTCACTTTCGATACGTTCTTCCTTCTGATCCACACCCTTCCCCTGTCTACCTACTTGTTCGGCGAGAGGGACGACTGGCAACTGGATCCAGACAGGTCAGCTACACATCTGCCGATATGGCTCCTGCGCTCAATCTGCCAGCACCGGCGCATGGCACCGATAACACCCTCGCAACTGGATCTGCGCCATCCACCTCGAAGTTCGCATCTACAGGCGGCATCATTTTCCCACCCCCTGAGCTGCGTAGGACTATCGACAAGGCAGCAGAGCTTATCGCCAAGAAAGATCCTTCTTTCGAAGCCAACATCAAGGCTGCCGAGCAGAGCAACCCAAAGTTTGCTTTCCTCAAAGAAGATGATGCCTATCATGCATACTATGCCTCTCGTCGTGATGCTGTTCGACGTGGCGAGACTCTGACACCGGTCGTAGCCGATCAGCAGAATACGGCTGGCGCCGCGAATCAGTCAGGTCCACCTGCAGGAGATGGTCGCGATGCACAAGCTGGTCTGTCTACTCAGGCTCCACCGGAGCCAGAACCGTTCGAATTCTCTGCCGATCTTCCCAACATCACTGCAGTCGACCTCGACATCCTCAAGCTCACAGCACTCTTCACTGCACGGAAAGGTCGATCTTTCGCCACATCCCTCCTCAGTCGCGAAGCCAAGTCTTACCAGTTTGAGTTCCTTCGTCCCTCGCACTCGCTCTTCACCTACTTCAACCACCTCGTTGAGCAGTACCAGAAAGTCATCTCGCCTACACCCGCTTTGCTCGAACGAGTCAAGGTAGGTGCATATGGAACAACAGATGCCGATGCTATAGCCCAGCAGAGGGCAAAGTTGTCTCTGGGCGCAGGCAAGGGTGGTGCTAGACCACGCGTGCTCGAGCAAGTCAAGGCGAGAGCAGACTGGGAGAGATACGCAAGGGAAAAGCGCAAGAAGCAGGATGAGGACCAAGAAAAGCAGAGGCAAGCCTTCAACGAGATCGACTGGCAGGACTTTGTTGTCGTTGGTACAGTCGAGTTGACAGAAGCAGATCAGCATATTGACTTGCCTCCACCACGGTCATTGCGTGAGATGGAGACGATGACATTGGCCCAGAAGAAGATGGCAAGTATGATCATGGAATCTGAAGCTGCGGCTGATGATGTCGAAGATGTAGAAGAGCTCGCGATGCCCGGCAGGCCCTCTGCTTCCTCCTCGACATACACACAGAAAGCCACAGCGTCGACTTCGTCTCAGACGGCACCGGTTGTGGAAGAGGTCACAGCGGGAAAAGGCTCAACCATCAGAGTCCGAAAAGACTATGTTCCCCGCGGTCTTGCTTCCCGCGCCAAGCCCTCTTCCGCCACCACAGCGATGACAAAATGTCCGGTCTGTGGAGATCAGGTTGCAGTCGACGAGATGGCCGAACACGTCCGATTCGAGCTTCTCAATCCGGCCTACCGCGAACAGCGACAGCAGTTCGAGGCGAAGAAAGCTCAGCAGGCTGCACTGCAAGCGGGTGCCGATCCAACATACTACCTTAAGCAACTTGCTTCTTCTCGCGATGACGAGGATGAGGAGGCCAGACTGAGGAGGGAGGCCGAAGAGAGGAGGCTGGCGAAGGAGAGGGAGAAGATCATTTGGGACGGTCACGCTAAGTCAAGGCAAGTTGCAAGGGAGATGATTGCCAAGAATATTGGCTTGGAGCAAGAAATGACAAAGTTGTCGGGTAAGCCTCAGGTCACACTGCCTGAATACGGCCCACAGTTCCCTGATATGGATGGTGCCGCTGAGGTAGAGGGACAGGGTGAGGCAGAGGAAGTGGACGACAAGCCGATACAACTTCCGAAGGGCAGCTCGTTACCTGCCAAGCCAGTCACAGATTCTGCTATCCCATCACAGTCACCGCCGCCGACTAATGCAGGCATCAAGCGTCCGGCTTCCACCGAGCTTTCTCCTCCACCGCCCCCACCCGCTCCCCTCCCATCCGCCAGTAGCGGCTCCGCATTGGCGAGGAAGAGCGACGGATCGCTGCACCCCGAGAAGACTTGGCTCGAAGCACACCCTCATCCTACCGTGACACTCAACCTTTCTATGCCTGCCGGAGAAGGGGGATTGAAGGATGAGCCGTACGAGGCAGCACTCAAGTCCACTATTGCCACACTCAGAGACTATGTCCATCAGGATCTGCTCAACAGCAGTATCGCTGCGAGCAAGATCAAGATCAAAGTCAACGGGAAGCCGGCGACTCTGAAGCAGACATTGGCGTATTGGAACTTGACCGACGGTGATAGGATCACGATTGACATTGTCAAGTAGATCATGCGCGGCAATGCAAACGAGCTTCCATGTAGCAGAGATGTGTCGAAGCATGATTTGGCGGGGCGGTCCCTTTGTGCTTTGATTGACGCATGAAAGGGGATCCAAACGCTTCGACGCACGAAAATGCTTGTGTTAAGACGCAAGTTGCTATCCCAAACTGTTTCCTTGGAGACACTTCAGACTCGCCATTTCGTCATTGATCTCCTTCTACGACTACTTCAACGATATCTTCTTCACCTCTCTCTACATCCATTCTCACACGCCCTCTTCCATCTGCAACGTACCCCGACCATGGACAGCAACACTGATGCAACTTTAACCCCTCAGCCGGTCAAATCTCAAGCCGATGAAAGTTGGGCAGACACGTACCGCTCAAATGCCTTTGCAAAGCTAGGCTCGTCTTTTGCAGGCCCAATCTAGATTGAGACGACACCAGCAGCCATAGTTGGGATCGCAGCCGCGGCCGGTTTATTTTGCCAATATCCTAGATTAGGAGCTCAATGTACTGTCTACGCAGTGACCGGACTAGTGGGTATCCACGCGGGAAACAGAATAACCTACAATTATACTGGCTACCGGCCTTTATACCGGTTAACTGACAGCTTGGAGAAGCTGTCCGAATCGGGACGGTTTGCCGTAACTGGTTCTGATCTAGTGTCTCTCTTAGTGTATAAGCTGAGGGAAGAAGCTTGAGAAGCAACTCCCTGCTTGGCGAATGACGCTGCACATAAGACCACAGTCACTTTAATCAATCGATCATACAGGCGGCCCTTTGTCCGCGCTTAAATTCGAAGTAGTTGATTTTTTAGGTTGAGCAGAGTTTGACAGGTTGTTCCCAAATCTCGGCTCGCGTGTTACAGTGGAACAAAGAACAACGGCCCTCAGCGCTCGCCGGCTTCCAAATGCGAAACGCCTCGACTTGCCTTTCATCACCTTTCTAAGCAAGTCAATCTGCAGAGGAAGTCGAGCCAGAGGCTGTTGGCTGTTCTGAGATCAGTGAGATGGCATGCGAAGTCGGCGTGCATACATCAGCATGAAACGCAAACAACTTTTCATGCCAATGCTGACGGGGTCCAAGCGCGCGCAACGCAGATCATTTGTCGCATCAATTCTTCTCCAAAGACCTGTCACTGAGCTGAACGTCGCTGCCGTGCCGACTATGGCTGTGTGGTTGCGAACTCAGTAATGGATATCGGTGACTGGTGAGGACCCTTTGTCGATCGTTTCAAGCTGTCAAACCCTAGTCCTATCGCAGCCCGGGCGTGATGCTGATAGTGGATTAGACCTTGATAGGTGCGAATGGCCATAGAACTATATAACTAGCCCGCTTGTCTGTCTTCCTATTCAGGGCCTTCTTCTCAATGTAATCTCGCCGCTCCTCAAGCCATGTCTGCCGCTTCTTCTTCTTCTCCTTCCTCGAGCCCAACCTCTCTCAATGTGTCGAGCGAACCAGTCGACCAGCTCCAAGAGCTAAACCTTACCCTCCTCTCCCTGCCACCCACACCTCTCAGACCGCCTTCCCCGCCTCTGCACCACCCTCACTCAAGCCCCTCGGAGCCCAGCTTACCCATCTGCACCAGCTCCTGGGTCGACCTCTCCAGTATTCCCTCGTCATCCGAACAAGGCTCTCCCTCAACCAGTCGGCCACGCCTCTCCCGCAACAACGACCAATCGCAGCGACGACGCAAAAGAAAGCCAGTCCGCGCAGGTCTCTCCTCCCTCGCCGACCCGCCTTCTCCGTTCGGCTCGCAACTCGGTGCTCAACCTCCACTCCGTCGATCAACACCCTACCATCAATCTCATTCGCACGATTACTTTAATCCGAATCCCACCGCCCGTCAACTCTCGGTTGAGAATTTGGAGTTTCCGAGAGCTGATCCAGATGAGGTGTACCACACTGCGCTTTCCGCTTTGCACTCGGTGAAAAAATTGGTTATAGAGCTCCAAAAGAAGGCGGCGGACGTATTGACAGCTGTGGGGAAGTACAGTGTATCAGGTCAGCTTACAAAGCTCGGATTAGTAGCATGTGTGTGCTTGCGGCCAAGATGGATATTTTACACAATAAATTTCTCTTTCTTTGTCCTAAGGCAACCATTCAGAGCATTCCGCAGCACGTTATACGTCTTTGTGATGGCGAATTGCCTTGTTAGCTAGTAGTAGAAATACATTGTTATTCGTCTGAACTTAAATCGCTCTCTTCCTCATCCTCGTTTGCTTGCTTCTTCTTTTTCTTGCCTGGGCCTGTGGGCTTAGATCCCTTCTTAGCAGCGTGTAGTCTCTCCGCTTCGGCCACAATAACATCAGCTTTCGCAAGCCATTCTTCAGCTTCCTTCCACTGCCCCCATTCAGTACCGCGCAGAGCATAGAGTGCTTGGATTTGATAACTCCAAACTTGATGCATCTTTTTCATCCCTTCTTTTGCCGAAAATACACCCATAGCATTCCCTAATGTTGGAGTCTCCAATATCAACGGTATTCCATTCCACCTCTCGTCATTCACGATGCACCAAAATCCACCTAACCCAACATGACCTCTGCCGATGTTCTCGTGTCTGTCTTTCTTACATCCCACGCCGAACTTGCTATCGTTCAAATGGAACGCTTTGACTGCCTCCCATCCGATCGTTGTATCGATTAAATCTGCGAAAGAACGATACGTTTCCGGCGTTCGCAGATCGTACCCGGCAGCGAAAGCATGGCATGTATCAATGCATACTCCCACTCTACTCTTGTCTTTCACGTGGGAGATCATTGAGGCGAGATCGTGGAGGGAAGAGCCAAGGATGGTGTCGTTTTTAGATCCGGCCATGTTTTCGATAAGAATGATGACTGAGGATGTGAGAGAATGGGCACGGTTGATGTAAGATGCGACTAGGGCGCAGGCTTCTGCTTTTGCTGCGCGAGTCTCTTTTGCTGGACTAAGGCTGGGCGGAGGCTCGTCGCCAGTGGCGGAGGCGGCGGTCATTGAGCCAGGGTGGAAGTTGAATAGACGGATACCGAGCTGTTCGCAGCGTTCGAGATCGTCTAAGAATGCTTCGAAGGACTTTTCGCGTTTGGATTCGTCTGGATTGGCAAGGTTGACAAGGAAGCAGCCGTGAGGTAGGACGTAGCCGTATTCGGTTTGGGAGGGGCTGCAGTTGATGGTGGTTAGGATGGGCATGTAGTTGTGCTCGATCACGCGTTGTTTGAAGGACTGTACAGATTTGTCGGGGATGGGGTTGGATGCCCATTGCATCTTGGGTCGTACGAAGCAGGAGAATGCATTGCCTCCAATGCGGAGCGCGTTGAGTGCTGCATTCTCGACTCCACCTGCCGAGCTGGTGTGTGCTCCGATAAATATTCCGCTCCCTCGTCTGTCTTTGTGGTCGCGGTGTCCGTCGGCGAGCGATTGGTGAGGTGATGGCCTCGGCGGAAAGATCTCGTCCTCTTCTTCTATCTCCTTCTTTGTCCGTCTCTTCTTTGTAGCGGCAGGATTCGCTTCGGATAAGGCATCCTCTTCTTCCTTCTTGACAGGCGATGCGGTATCGTCAGTCTTGACATTTACTCGCTTTGCTTTTCCACGTGGTGTGGACATGGTTACGGCGGCACCGACTTGTTCGGTGACATGTTCGGCCTTGACGTGAGACCGTTTTGCTTTTGCTGGTGATGAAAGAGCAGCTGTGGAGGCGGCGGAAGGGCTCGGAACTGGTGCAGTAGTTGACGGTATTGGCTGGCTCGTAGAGATGGATCTGCGGCTGCTTCTCCATAATGCTGTTGATGACATAGTCTTGACGATTGCAGCCAATGCTTTCGACCTTGGCGGCATCGGGATTTCAAAACCGGCTCCGGCTTGATGATGGCGTTCAAGCAGCTATCGAACGAGCGAAAGATGAGGCAAGGACGCAAGGAGGCGAGGCTGGATGAAGAAGGTGCTAGCCTAAGCAAGACCCTTTACCAGTCATTCATTTGTGGAGGTTCAGCTGCTGTTTTCCGGATCTCGATGAAAAACACAAGCCCGATTCGATCTGCCGCTCTAACATTTCACAGCGCAGCCGCCCTCACCGAAAAGACGGTGCCGAAACTCAGCTTGGATCGGGGCATGAAACGGAAAAGCACCCGATGCTCATGGCGGTACACGAAAAGCAGTCTCCATCCCGAGTGGTTGAATTGATTGAAGGAATGGAAGCATGCAGGGAGACGTGCGTTTCAGAAACGAGGAGAGCTCCTGTAGCTGTGCCAAGCCCGGACTTAGAGTTCTCTTTGGGATGGCAAAGGCAGAAGACAGCGTCATCCAAAGTGAGAAGTGAGAGACGGTGTTGTGCCAAGCGCTTGCCAAGCCAAAGGCCAAGCCAAAGGCCAAGCCAAAGGCCAAGCCAAAGGCCAAGCCAAAGGCTCGCGTGTTTTGCTCGAATTTCCCGCACATCAAACTGACAGTAGTGTTCCTGCTGCAACAAAAGCTCACGCGCTCTGCCAAGACCCGTCTGTATTTTTCTTTTTTGACGCTTTTGTCAAACAGTGCAAGAAGCTCTCCTTCTTCATACTCATAGACTGGCTCTGGTTATGCTTGCTTGCTAGACGAGGCAAGCGGCTGTGCTTGCCAAGATCGCAGCAGTTTGAGATAAGATTCATTGGTTAGGAGACAGCATAAATCATTCTCTTCGAAACGTCTGGATTCATCAAAGCAAATGCTTTCGTCTTCATCATGGCTGAACACCGCCAAACCAACACAATCGACCCGCACAAACCCTTGCTGCGGCGAGACATGACAGCCACTGGCAAGCACTGTGAACAGCCGTAGGTCGTCGGCACCTTGTGAGAAATGGCCGATGGTAACTATTGGTCAGCGAGGTTGAGAAGGAAGCCTCACAAGACTATGTTGAAGGTTCAAGCCGAAGAGGGTAGAGAGGGTGTTGCCTGCGCCAGGTCTTCGAAACATCGGCTTGTGCTCTTGCTGCAGTTAAGTTGACATAATCTTGCCCTGATTCCGGGACCCACAACGCCACGCCTTGTCGATCCTTCCATCTCATTGATGCATCCTTTGCGGAGGCGGGGACTCTTGTCCCACATCATCGCGCATCGATCCCGGAGCACTAGAATTATCACAACAGCCAGCTGGCGGCGCTAAACAACCATGAGCATGAGAGAAGAGCAAAGAATACAGCGCATGACAATGCTGAACATTGAAGACAGGTCCCTGAAGAAGGGTTCAATAGCTAGCCCCTTGCTGTTCCAAGGGCGAGCACGCGTGCGGCAGGAATGCTGCCTTTCCAGAGTGTGTCTACTGTGGTGAAGCGGATTTGGCTGTCTCGGTCTCTACGGTCTCGAGACCTGTTGTTGGTGTTCCCCTATTCTGCTTCGTGTTGCCTCTGACTGTCGTCGAATCTTGGCGTCCTCGATTGCCAGACTAGCGAGTCGTTCTGTGGCGGGGCTGGAAGATGCTTAGTTATGCCTCGCATTTTGCTATTCTTGGCATCTCTGCCCCCCTCTACACGCACACACAGGCATCTCCGCTTGTCTATCCTTCTCCGATTCTTGGGACTGCCTGCAGCCGACAGTACATTACTCAACGACCTACCTTTCACTATTATCCGCTCCTTTCCCCCCCCCCCTCTTTTGGCTTCTTCGCCCATCCTTTCCCTCCCTCCATTACCTTCTTCATACGCCCGACTCATCCCGACAAGCTCGTACGAAGTTATACACCATCGCCATCATGACCAAGATCTCGCTCTCCATAGCGCTCGTCTTGGCTCTTTTCGCCGGCAGCGTTTCTGCTCAGGAGCCCACAGGTAGCCGTGGTAACGGCCCCGACCCCCGTGCCACCACCGACTTGAACCTCAACCAGCCCACCAAGTCATGGACACAATGGCAACCCAAGGCCACCTACGCCTACTCGCAGCTTCCGGACCAGTACATGGGTGCCAACCGTATCGAGTCTGGTGAAGGTGGAGTCCCTGGAGGAGAGCCTCAAACTGGATACAACACCTGTGCTCGTAACACCTGGAACCAGGACTCCAAGTGTCAGACTGCCTGGATCAACTCGCTCGAAGACTTCTGTCTCTGGGGTCCTGCCGAGTACGGTACGGTTGGTGAGAAGGAGCGTTCGGGTGTTGCTTACTGCACCACCGACAGGCACGGTACTCGTCTAATTCCTGACGGCACTATCGAGGGTGCTCACTTTGTCAGGACTCGTGACTACGTTCAGGTTACCGGTGTTGGTGACTTCACCAGTATTCTCATCCCCGACGGTGACGATGGAGGAGAGTTCGACCCTCACGGTGCCGATGATTTGGGTAACCCCATTGGTGGTATTGTCTACACCACTGCTAACCCTGCTACCAACGGCGAGCCATACTTCGTTAGCGAGTGGACCAACTTCATGTCGTACAACCAGTTCTGTCTTCGTGCTTGTTGGGGTGAGCGAGCTGCTGCGCAGTGCGAGCACATCTATGATGTTATGGGTTGCAGATGGAACATCCCCGCTAACTACGAGCCTGGTGTTTTCGAGACTTGCGATGGTGATGTCGGTCTTCTCCAGGGTATCTACGGCTCTTCGACCTTCCGACAGGGCGACCCTGTTACTCCCTCGGCTCATCCCGCGCCATCCAGCAGTCAGTGCTCGACTGTTAGGACCATCAGCCACGGTCTCCTTGCCGCATCGGCGAACGAGACTTCCACTTCAGTAGCATCGAGCTCTACCACTTCGGCTGGTGTCACTTCCACCACGAGCCGTGTCGCCTCGGTCGCCACTTCGCCCAGCTCGGCAGGGACTAACGGCAGCAGCAACTCTGGCTCATCCGGCAGCAACGCTAACAGCAACCAGAACACCGCCACTTCCAGCGCTAGCACTCTCACCATCTCGGCCGCTCTTGCTGGTCTCTTCGCCGTTGGTGCCGCTGTTGTCGCCCTCTAAATTCTATCACTCATACTCGCATATTCTCCTCGAACACAGACAGCACCTTTGCTTTATCTGAATCGTAAATAGTTTACTCTTCGCGCATCCTTTCGCTTCTTTCGCTTTCTCGCATGGACAATAATCTGTCTTTCCTTCATCATCATTGGATCTCATTACCATTGCTACACTGTCTCATTTGTCAGCCCACGCCTGCGATTGAGCTGATCGATTTGGTTGACTGTAGGTGTCACAGTTGATTGATTACAGCCCTTGCGATTGGTATATGCTGGATAGGATTACAATGTTGAAAGATTGCATTCCGACCTAATAGCTTGCTGCGCTCTGGACCTGACTTGCGGAAAGACGATCTTGTACCAAACGCGACCACATCTCGTCGTTGATCGCTTTAGCCTGCTGCAACTGCGAGCGCAATAGCTTGTTCTCCCGGTTCAAACGCTCTGCCTGCTGAGCAACTTGGATTTGTGTGCTCGACTGCGTTCCTCCAACACCAGATCCACCTTGCGCGGATAAACGTACAGCAGACGAGTACGAGCCAAAAAGATCATTTGAGACGAGGTTACTGTCCCACTCGGGGTCGATAAAGTTGTCGACCTCGCCCTCGCCGAAGTTGGCTGTAGCACTGCCGCCGGCGATGCGTGTGAGGTACGGTGTAGCAAGTCGGTCTTCTTCTGATGCGAGGACGTGACGGCTGAAGTTGGCGATAGGGCGAACCGGGATGTTGGCAGGAGTAGCAGAGGGGCCTGCACCGCCAGATGCGTTCATGGCGCTGCCTGCACCAGACGAGGTAGATGTCTCCCAATGACCAAGCAAGTCTCGTGGCTTGGGAAGGACCATGAGATTGGTCACTGCATTCTTGCCTGTGATTGCGCTAGTTTTGGCGTTGCCCAAGAGAGACAACTCACGAATGATTTGAGAGTTGGACACGTCGATGACGTACAGCTTACCAGAGAGACTACCAACGAGCAAAGAGGTGGAATTGGAGGAGAGACACAAGCTAGAAATGGGTTCGCGGATTGAGATGATGCTCGATCGGTTGGCAGTTGCACGATCTGCCGCATCATTGACAGACGGGATACGTTCTGTGGTCGAACCAGCGCCAGAGCCAAAGCCATATGCTTCGACAGAAGTTGCTCCTCGGAGCTCCTCGGTGACAAAATCGAACTGAGTCCCCGAGCTAGCGACCTTGGTCTCGACCATTCTGCTAGATGCGTCACGTTTGCGGAAGAGGTCGATGCGGTAGATGAGATTATCGTTTGAGTCCGGAGAGGTGGCAGCGAAGAAGAATCGCTCGGTGCAGTCGAGGTGGACTCTGTGTATTGACTGCTGGAAGATGAAGGTGCTCAAGAGACTTCTTGTTCGAAGATCCCACAGCTTGACGCTTGCGTCTGCAGAGCTGGAAAGGATGGTGATCTGATGAGGGAAGCGGCCGCCCGAGACATGTAGATCGGTGATGCCAAGGTTGTGATCGGCGAGTGAGCAGTAGGGAGTTGGGTTGTGTTCGGAGCTGGTGATAGAAGAGCTTGTCTGATCATGGGGAGCGAGGAGGCCGGCCAAACTCCAAACTAGGATTCGGGAATCTTCGGAGCCAGTGACGAGACCTGCACCATCCTGAGTCCACTTAATGACGGTGATGGAGCGATAGTGAGCGTCGAAGGAAGCGAGAAGGTCTCCTGTCGCAATCTGCCACAGGAAGATGCGGCCATCGAAGGAACCACCGGCCACCAGTTCGCCGTTCGGCGAGCATGCGACGCAGGAAAGCTTTGATGGAAGGATAATTCGCTGAAGTGGATGATCACGCTGCCATGAGAAGACGTTGAGTGTTGCCTTGTTGTTCTCGAGCTGGAAGACGAGACCGCCCGTGCCCGAGATCGCTGGGTTGGGTGAAGTTGGAATGACGCTGACCGAGTGAAAAGATGGATCAGAAACACCTTTGAATGTGAAGAGTGGTGAAGTCGAAGATGGTGCTGCAACGGTTGTGAGACCCATGGATCCTACCAGAGAGGAGGATGAGGCTGTGGAGTAGAGCAGACATTCTGTCGCAAAGAGCGAGGACGCTGATGAGGAGGATGCCATGTTGTACGGGCACCCTGATGTCGTTTCCAAGACAGGTTCACTAACTCTTGAAGTCGGTTTGAGAGTGAGTGAAGGGGTACTTGAGGTGCAATGGACATGCAAGGCAGCGACGAGACCTTCGATGGGTCTGATCAGGATGAGCTGTGATTGCTGGATGAGAGGTTTGAAGCGGAAAGAGCTGCTTGAAAGAGTAGAAATTCCAACGAGGAGAACGAGCTTGGACTTTGTATCACGTGATCGCCAAAAAAAGGCGTGCGCATCTGGGCTGGAGTTACGTTTCGTGCGATTGAGTCCAGAGGGGACCAAGATTCTTTGGAGAGTGGAGTTGTCAACGCGGAAGTCGGGCTTGGAGATTTGTTTCCGCGAAATCGGGAATCCGTCCATCGGGACTCAGGGTTCCCCTCGACATGCGTGATCCTAACGAGAGCCTGAATCGGGAAGATGGCTGAAGATTGAACTGCTTGACGGACAGGTCCAAGCAGAATGCGGCGGGAAGAGGATGAGGAGAGTGAACGCGGGGCCGGAGAGGTCTCCTTTGTGCCTGTGCTGAGTTCTAAGCGCACTTTTCTCTAATTGTTTTTCCGCGCCACGGCTCAAATGGCAGGAGCCAAGGCTTTGTGAATGTGACTCGCGGCGGAACATTAAGCTTTTCGAGGTGAAGCGCTGTGCTGCCTTTTCTTTTTTCTTTTTCTTTTTCTTTTTCTTTTTCTTTTTCTTTTTCTTTTTCTTTTTCTCTTTTTCTCGCAGCTTGGCGGACTGACTGAGCTCGTGTGCGCTGAAAAAGGAAAGTCGCGGCTCTCAAAAAGGCAAGCAGAGAGAGCTGGCGTGGCGTGGCGTGGCGTGTAGATTTCAAAAAGAAAAGGAAAATCGGAAGCTGTTGTTGCTCTTTTTTTCTGGTTTGCGCGGTGGGCAGCAGAGTTGCATTTAATCAATCAGATTTGTGACAGAGTAGTAGAGAGAGAGGAGGCGAGTCATCGTCGTAGACAAGGGGAGAAGACAGAGAGAGAGAGAGAGGGAGGGAGAGAGGGAGCGTGGGCGTGGGCGTGGGCGTGGGCGTGGGCGTCGGCTCTCCTGTTCTTGACTGTCGTTGGCCAGATCTTCCGAGTCAGAGCGCACAAACCTCATTAATAGGGACTTGAACTGATTCGCACGCTCGCCACCCGCTCAACTATCTTCCCCACCACAACCATACCTACCCGGACTTAGCCGCCAGCTCTCTCTCAGAACAGCAACGCCACTCTCGCTCGAGCATCGAGACGCAAATCCGACAAAACTCTCAGGCTAGATTACAAGAATCACCTCGCCCGGCGTCAAGACTATTCGCAGCAGGCAGCGCATAGACCGCAAGAAGGACTTCAGCAGAACCATCTGCCAGCCCTAGAGCATTACACAGCATATCCAACATGTGTGGTATTCTCGGATGTCTCCACCACCCCGACGCGCCGGCGTATCGCAGCAAGATGCTCAGCATGTCTCGCTGCATTCGCCACCGTGGTCCTGATTGGTCCGGTTGTGTCGTCACTCCTGAAGACGGCACAAAAGGTTCCATCCTCTGTCACGAGCGTTTGGCTATTGTCGGTATCTCGACCGGTGCTCAACCTCTCGTTTCCACCGATGGCAAGCTCATCCTTGCTGTCAACGGTGAGATTTATAACCACCGACAACTTCGCAAGAGCCTCAAGGGTCAGAATGCTGAGTTCAAAACAGAGTCGGATTGTGAGGTTATCCTCCATCTCTACCGCGAACACGGCACCGATTTCGTAAAGATGCTCGACGGAATGTTCTCCTTCATCCTTCTCGACACTACTCAGACCCCACACCGTGTCATTGCGGCGCGTGACCCTATTGGAATCACCACTCTGTACCAGGGTGCTTCGTACAAGTACCCCGGTGTTGTCTACTTTTCGTCCGAGCTTAAGGCAATTCACGAGGAGTGCGACCGCATTCGTTCTTTCCCTCCTGGTCACTTTTACGACTCGGCGCTGCCCGAGGGTAAGGAGACCGTCCGTTACTACACCCCCAACTGGCTTGAGGACGACGCTGAAGACGCTGCTGCTCCCACCAACTCTACCGATCTCAAGTTGATCCGCGAGTCTCTCGAAAAGGCTGTCCGTAAGCGTCTCATGTCCGAAGTCCCCTACGGTGTGCTCCTTTCCGGTGGTCTCGACTCGTCGCTGATTGCTTCGATCGCAGCAAGAGAGACTGACAAGATGGCCGACCTTCAGCGAAAGCAGTGGGAAGAGAGACAGGCTCGTCGTGCTCGTGGTCTCATCACCCCCGCTGGTGATGCCAACGGTGCGAAGCTTCCCGTCGGTCTCGACGAGGACGCGGACAACGAGGTAGAGAACCTTGCCGCATGGCCTCGTCTCCACTCGTTCTCCATCGGTCTTCCCGGTTCGCCCGATCTGCTCGCTGCCCGCAAAGCCGCTCAATTCCTCGGAACCGTCCACCACGAATACACTTTCACCGTCCAGGAAGGTCTCGATGCCATTGCCGACGTCATCTACCATCTGGAGACCTACGACGTCACCACTGTTCGTGCCTCTACTCCTATGTACCTGCTCTCGCGCAAGATCAAAGCGATGGGTGTGAAAATGGTTCTCTCCGGTGAAGGATCCGATGAGATCTTTGGTGGATATCTCTACTTCCACGCTGCTCCCGATAAGAAGTCGTTCCACCAGGAATGTGTTCGACGTGTTAAGAACTTGCACACGGCGGATTGTCTTCGTGCTAACAAGAGTACTATGGCTTGGGGTTTGGAAGCACGTGTTCCTTTCCTCGACAAGGCTTTCCTTGACGTTGCCATGAACACTGATCCTGCGGATAAGATGTTCAGCAAGGGTTCTTTGCAGGAGGTTGACGCCGACGGACGTCCACGAATGGAAAAGTACATTCTCCGAAAGGCTTTCGATGTTATCCCTGACGACATTGAAGCAGGTGGTGATGGAACTGGTAGCAAGCTCTCTTCTTCGGCTCCTCGTAAACCTTACTTGCCCGAAGACATTCTTTGGCGTCAAAAGGAACAGTTCAGTGACGGTGTCGGATACTCTTGGATCGATGGAATGAAGGAATACGCCGAAAAAAGCATCTCTGACGACAAATTCGCAGAACGTGCCAAGAGATACCCCACAGACACGCCTGATACGAAGGAGGCTTACATGATTCGAGAAATCTTTGAAAGCTGGTTCCCTTCCGACGCTGCAGCTTCCACATCGGTTCGTTGGATCCCTCGTGCCGATTGGGGTTGCGCCACTGATCCTTCCGGTCGTGCTGTCAAGATTCACGAATCGGCCTACTCGGCTGAAGAGTAAACAGCGTCACACTCACAAAGTTGGCATTCTTCTCTGACTCTTGTATCCTTTCTTTCTTTTGAAATCAGCAAGCTTCACATTTGCATCTCCAATGATTATGTTATCTGACTGTTGCTTCTCGTTTGAGCTTAGGATATAATTTGTACTTGGACCCGTAAAGAAAACACTTCTCTCACACAAGACTAGACGGAATTGTGCAGGACAAGAAGATCACATTGAAAAAAAAAATCAACACTGAATCAAGGTATAAAGAATACAAGTTTGCGAGACGAAAGATCACTACTGAGAACCATGCGAGTGTTGACTATCAGCCAACGCAACCCAACTGGTATCCAACGGCGAGTCTGTTGCTTGATCTCGCTCCTCATTCTCGGAGGCGTAGGCCGAATTTTGCTGCACAGCCGGAGAGTAAGTCGCACGACTGCTTGTGCCACTGCTACTAGGAGGGCCCATCCATGGATCACGTCCGGATCGAGCTTCACGAGACCCATCTGTCAAGCCTGCATTGGAAGCCGACAAGTCAGCGTGTGATGACTGCATAGGTCGTGTGGCTCCAAAGTAAGGGCTGTGTGTGTGCGAGGCACCACTCTCCTCTTCTCCGTATGCATCAGCGTCGGCATCGTTATCACCATAAGCCGAAGAAGGGACGCTGCTTGGAATACCGGAGCCTGCGCCAGAGGATCGTTCGCTCTCGGGTAAACTCTGTGCATCCGAGTCTCGGATCTCGTAGCCTAGAGGACTTGGTCGCTTGACATCTGCGTTCGACCTGAGAAGCGAGGCTCGAGAGTGAGCACTCGAAGTGGGACCCGGGCCTGGACCTGCAATGGGTCGCTTGTTCGCAGCCGATTGCGCATTTGACTGATCTGGACGGTCACTTGGCGTCTTGCCCCAGTTCCAGGGGAGGAAAGCTTGCTCGGCACGGCCAACAAGCCCTGCTCTGCGCAAGGAGAGCTGCCTGCCAAGAGCGAGTGTAAAGTCGACGACACTGGTTGGAACGATGGTGAGCAGTACCTGGCTGAGAGTGAGCCAGTAGGCAGAGAGCGTGTGTGTGCCGACCGTGTAGCTGGGACGCAGTCGTCGCTTGGTGCTGAGCAAAAGGTCCGAGACCTTGTTCAACACTGGTGCCGAAGTGGGAGACCTGTGATGCCACAGTGAGCCGAGCGAAGAAGAGGGCGACCTGGCATAGCCAGGACGGGACGGCGATGACTGCGACCCACCAATATTGGCAGTGCTCGCTGAAGCATCAGTGGAGCTGGCGTTCAAGACGTTGCCGTAATCACCCCAGATGGAGCCAGCGTTGACTTCGACCATTGTCACGCGAACATCTCTCTGCTTGAGGGCGGATCGGGAGCTAGAGGCTCTTCGTCCTGCAACACTGCCGGAAGTCGAGCTACTGAGAGCTGGAGGGAGCTTGCTGTTGCTGGCAGTCTTGGAGTGGAACGTTTCTTCCTCGCACTCACGTCGGAGCGACTGGACACCGGCAACGACACTCTGGGCGATGACGGAATACATGGCTTGGCGAGGCAGAGCGGTACGAGAAGCAGGACTGGAGACGAGCGTAACTACTGTAGCGGGGTCCGTTTCAGGCGTATCTTCAGCTCGGTTTGGAAGGGCTCGAAGCATCGGAATGAGAGCTCCCAGCACGCAGAGACTGGCTACCACGTGACGGCCGAGGAGCTCGGAAGAGGGAGAGGGCGTGAGCTTGGAGATGGGGACACCGAGCGAAGAGGCCGAGGTTGAAGCCGACATGCTGCGCGACAAGTTGGGGTCTTCCTCAGGTGCGACGAAGCTGAGCGCGTTGACTACTCCGGCAATAATGATGTTCTCGCCAGGTCTTGCGTAAGGGTCACCAGCACTGGTGAGTGGATAGCGAAGGCTGAGAGCAGCAGAGAGCGCTCTGACGAAAGGCTGAAGGGAGCCAGAGGGGTCATCTACATCAAAGATGAGCGCCTTGACGTATCCTCGGGAGCTAGGAGGGATGAGGTTCTCGAACTGAGCTAGAGCAGCCGAGGACGAGAGGGAAGCGAGGACGACGAAACCTTTGCTCGAGAAGTGCAAGGCCAAAGAACGGCCCAGGGGTGTGTCTGCTCCTAGCACGATGACGGCTTCTCTACGGATACCGCGTTTCAGGCGAACCTGGCGTGTGCGGCCACGACCCACGACCAGCTTTCTGCCTAGATAAGGCAAAGCGACATATCCGGCCTGATAGGCGTAGGTCGTTCCAAGGCCCACAACTAGGAGACCGCCTGCCAAGCTGAGGGAGGTGAGATGCCTTCGAGACCATGATTGGAAAAGCTGCAAGTTGGTGGGTGGTGGCGGCGGAGGGAGCACGGGGGTTGCGGGAGTGGGTGAAACAAGCTCGGTGAGCTTGTCGATGAAGCTATCGAATGATGACAAGGATGGCAAGTCTGAGATGGGTGGACCGTACTTGTTGAGCTGCTCGTAAAGGATCCGGTAGTATTCTTGAACCGAGACGGAGACCCTGTGGGGCAGCTCTTGGATATTGCGAGGCAAGTTCTCCTCAATAAAGTTTTCGAGATCCGTAAGGGACGGCATGATGCTGGTGGTGGTGGTGGTGGCTATCTATGAAGATTGGGTTGCATCGGCCATGGACATGCAAAGTGCGCGAGCAGTCGAGGGCGCTTGAGATGGTGTTGATGGCTAGGAAAGAGGAAGGAACAGTGATGGTGGCAAGTGTAGGCGAGCCAGAGGTGTGCTCTCTGTGCTTTGCGCGTCCAACTGAGCCAAACGATGAAGGGAGAGAGAGTGAAATGAGCGTGTGAGTGAGTGTGTGAGTGGAGGCAAGGCAAAATCAAGCCCTTTTTTTTGTTTTTGTTTTTGGCAGAGAGTGTGAGTGTGAGTGAGTTGAAGATGCGTCGGCATCTCAAGTAAGATGCACATGTTACGGCCGAGACATTGAGACACGGGAGGCTCACGTAAGCGAGAAGTACAATGAGGTACGTAATTGTTGTCATGGTGACAGCACAGTGGCACCCGGTATCATAGCAACACAGGAGTACAAATGAAGAGACACATCCTGCCTCGAATAGGACCAGAGCAGTGAATGGAGTATATATATGTGTTTGTCATTCAGTCTCACATCATGAAAACTAAGCATTACATAGAACATACGGCTGTGGTAAAGGGAGTCTGATCGTGACCCCGATAACGCCGTATATTAATTGTTATCTTCATTTGATTAAGAGTCTGAAGAAGCTATCACCGAGCTAACCGAAACTCGCCGACAACCATGGTAGAAGACACCGAAACGAGGACCAAAGGAGGCAGAAAAGGCAAGAACACCCAGGTTCGGGTCGATAATAATGCCACGAGCGAGAACGAGCCGGAGGCCATCAATGATGAAGCCGACGAAGACACCGATTCCGACTCCGACTTTGATGATGGTGACAAGCGATATAACTTTCGCACCCTAGCAAAGCTCCTCGAACCCGTGCCAAAGCTCACGTCACGAAACTATCATAGCTGGAGCGCCCACGTGAAATCTTTCCTCCGATCCGTGCCTCATGCGATGAAACATCTCGAGGGAACGTACGACAAGAAACACCCGAAATGGAGCCGCTCCCTCGACGATGCTTTAATCAACGCCCTGCGTGGAACAATCGACACTACCGGAGAACACAATGTAAATTACCTCGTTCTAGATGTAATCAAGGAGTACCTTACTTTCAACCAAGTGTGGAGAAAGATCGAAAACGGTCTCACGAATGAAGCCACCAAGACGTCTCACAGACTTGCGCTTATCTCGCAACTCAACGATACAAAGATGTTTAACTCGGACGCCAGAAAGCTAATTCAAGAGATCCGGTCCATACAAACCGAAAGCAGCCTCCTCGGCAAACCATTCGCCGATGATACATTGTTCTCGGCTCTGCAGAAATGCACGATCCGGCATCCGGTGTACAAGGAGACGGTTGCCACCGTCCATCAAATCGATTTCAACGCCCTTGCCACCGCACTAAGCATCCGGCAGACCGCTGTCGAGAGCGTCCCCGCACAAAGGATCGACCCTCGACAAGCCAGTGCTAGAACCGCCGGCAACAACGATCAAAACGAACGGGCCGGAGAGACCGAAGCCGAAGCCGACAACAGCCACGCGAGCTCGAGGAACGCAAGCAAGTCACGCCGAATCCGATGCTGGGTCTGCAAGCGACCGGGACATGGTATCAGTCAATGCGACGCCTTGGTTACCATTCCCAAGGACTCCCCCCTCGCTGAACCTAAATAGGAAGCGTGGTGCTCCCTCACCCTCCCAATGAAATGGCAGGACCCCTCGAACACAAAAGAAACAGCTCATTGGATCTTGGACTCGGGGGCGAGTTACCATATGGTGAACGACTACAGCATGCTCATCCACCCGAGAACTTGCCGAAAGCGGATAATTACCGCCGGAAGCGAGGTCTTGGAAGCGGCAGCTATAGGAGATGCAAGCATATCAACAGATTACGGGGAAATCTCTCTGCAAAATGTATTGTATGTAAAGCACCTTAATGTTAACCTTCTGTCAACAAATTCATTAACGGATGAAGGAGCACGAGTGATATTGGACACAACCGGCGGCCAAATTTTTCTAACAAACGGCATGACACTTAAGATTGCAAAGAATCGCGAGCGAGGACTTCTGGAGTTCCGAGGCGACACATGGCAAGAAAGCGCGATGGCCACATCAGCACCATTGTTTGAAGGTGTTGATGAGGAGTTCGAGCATATTGAGAATGAGCCGAAAGTTTCAAAACAACAACTATGGCATGAGCGTCTCGGGCACCCAGGAAGAGATAAAGCTAAGGCGATCACAACCAAGTTAAAGGATAAGCATACCATGAAATTGGATCCAAACACCGCTCTGACGTGTGAGCAGTGCGTACGATCCAAGAGCACAAGCGCTCGGATGGGGAAAGGTAGCGGCGAAAGAGCCGTAGGGCCCCTGGATCTTATCCACGTCGATCTAATAATAGACTCGTCCCACGTGACGGAGTACACATGCACGTTGGTGCTGGTCGACGATCATAGCAAGTATGTGTATGCACAGCCATTGACACGAAAGAGTCATGCCTTTATGCAACTCAAAAGGATTGTTTCGTTCCTGGAGACACAGACGGATCGGAAGCTAAAAGCGATCCGATCCGATCAAGGAACGGAATGGAAAAGCAATGATGCATTAGAATGGTCGTTAGAAAAGGGCATAGAGTGGCAAACCACCGTAGGGTACAACAGCAAACAAAATGGACGGGTAGAAAGAATGAACAGGACCCTTGGAGAGAAGATGAGAACGTTGCTAATGCAGAGGAGACTACCGAAGAAGTTCTGGCCATACGCGATCAGAGCTGCGGCGTTCAAAATAAACCTCACTCCGAGCGTTGATAATGAATTCCCCTATCAAGCGATGTTTGGCAAGTCGCCGGAACGAGCTTTAAAGCTCCTACGAGTGTTTGGTTGTCTGGCATGGGTAAACGTACCCAAAGTTAAACGGGACAACAAGAAACTGGACCAGCGAGCCGTCGCATCCATTTTCTTAGGGTACAGTCTAGAAAGGAAGGGCTGGCTCTTCTACAGCCCGGACTACAATCCGAACATCTTCTGGAGCAACTCAGCAAAATTCATGGAATCAAAGTGTTGGTCAGACAGAACAGAGTGGCGACTGGTTGACACAAAGGCACCCCCAATGATGATGACAGAGGAAAATTTCGAAGATCTAGGATACAATAAGGAAAATATATTCGACGAAACAGATGAAGAGCCACTACGAGAATACATGGATATGGAGACAGATTCGGAAGAAAGATTAAGCGAAGGAACAGCGGAGGTGATGGAACAAGGACCAATCGCCGAAACTCAAATTGACAGCGAATTCTATGGACTCGTAGCGACGCGACCGGAATGGAGAAAGAACCTGGACCCAACCATACATGAAGCAATGAGTGGAAAGGACAGAAAACACTGGGAGGAGGCCATGCGAAAGGAGCTGGATGGATTGGAGGCGATGGGCACATGGGAGATAGTCGACCTCCCAAAGGGTGCAAATACTGTCGACACACGTTGGGTACTCAAGATCAAAACCGATGCAAACCTCGTGCCGACAAAGTTCAAAGCCCGGCTCGTGGCACGAGGTTTCACTCAACGCGAGGGCATCGACTATACAGAGGTCTTCGCACCAGTAGCACCCATCCAATCCATTCGAGGGGTGATCGCTGTCGCAGCAGTACGAGATTGGGAAATGGATTCTATCGACGTAAAGCAAGCGTACCTGAACTCCACTATACACCATGATGTATACCTCAAGCCCCCAGTAGGAATCGAAATGCCACCCGGAAAAGTGTTGAAGGTAGTGAAAGGACTGTACGGTCTGAAACAATCGGGCCGAGAATGGAACATTGAGTTAGACTCACATCTCCGGACGATCGGATTCCATTGCATGCCGAGTGCACCATGCCTATACTCAAGAGGGACAGGCGACAAGATCACGATCATCACAGCATACGTGGACGACATGCTAATAACATCACCCAGTCGTGATGAAGTAGATCGCGCAAAGCGAGAGATCATGGACAAATGGGAGACGCAAGACAATGGAAGGGTCAAAGAATTTCTGGGTATCAAGATCACACGTGATAGAAGACGGAGGAGGATATCTCTGGGTCTAACGGCATACATCAAGGAAATGGTGAACAAATGGTTAGGAGGAGCAAACGAGAAATCTTGGGTACCCATGCTGAGTGTAGCGAACGTTGCCGGAGGCGAGCGATGTGAACCTCAGCGAGCAAAGAAGTATCAAGAATTGGTCGGCCAACTATTATGGGTCTCCAACACAGCCCGACCAGATATTGCCTTTGCCGTCGGCGTATTGGCGCGATATATGTCGATCCCAATCGACAGTGCATGGAAGGCAGCCATCCACGTGGTAAAGTACCTGAACCAAACGAACGAATATCAGTTGCACCTAGGAGGGGAGACAAACGAGCACTCGGATACACCGGTAACGACGTATACCGACGCAAACTGGGCATCCGACCCCACAAATGGATGAAGAAGCACCTCGGGGTCGATAACATATGTATATGGGTGTCCAGTGAGTTGGAAATCACACGTTCAGAAGTGTGTGGCATTGTCGGCAGTCGAAGCAGAGTTTGTCGCCGCTTCCGAAGCGGTACGAGAAACCTTATTCTTCTCATATTTGCTCCGGGATTTGGAGACCACGGACGTTCGGCCCGTACTATACACAGATAGCCAGGGGTGCATACAGGTGAGTAAAGATCCAGCCAAACATTGGAAGTTAAAGCACATCGACACACGGTATCATTTCGTTCGCGATCACGTACAAGAGGGCGATGTGGAAATCAAATATGTCGGAACGGCAAACAACGTTGCAGATGTCTTGACAAAACCCTTACAGGGTCTTAACACCTCACGATTGGCTAGGATGATAGGACTGGAGATCCCGCCGAAGGGGGGAGTTGAAGATGCGTCGGCATCTCAAGTAAGATGCACATGTTACGGCCGAGACATTGAGACACGGGAGGCTCACGTAAGCGAGAAGTACAATGAGGTACGTAATTGTTGTCATGGTGACAGCACAGTGGCACCCGGTATCATAGCAACACAGGAGTACAAATGAAGAGACACATCCTGCCTCGAATAGGACCAGAGCAGTGAATGGAGTATATATATGTGTTTGTCATTCAGTCTCACATCATGAAAACTAAGCATTACATAGAACATACGGCTGTGGTAAAGGGAGTCTGATCGTGACCCCGATAACGCCGTATATTAATTGTTATCTTCATTTGAGTGTGAGTGTGCGTGTGCGTGTGCGTGTGCGTGTGCGTGTGAGAGAGAGACGCGCGCCAAAGTCACTCTGCGCATTGGTCCCTCGTTGTTGCCTTATTGAAATGAGCTGGGCTGCTGTGCACCAACAAAATAAATCAAATAAATCAAATAAATCAAATAATTACATAATCCGGAAATCCATAAATCCCATAAATCAATCAATAATTTGCCGAAGGAAGCGATCCGATATGATGATGCATGCTGACATAGACGCAATCGGCGATCAGATGGAACAGATCTGTCTGAAGATCGGGTGCAACATAGCCCCGCTCGTTGTCGAGCTAGGTCATGAAGGAGGATACTCGCACATTCGGCACGCACCTCATAGATGTATATATATCAAGCTGAGCACACTAGGTCCTCACCACGTTCACTTTAGTCAATCGAGTATACATCTTTCTGCCCTAAAGTAGTAGTGACATCGTGCTCGGACTCTCCCCGATCACCAGTTATTGGGACCAGAACTTCTTCACTTCTATTATAAATCAATCAAGGGTCCTTGCAGCAACACAGAGCTCGGAGGCACTTTAGCAGGCAAATTTAGCGCAGCAGTCACACCATCGCCCTAGCTCACACAGCGGGCAAGTCACAGACACGCAAGGGCTCAGCTCTCACCTCCAGTGTCTCGCGCCCACCTTGCCTCTCAGTGTTGGCCCCGGAATTACACTCACTCGTCGGCGTGCTCTGAAGCCTGTTCTTGTCTCTCTATCCGTCTTCACTGACATTTGAAGAGAGAACGGCAACACAAGGAATCTATTTACGAGCCACGATGAGATGGTAAGATGACAATGACAAGCCTGATTGGCGCAAAGTTGGCCACAATATTACGAGAAAACAATTCGACTATGAACCTGAGATGAGAGCAACAGACGCTTCTGCTGCCAGTCAGATGATGCCGACTGACTGGCACTTTTTGGGCAAGTCCAGAACGTGGACTGGATGAGAGGTATGAGATGGAGAGGATGATCAAGTGCAAGACTTGCTAATTCTCTCGAGGTAGGAGCATCACAAAGCGAGAATCCAGAGCTTACCATCTCGAGTTGCCAACGGCGAACGAGTTGGCGCCAGTGCGTCCTCCACCGCCGAAACCACCACGGCCGCGACCACGGCCACGTCCACGGAAGCCACGTCCTCCACCACCTCCACCACCGAAGCGACCCATCTCCTCAATCTCACGAGGGATCTCCTGCTTGGCCTCACGAAGAATGCCAATCAGCTCACGAGCCGACTTCGAGTTCTCGGGTGTGAAGTAGGTGTAGGCGGTACCAGTACGGCCAGCACGTCCGGTACGACCGATCTGGTGAACATAGTCCTCAGTGTTGGTGGGGAAGTCGTAGTTGATGACTATCATGATGGATGAGATTATAGGGCAAAAAGGTTAGCAACGTTGATTCGCATATGCATTTGATACTTCTGAGCGTCCAGACAACGAGAGCCAGGGCAGGGAGGTCAACTTACCATAAGAGATGTCCTTGACGTCTATTGATGGACCAACATCGTTTGCAGCACGCACAAGGCCAATCGAGAAGCGGAGCGGTTAGTAGCAAAGAAAGGACAGCGCCAAAATACAATTCGAGTCGCCAGGGCAGAAACAATTGCAAATGTTCGTAAACGGCATCGTTTCAGAGCGGTCGTAAATCGGTCGTGCCACGTATCGGCAGGAAATGGGTTGAAAACGACGTTTGCATTGCAGAGAATGAAACGCAAACGCCGTTACAGCAACATGGCAGAAACAAAGACAAAGATGACAATCGCATCCGATAGTTAGTAAACAAGCCTACGGGGCTATAGCGCATTCACCAATGACAGGAGTGATGCTCTTGATTCCGTCCGCCTCGCTGACAAACCGTCCTTGCAGCCGGTTAAGCAGACGCAAGATTCTACAATGCACCCATCTGAACGATGACAACTGGTCGAAACAGCGGCAGGCACGACATTGCATTGACAAGCAGAACATTGCCATCCTACACAGCTGCTGATCTTTTTATTGGCCCCCATCAGCGTGCTGCAACGCTGTGAGACATCCTTACTCCAATTGAAACAACGTGAATCTTTCCGCGACCATAGAGAAGCTTTTCGGTTCCTGGACGTGCTTGGTGCGCATCACGACAACTCAGGTGTAGTTGTACTGCGAGCGTGGTGGACTGCATGGGACATTTCGAAGTAGGCAGTAATTGTTGTATGCGTAATGTTGCGCAGCCAGAAATCATCCGGTAGCCGAGCAGCTGACAGATCCTTGCTGTGCGAAAACATGGCAGCGAGCTGGAGCAACTAAACGGGGAGGGACGATACTGAGCCGCAACCACGTACATCAACTTACGTTGAACTACCATTCAACGGAACAAATCATCTAGTTTGACGCGACCTGCAACGCTCCGCATGCTGATTGCGGAAGGACATCTATCAGCCCTTGATACAAGGCAGTGCGAGCGCAGGCAACAGATCAGTGTGCATGGGAAAAGCAAACCCCCTAACACAAGGAATTGCTGACCAAGATGCTTTGGGTGCCGAGGGCGAGCGTTGACGGGAGGAGCTTCTCTTGATGGCGTGTGGGAGGAAAGAATAAGACGCTGTGATCGGCATGCAATCAAAAGACAAGTACGAGCTTCCTTGCAACGCTCTGGCAGAGAGCTTGCAAGAAATTATTCGCGGTTTACCTCTTTGGCAAGACATGCAACACTGTTGAGTGTCTCGACATGCCGATACTAACATTGGAGATCTGTTGTGGAGCAGGGAGGATGGTGGCTGTCTCGAGAGTGACGGAAATGCACGACGGAATGGGAGAAAAAAATTGGTTTGCGAACAAGCTGCGCGTCCGTGAAATTGGCGCGCGCAACACCGCGCCGGATCTCAGAGAGATCATCCAATCATCTCGCATGTTGCGGAGCAAGGACAAAGGGAGGGGGGCGAGGAGGGAAGCGAGGAGGGAAGCGAGGAGGGAAGCGAGGAGGGAAGCGAGGAGGGAAGCAAGGAGAGAAGACAGGGAGTAGAGAGGGAAAGGGAGAAAGGAAGATAGGGAAAAGTGTTTCAACTTACCGAGACCACGAGATGCTACAGCGGTAGCAACCATAATGGGGCTTCGACCAGACTTGAACTCGGCAAGAACCCAGTCACGCTCCTGTTGTTGCTTGTCACCGTGAATGGCGAGGGCGGGCCAGCCGTCCTGACGAAGGTATTTGGTAAGGTCGTCAGCGACGCGCTTGGTGCTGGTGAAGATGATGACCTTGCCGTTCTCCTGCGAGATGGTCTCGAGGTGACCGATGAGCTTGCCCTTCTTTTCGAATTCGCTGCAGACCTCGATGATCTGCTTGACGTTGTGGTTGGCGGCGAGCTCGGTGGAACCAATGTTGACTTGAGCGAAGTCGTTGAGGAAGTCTCCGGCAAGACGCTGCACCTCCTTGGGCCAAGTGGCCGAGAACATGAGGGTCTGACGGTCGGGTCGGATCTGTTGCAAGATCTTGCGGATTTGGGGCTCGAAACCCATGTCAAGCATGCGATCGGCCTCGTCCATGACAAGGTAGGTAACGCGACGAAGGTTGGTCTTGCCAGCGTCGACCATGTCGATCAAACGACCAGGGGTGGCAATACAGATCTCAGCACCACGCTGAAGGTCACGGATCTGAGGACCCTTGGGCACACCACCGTAAACGGCACAGGTGCGGAGACGGCTAGAGCCACCAAAGCGGTTGCACTCGACCTGGATCTGATTGGCAAGCTCACGAGTGGGAGCGAGGATGAGGGCGATGGGGCCATCGCCGGGCTTGAGGAGGGGCTGAGCGTTGATGTGAACCATGGCGGGGAGAGCGAAACCAATGGTCTTACCGGAACCGGTCTCGGCGATGGCGACAAGGTCGCGACCGCTGAGGGCCATAGGCCAGGCCTGAGACTGAATGGCCGAGGGCTCGGCAAATCCCATCTTCTTGATTTCGGAGAGGATGTAGTCGGGGAAGCCGGCCTCGTCGAAAGAGGTGACAGGCTTGGGCACGTTCTGACCCTGGATGGTCATCTGCTTGGAGGCACGGTATTCCTGAACCTCACGCTCGCTGCGAGCAGCGACACGAGGATCCTCGATGTAAAAGTTCTTTTCGAAGGTAACGAGGTCGACAGAGTTCCAGTCGACAGCGCCGAGGTTGCTACCGAGGTTGCTCATGCGGTCTCCGCTGGCGCCATAGCCACCGCCATAGCCTCCACCGTTGCCGTAGCTGCTGCCACCGCCGTATCCGCTGCTGCCGTTGCCATAAGAGCTACCGCCGCCATAGGAGCTACCACCTCCGTAAGAGCTGCCGCCGCCATAGCCACCACCGTTGCCGTAGCTGCTAGAGCCACCTCGACCGCCGCCGAAGCCGCCGCGACTAGAGCCGGAACCGTTGCTGTATCCACCGCCGTAAGACATTTTATTTTTATTTTTATTTTTTGTTTTTTTGTTTTTGTTTTGGCACTTGAGTGTTGAAGGATGAAGAGAGAGAGAGAGAGAGAGAGAGAGAAGCGAAGACAATGAAGAAGCTTCTTGAGTTGAGGGAAAAAGATGTTGTGGTGGTAAGCAGAGGTGTGCGGATGAGATGGCAGGTCCTTTCCGCACGTTGCTGAGTTGGGATGTGTCGCTCAGCTGATCAGACCGTCAAGGCAAAAAAAAACTGGCTGAAATCTGAGAGCATTTCAACTCATCAGGGTGCTCCATGTCTCTCGAAAATTTTTATAAAAGAAAATAATGGCAGGGGAGCAGAGCTTCAACGTTCACAGTCTACTCAGCCAGAAGTGAAAGTCTTGTCATCGTTAAGTGCCGAAATCTTTAAACGAAACGCGAATTCGAATTTTTTCATCATCATCAGTCCTAAAGTTGCGTTTTACTCTCGTGCGAAAGGGGTCCGAAGCTTGGCAGTGTTCATTCAGTGCCGACCTAACAGCTCAGTTTGTCGCCGAGAAATTTGACAAGCAAGTTTGCAATACTTAGATTTCGGCGAGATACGAAGAAGGCTCGAAAGTGATGAGAGAGTCTGTGCTTGCCCCATCAAAGCCGAAGACGATTTGGAGGTACAGTCATATGAATTCATCAGGGCACCGCCTGCCTGGGTTATGCTCATTCAGCTTGGAAGAGACTGTTCATCACAAAGCCAAATTGTCAGGTATCTGTGTTCAAAGATCGCATGGAATAGTTGAGAGAAAGAGAGATTCAGGAGCCTTTGCGATGATCATGGCCATACAAGCATCGTGAAGAGCGTGGTTGCAAATCAACAGAAAATCGATCGATCACAGAGATCAGCGCAACGGTAGCCGAGTCTCAAAACCTCAATCGATCCTTCTCGTTGGCCTACCACTACAAGTCGCTGCCTATCCGCATCCCAGGAGCGATATCAATCCTTTCTTCGCACTCTCTAAACATCACCAGACATGTCGCTTCTTCGACAGACCGCTTCGAGCCAGATCGCCTGCCCCTTGGCTGGTCTGGTGAGCGCTTCGGCTCGCCAGTGCGTTCAACCTGCTCTCTCTTCGCGACCTGTTCCGGCTTCTCGACGTGGACGAGCCACAGCCGTCGACCCTAACGAACCAGCTGCCAACGCTCTCGCTTCTTCTTCCTCCTCCTCGTCCGCCTCTTCATCTATCTCCGCAGCAGCTCCTCTTGCCTTTGCAGCTTCTACATTGCCTGCCAACGAGGGCGCTATTCGACACAATTGGTCTCGCAAGGAGGTGCAGGAGATCTACGATTCTCCACTCCTCCAGCTCGTCTTCCGTTCCGCCAATGTCCATCGTATGCACCACCCCGTCAACCGTGTCCAGCTCTGCACCCTCATGAACATCAAGGAGGGCGGCTGCTCCGAAGACTGCGGATACTGCTCTCAGTCGAGCAGGTACGAGACTCCATCTAACGCTTCCAAGCTTGAAGACCTCGAGACCGTTCTTACTGAGGCACGCAAAGCCAAGGCCAATGGAAGCACCCGTTTCTGCATGGGTGCCGCTTGGAGAGAAGTTGGTGGCCGCAAGCGTGGTTTCAATCGCATTCTCGACATGGTCCGTGAGATCCGCGGTATGGGCATGGAGGTCTGCACCACTCTCGGCATGTTGACCACCGAGCAGGCAAAGCAGCTCAAGCAGGCCGGTCTCACTGCCTACAACCACAACCTTGACACCTCGCGTGAATACTACGGCAAGGTCGTCACCACCCGCAGCTACGATGACCGTATCGGAACCATTGCCAACGTTCGTGAGGCCGGTATCTCGGTCTGCTCCGGTGGCATTCTCGGTCTTGGAGAGGAGCACGAGGACCGCGTCGGTCTCATTTGGGAGATGAGCACGCTTCCTGAACACCCAGAAAGCTTCCCCGTCAATGCTCTTGTTGCTATCCCTGGTACACCGATGGAGGCTAACGAGCCCATCACGTTCCAGGACATGTTGCGCACCGTTGCCACTGCACGTATTGTTCTTCCCGGTTCCATCATCCGTCTCGCAGCTGGTCGTCATCTCTTCACCGAGTCGGAGCAGGCTATGGCTTTCCTTGCAGGTGCCAACGCCATCTTCACCGGTGAAAGGATGCTTACCACCCCAACCTCTTCTTGGGATGAGGACAAGGCCATGCTCAGTCGATGGGGTCTCCGTGGAATGGGTAGCTTCGAGGATAAGACCATGGCTCCTCACCTCTCGGCCATTCCTTCTCCAGCAGCTGACAGCGTTTCAGTCGAGGATCGTCGTGCCAAGGCTAACGCCAGCCAGGCTTTCCAGACCGCCTAGATCTTTGGCAAACATTATGAGTGGCCAATTGACTCTCACCTGTCGTTCACAGTTCGCAGAGCAAAAGTTATGTAAAGGCATCTTGTCACTCTGAATATAATCATACAACATTGTGACCTCATGGAGTGATCCGTCTGCTGATTCCTGTGTCCCGTACAAATTGAGAGTGACAGCACGCAACTCATTATGCACACAGCGGGGGCCACGCAAAGCACTCACAGACGGAGAAGCTAGATAAGGAGGAGGTTGCATTATATGTGAAAAGGACGAGGACTCCATGTTTACGATTCGATGCAGTGATTAGATGAGAGCAAGAGAGGACGACGTGAAGTGAGAATTGTACTCATCATACGAGAGCCGAGGGACGATGCGAAAGCGGTGCGAAGAGGAGTGTGATGGACTGTAATGCAATGCCTTGAGATGAGCGCGTGAGTCAATGCTAGGTTGCTCCTCAGGTAGAGTTGGCGGCTTGGAGCAAGTCCTGGATGACGCTGATCTCGCGGTCCATCGTGTCCCAGGCATAGCCCAACTGCGAAAGGCCTTCGATGAGGAAATCCACCTCGCGCTTCTTGGATCTGTGGGTATAGGGACCAAGGTTGAGCTTGTGCATACCTTCGAGCTGACGAAGAACCTCCAGATAAGCAGAGCCGGATCCGTCCTTGCCTTGGACTGCCGACTGGATGTCTTCAACCTTCTCCCGCTGTTCTTCGTGCGAAGCAAAGCTCTCGACGAGTCCGCGCTGTTGCAGGGCCTGAGGATCGATAAAGCTTGACACGTCTGATTGCGAATGACTACCTGCGGAGGCTGGTCGTCCGCTCATGCGATTGGCAACTTGCTCGTCCGAGACGCTAGGAATCTTGGCAAGAAACTGCGCAACGGGGAAGATCTGCTTAAGAATCGGGCCACCGGTCTGCAAGATGCCCAAGGGAAGAAGGATACCGACAAAACGAGCTGTCTTCCGGCAAGACACGATGGCCCGTTGCATGCTCTTGTCGAAAAGAGCTTTGAGCGAGGCTGAGACGACCTTGTCTTCTTCGGACATAGCGCTTTGGCCACCAAGAGAGTGGCGGAGTGTCGCCATGAAGGCAGCATTGGCACGATGTCGCTCGCCAAGAGCGCGGAATAGGGCAAGATAAAGAAGCGAGCCGCAGACTTTGGTACTTGCAATCCAGCCTAGTGGCCTGAAAGGCTGGAGGCTGTTCATCGTAGACCATGCTTTGGATGCGCAACGATCAAAGAAGAGCATCAGCGAGTCGAGGCTGTTCCAGACGGCTCCGCATGCCCGTTCTAGCTTTCGCACCTCGGCCAGTGTTGGCCTGGACGAAAACCTTGCGGCGCGAGGGATAGGCGCCATCGAGGCACCCATCGGTCGCTGCCACGGAGGAATGGATGGCTTGAAGCCATCAGCAGAATCGATGTGTTGTGCCAAGAAGCGAGACAGAGCGCCAATCTGCACCATGGTCATGATGACAAATGTAAGGCCCATCTCGCCCGAAAGCACCACTTCACCCTGTGGTGGAGAATCAACAGGAAGAGAGTCTTTGCGGAACGAAGCCTGACCGACCACCTCGATCGCGCGATCCTCCTTAAAGAAAGGTTTGCGTCGATTGAGTCCTGAAGCGACCGAATCGCGGCACCAAGTAGTGAGAAAAAGACGATGGGACTGCATGGTGCTGAGCATATGTTCTACTGCACGTCGATCCGTCTCGTCAACCACAAGCTTGGTAGACATGCCAAGCTTGCCGGCATGTTGACAGGCAGTGTCAGCAAAGAAGTGCGCCTGCACGCCATCGACACTGTCAAGCAGAGGGGCGAGCAGGCACAGGATCTGGAGGCTTTCGACACTAGGCTTCTTGAGAAGATCGTACTTGTGCACCAATGATAGAGCATGATTCAAGAGCGCGTGGCAGAAGGCCTTTCGAGCTTTGCCACGACGAAGATTGTGTTCAATGTCGCCGGGACGATAGGATCGAATGATAGCGTCACTGCGCGAGCTGATCCACGAGCGTGGGCTGAGGCGGTTGGTCTCGACCGCAGAAGAATCGGACAAGTTGTCAGGTGCCTCGAACGAGATGATGTCGTTGCTCTTAGAACCCTTGGCGCCCTTTGCCGCCAACTTGGCACGCCTGCTCTGGATATACGAATTGGTACATTTTATTCGCTTGTCCTCACATCGACTGCAGCCCATTCCATCAGGCCTTTCTGTGACGTCGCATCTGACACGGCGCAGTCGACATGTGTCGCAAGCAACACCTTGCTTGCGTTTTGGACGCTTGAGACCAGACTTGCTGCCGTCTGCATCTCGGCCCTCGAATGAGGAAGCAGGTTGAATTAGACCATTGTCGTCGACCTCAAGCAAGCGATTCTGGGTTGCATCGAGATCCTTGAACTCCGGGCCGAAAGCAATCGGAGCGTCTGTGTAGTGGGCGGCCCAAGCATGAAGCACAGCGAGCAGAGTCTCGGTGCTGCCTGGAGTGCCAATCTTGCTTTCCTTGGTCTCGGACCATGTGAGCGAGGAAAGTCCCTGAACTTCAGGGATGTGGGATGGCAAGTTCTCAGCAGCGGATCCACCATTGGACATGATGGACATCTTGCGGGGATCGCCATTAGCCAAGTTGAAGGTCTTGCTGAAGTGCGCAAAGTCTATCACTGGTGCTTGCATGTGACAGACGGCAAAGAAGCAGTTGAGGAGCTGTAGTGAGAGAGAGCCGGCCATGACACGATCGGTAATGCGAACTTCGGCACCTCTGAGCTCGGTGAGAGCGCGAATCAGGATGGTAGAGGCATTGGTTCGCTCCACAGCATGCCTTGGGAGGGTCGCATGATTGGCGGAAGCACCGTGGATCATGCGAGCCTGTTCAATTCGCTTGCCGGAACGGCTGGGACGCGGATATCTGCGTGAAGGAGGAGCATGGGTCTTGGTACAGACAAAGCCCTTCTCTTGACAGCGTGTGCAGCGGATGTGGTGAACCGCAGTGCATGTGCTAGTGCTTCTCTGCATCTCGAGTAAGACGGTCTCGGCCGTCTCTGGTGACGAACTTTGTACGGCCTCGGCGCGACGATCATCGAGATCACATCGAAGATGCTTAGTGCGGCATTGATCGCAAGTGACACCTTGGCGACGTGCTGACTTCTTCTTGTCGCCCGAGTGTACGCTCAAAGCTTCCGAACCAGGGGAGCCGATAGAGGAGCCGACCATGTCGCCAAAGTCGGAATCAGGTACTGGAAGAGAAGAGGCCTGCATGACCGATGCGAAAGCATCAAATGTGTCTGAGTCTCCATTTGTTTGCTTCGAGGACAGAAGAGGTGGAATCGATGACGGCTCGACGTGGTGAGGGTCGAGGTAGTGTGTATAGTAGTTGTGCGTGTCTTGCGAGGTACTGGATAGACTGGGCAGTTGAGTAAAGTCGAAAGACGGCGATGTAAAGGCGTCGGAAGTCGATGTAGAGGGCGCCTGACTTTGTGACAGCTCAGAAGCGGGAAGGCTGTTGGAAACTAGTGAGCCTTGAGCTTGCGTTGGACTGGAGCCATTCTGCATCGAAGTCCAAGGATTGGATGGTGTGAGCGAATGTGGTTGTGCAGTACCAAAATGCTGTAGATAAAGAGCATCGGCACCAAGTTCGGATTGGTGATGTTGTTGCGTGGATCGGCCATTGCTGTGTGGCTGATAGTCGCCGTTGAAATGAGCGAAGATGGCTGTCTCGCCAAATACATTGGGCAAGGGACTACGAGGTTGATATGTGTTGTTGGTCATGGTAGACTGGCCGGCGTCATCCACGGTGAAAGAGGTGGAGAGGCCGGCAGCATGGAGCTGTTGAGCTTGAGCTTGAAGAAGCTGATCGGATAGAGATGACGCAGGAAACGAATGACGCCTTGCGTCATCTAGATCTTGTCGACTGTCTTGTTGCCGGGCAAATGGCATCCTCGACAGCATGAGTGACTCGTAATGGGAGCTTGTTTTCCTGTGCAAGTGTTTGTGTCGGCGGTGAAAAAGCGTGTGTGGTAGAGCAGAATGCTTAAGCTTGTGCGTCAGAGGGGATGAGTGAAAAGGGCCCTTGTGTTGCAGAGAAGGAATCTGGTCTCTGTTGAGTCGATTAGGAGAGCAACTGGGTCTTATACCCAATCTGGTCCGTCAGAAGCGGGACGGTGAGAGCCAGGCGAGACGAGAGAGAGCAGGTGCCTCAGATGCGCTTAGCAAGGGAAAGTCGGAGATGTAGAAAGACTCCTGGTCCTGCTGTGGTAGGGGCAGATAGAGAGGGATTGTGTGCCAGGAGTCGCAGAGTATCCTTGCAGAGCTGTTGGTACGCCGAGTCTTGAACAGATTATGGTGGTCGACCAAAGATCCAGGGAGCAGGGACGGCCTCGGGTACGGAAGAATACGAACAGGTACGGTGAAAGGTAAGAGCGCGGCTTTACAAAGTTGACAAGGGTTGATGATGCTGCAAAATTGGAGATCCGGAAACGAGGCGGGTCGTGAGCGGGAAAGCAGACAAGGGTGGACACCGCCGAAAGACGCGAAACGAGAAGCAGGCCGTTGAGGTTGGAGAGGCGGACGAGCAAGGCGGCGCAAGGCTGGGACTCGCAGCTGATGGAGTCGGCAAGGAGATGCGAATAGAACCGAATACCGGAAAAGATGGTTAGGCCCAGGAATCAAAGGTGACGAAGATGCCAGACCACCAAAAGTGGATGCTGTGCGACATGAGCTGGTGCGTTCTGAGCTGGTGCGGTCTGAGCTGGTGTGGTCTGAGCTGGTGCGGTCTGAGCTGGTGCGGTCTGAGAAGTGAGCGTTATCGAAGAGTGTATGAGAAGGAGGAAGAAAGACAGGAATCTGCTACCAAGGTGACCAGCGTGAGGAGGAAGAGGCACGAGCACAAGGCGAAGAGGAAGAAGCGAAACGGGCGACAAAAGCGAAGTAAAGCGCACTTGAGCCAGAGAAGGTGCAACGCAATCAATGGATTGGCGTCAACAGACAGACAGGGTTCAATCCGGCATATTTGCAACGGCGTTCCTATCAGGATAGGCAAAGAGATGCTCGTGAAGAATAAGCTTGTCCTCCAAGAGAAGGCACCGTGCGAGCAGCAAGCAAGCGCGACATAGCCAAAATAGGTCGCGACCCTGGAGAATTAGTAAGTGAGCTTTCGCTAGCAACCTCCAGGCCCTTTTCCATTAGTAGCACTTGACCATTGGCATGTTTTTGAGTGGAATGTAACATGTATTGCTTACTAATCATGAGTGGAGTGCCAGAAAAAGAAAAACAAAGTCAAGAAAAAAAGACAAGGAAATACTGTAAGATTGCTTTGGCGGTGTGATTTTCTTTGGGATTTTCGGGATCTGTTCGTCGCAAAGTTCAGAAATGTCATCCCAGCTTGATTTGCACGGCCAGACAAGTGAGGATTAGTCAGACGATAGAGAACCAATGTTAGATTCCTGGTCAGCGATGTGAGCTCGCTGGCTCAATGGCTCCCGGATACAGACGGCTGGAAGCATCATTGTCTCGACATAGTCGATGCAGGTCAATCAGTGATACCGACACCGAAAGTTATGCGCAGCTCTCACATCATGGACTCGGCCGCTGCGCGCCACACCGGATGCAAATCGAGCCTTGTGTTGCCACGCTACTACCATCTGTGCTCATCACAAGCCTATTCGGTGATAAAGTCCACGTTTAGAACACAAACACATTCCTGTGCGGCTCGAGAACCGTATCGACACAGTGTTGGCGCCGAGATACTCACAATCACCACCTGCTCATCCACAGTTTTGCTTGCATCAAGAGTCCATTCATGCTTGCTTTAAGCGAGGACAATATCTTAGAACTTGATCCGCTCCTTGCAATGATTACATGTGACGATGCTTCTTTCAAACATCTCTTCGTTCTCCATACGATCTTCCGCTTTCGTACCCATCTCCTCTCTGCCTTGCAAGATGACATGCAGCCGTCTTCTGATCGTCTTCTGGGTGTGGCCTGCCTCGATTCCGGTCGTGCCCATCGCATCCGTGTCTCCGTGCAACAGCGTTCCTCCGATGGCTCCCAATTCAACCTCAGATTGGACGCCGCTGCATCCACCAAGGTCTAGACGGACTTTAGCCTCTTGGCTTGGAGCATCCGCTGCATCGTTTATCGTATCGGGACTCGGACCGGTTATCGCGACATCGGTACAATACCCTTGATACCCCATCTGTAGACCCTCGCCGCGTAGATAAGCTTGGCCTTCGCGTCGAGGCCGTCTCTTACCAACCTGCACGATAATTTGCGTGCTTTCGCAACGCTCAAATGCCACCAGCAACGGGTCTGGATCTTGGTATGGATTTGACGGCAACTCGATCGGTCCAGGTCGCAATGGTGGATGCGGTTTGGGAGAACGAAGCAGTGCAATCCAGTCCCGATCTGTACTTCTTGTCTGAGTTCGGAGCGCTTGATCTTCTACAGCTGCATGTTGCCATATCCGAGCATCCGCTCTTTCCGTTTTGACGATTGTACACACATCTCGAAGCGAGGGCTGGGAGCGAAGCTGCTGGACCAAGAATGTTCCTGCCATCCCATGCCATCCTGTCAAGTACAAGGAGCGAATTTGGTTGATGGTGGCAGACTGCCTTACATTCGAATCGACGACAACTTGTCCACTATACCCATCTCGGGGCTCTCGTGCTTTGTCGCGAGAAAGGTAATCGAGTACGGATTTGAAAAGATCCAAGTCGATCAGACTCTCATCGCGGGTCAGATCAAACATCGCTGCATCCAGATTGATTTGCACTTTCGTCGGTGAACATGTTTCAGCCTCAATCGTAGCATTGCGGCTCGTTCGGGCTGATGTGCTATCCTGCTGCGTGAGAGCGTAAGATTCGACTTGGCGAGCCGCGTCTCTCCACTCTGCAAGGTTGAGTCGATGCGGAGGCTCTAGGAAGAGAAACTCTCGGTCAAATTGATGGAAAACGGTCCTAAGTGTCTGACTCGTTGCCATGCTGAGCACTATGAGGCCGGCTAGATCGAGGAAACGTGACAGATATAGGAGGAGCTCTGGTGGTAGCTCCTCTATTGGGGCATGGCGCCCGCCCGTACGACCTTTTTCGAGTGTCAAAGTGCCTTGATCATCCGTACCTTGTTCAGCCGGTTGCTGGTCTGGTCTGCAGCCGTGCCCTGCAGTCTCTTGCTTCAGCTTTGATGGTGACAAATTAGCGTTGGAGGCAATGTCTGAAGGTGCTCTTTGCCATGATTGCTTGATAAGCGTCATACTGACGTTGCACGCGACCCTGATTGGGAGGCGGGGCTACTACACGCCGCGGCTCAGGCTAGTTAGCCTTCCAATTCGAACTCAAACCCTAATCCTGACCCTTTACCGCCATGTACTATGTCGCATCAGAGACAGAACTTCGGTGTCCAGGGGCTGTGAAGAGTCGATCTCCTGCAAATGCGTCTGTTCCCTTCGGGTTCTTGCTCGTTCTTCCGTCTGGGTTTGGTCCCTATCCTCGATTTGACTACACTTCCGGATGCGTGTCCCGCACCGGCGCAGTCACTAATAGACGTCGCTGTAGCCGCGTTACAGGCTCCAGAAGCGAGGCAGTCGATCAAATGGGTCGGTTGTCGACGGTCCAAAAGGTGTCGTTTCGCAATGGCGATATCCGTGAAGCATCAAGTGTCTTCTCTTTGTCCGTTGGTTTTGGTTGGAAGCTTGTGCTTCGGGTTGACTCCAAAAAGACAAAGTGGAGGCAATTATCCGGATCCATGATACGGACCAGCTTCTGGCTTTCCTTGACGTCTGCTGGCTGGGCTGACACTTGTTGAATTCCAGCGTGGTTGCCGCTTGTTGTGCGTACTTCATTGCACACGACCTCCTGGTCTGACAACTTGCCTGCAAACGCCCAAACAGTCTGGCGAACGGAGGGCACCACCCTTCATGCCAATCGAGGGCTGAGGCTGTCACCGATTCGTGATTTCTGAATGTTAGGCGGACCCCGCTCTAACATCTTGGTGCCAGAGAGACGTGACGTATGAGCATCAGTGTTCAACGAAACGCATGACGATATCTTACGACAAACAACAAGAAAGCAGCGCTACCTTCCGCGAGCCTCAAAGGCAGTCAATGGCATCCACTGTGATCATAGGATGGTATCAGAACGACTTGAAAGCAGAGCAAACATGTATGAAAGTACAAAGCGGAAACTCGATGCTAAGAAACCGGAAACAATGCGAGGGAAAGTGCAAGAATGATGCAATCGCTAGTGCCAACTGGCGAAAGATGTGGCGGAAGATGACTGCTTTGTGGCGTCTTATCTAGAGACCGGCGGGCATCATCATGTCTTTTGTAACGGCATCTTCAGCATCCTGGTCGTCATCCTCCTCGTCATCGTCTCCCATGCTCTCGTCCTCCTCCTCTTGGTCATCATCATCGTTGGCCTTGCTAGTGTTGGTAGCGCCGTTGCTCTTGCGATCCCTAGACCAACCGTTGTCGCTTGGTGCACGAAGCTTGCCAGCTTGCTTTCCAACAAGCTGCTGGTCGCGTTCGGAAAGCTCGATGAGGTGAACACCCTTCTCGCCTTTGCCTTCTTCTGCGTCTGCTGCGCTCCAATACGCGAGAGGAATGAGACGGAATGCTGCCATGTGAACGAGAATGTGCTTAAGGATTTGTGCCTGATTTGATGTGAGTGTTTGACCTTGCTTGCAGACAAGGTAGTTCTTTAGCAATGTGGGGATACCGCGTCTCAATTCGGTCGGCATGCCGAGTTGCCTGAGTTGAGGCTCGACAGGGTGTGGGAGGGTGTCTGGTGGGTTGGAGCGAGCCATGACGGGGCCTTCTGGAAGCTCGATCGTCTCTGTTGCCTTGGAACCGCCTCGAGCAAAGTCAACACGCTGGTAGTCATTGAACCAATCAATGACCTCAGCAGGAGGACTGTCGGTGAAAAGAAGACCGACGTCGCCCGACAAACGCTGGCTGATACCGCTGATGCCTCTCCTCACTTCCTCCTCCTCGCTCATCCCGAGAGCAAGCGCCAACACCTTGAGCTTGCCAAAGAAGATCTTGCTACCCTTCCAAAGATCACGAACCTCCTTGAGGTAGTTGTTACGCATCGAGTGGTGACCGAGCATCCAGACGTATGGGTATTCCTGAGCTGCATCACGGACCTTGTCGATGAGGTTGGCCTTGTCCTCTTTGGTCTTCTTGTCGGTCCTGGTCAAGGAGATGACCTTAGCTCGCTTAGCACGGGGCATCTTGTGTTGTGTATGTGCGAACGGTGATCCGGTTAATGGAGCTGATGGTCGGTGTGAAGGGGCAGGGGGATGAACGACCTGGGGCTTGGAGGTGAAGAAAGCTGACCTTCAGGACCCTCTTGAGAGTGTTGAACACGAATTGCTGTTGTTGCACCTCGGAGTTGGAAGGAAGCAAACCGTCCTTGACAAATTTGGAAGGCAAATTCTTCTCAACGACCCTTTCGCAACTTTTTTTTTTTTCTTTTTTTTTTTTTTTTTTTTTTTTTTTTTTTTTTTTTTTTTTTTTTTTTTTTTTTGGGTCGGCTGCAGGTGCCCACATTTCTCAACTATGCCTGTTTCCATCTCTGACCAAGGCTTATGTAATGTTGACCCTTGCTTGGCTGAAATTCCGAGGAGACTGCCGTTTTTAAGGTTTTCTTGGAATTGCTTAGATTGCAGCTGGAAGAAGTTGGCTCCACTTATGCTGCGTTTCATCTGATTAGGAAGAAGCTGCGAGAGACGCCGTCCACTCGCAGTGCTTTCGAACAATTGCTTTTCCTCTTCCAGCCTACCACCACCTTCCCATCCTCTCTTCACAGCATCATTACCGCCAAAGATGACAGCTGTGGACACAAGCAACATGGATCCGCTCGAGAAGAGCCTTTGCGACTTCTCGGGCTCGACGCCCCTCGACCAGCGATTTCGTTCACTCTTCACCATCAAGGGTCTCGCCGCTACTTCGGACGAACACATGCAGCGTGCCATCTCCATCATCTCCAACGCCTTCTCAGATGACTCTGCACTTCTCAAACACGAGCTGGCCTACGTACTTGGTCAATTAGAGGACACTCGCGCCCTTCCAACCCTCAAGCGCGTGCTTGAGGATCTGGCTCAAGATGCCATGGTCAGACATGAGGCTGCTGAGGCCATGGGTGCCATCTCTGACCCAAGCGTTCTCCCTTTGCTCGAGCAGTACCGCAAGGACTCTGATGTCAGCGTCCGCGAGACATGCGAGCTGGCCATCTCCAAGATCACTTTTGACAACTCGGCAGAAGGCAAAGCACTCAAGGAATCAAAGGCCCATGCTAAAGCTGCTGAAGAGCAGAGTGGCCTTGGTGGTGTCGAGTCTGCATTCAAGCCTATCGACCCTGCACCCGCAATGACCCCCGCTGCAAGCAAGCAGGCTGCCAAGTCGCAGGCAGACGGTGTTCAGTACGATGCATCTCAAGTGCCACTCTTCCGATCTACACTTCTCGACACCAACCTTTCCCTCTTCGAGCGCTACCGTGCCATGTTTGCCCTCCGCAACGTCGCTCACGGTGGTGGCGAGGGTGCAGTCCAAGCTGTGCTTGCCCTCGCTCACGGTCTCAAGGATGCCTCGGCGCTATTCAGGCACGAGATCTGCTTTGTCTTTGGTGAACTCTGCCACCCCGCATCCATCCCAAGCATGCTCCAAGTACTCAACGACTCGCAGGAACACGAGATGGTTCGTCACGAAGCAGCAGAGGCTCTCGGCGGCATTGTTGAAGAGGGCGAGGAGGAAAAGGACGCCAAAAGCGGGGACTACGCCCTTGTGCTCGATACGCTCAAGAAGTGGGCACACGACTTGGAAGCACCTCGTGTCGTCAGGGAGAGCTGTCTCGTTGCATTGGACGAGCTTGCTTACAACAACGATCCCACTCAGTTCCACCGTATCGAGGCTCCCGCTGCCGTCGCCGCCTAATGCCTTTTACACTCTTGTTGCCATTCCTACTTTGCAATCACTGTTCCTAGCTTCATCACGTATACTCTTGCATTCCATCTTCCGCCGCTTTCTTTGTACACTAGTAGACCTCCAGCGTTCAATAATCTCTCACAGTTCGTCAGGGGCCAAGAAAGTCGCTGTGTTTGCAACACATTCAGAATGACGGATCTGGTGGGCAAACATTAGTTGAACAAAGTTATGCTTGTAAGGTTTGACAACGATGATACAAGTACAGTGCGATAGACGAGGAACGACACACTTGCGGGAAACTGGACGGCGAGGAAGGGTATATGAGTTTTACTTAGACATATTGAAGCTGAAATTGTATTTGTAGGATGATGAATGACCGCAATCAGGTAGCGAGCGCGGTCTCAGCATCGCCGTTACGAATTGTGTTAGGTGCGCCGATTCCGAGTGCACCTTCGAGATCGAGATGAGGGAACTCCCACTTGCCCGGACCAGTGGGGCCCATGAGCTCTTCGCTATATTTGAGCATCTTGATCAGCTGAGGCAGCTTTGGTTCACGACCCTGACTCTGCGAAGCAAGGATTGCCGCATTTAGCTCTCCAGCTGTCTTGAGTCGTTGACTGGGAGAAAGCAGCTCTGCGACGTGGAGTGGAGCGGCGAGTGGTCCAGCAGCGGCGACACCCGATGCCTTGGGCACGTCGAAGGCTAGAAGCGCCATTGTACGCTCAAGCTCGGGTAGGAGGTCGGGATGCTCCTCACCACGAGGAGCAAGCTCTTCTGCGGCGAATGCCAATGCATCATTGATCAAGCCAGCTCGGATGAGCTCGATAAGCCGTTGTTGCTGAAGATGGAAGAATAAAAGCGGGTTGTTATCCAGGATCTGAAAGCGCAAGAAGCATCAGACGAAGCAGCAAACAGCAACCAGTCAGTATCGCTATACAAGGTTTGATGCTCAAGGCAACTGCGATGCAGCAGCATAAGACGGCGACAGTAGCAGCAAGTGACGATGCGCAAAAGCAAGTCAGATATTGAAAATTTGGTGTAAAAAGTTATCCGCACATAGACTCCCACTGGAGCCCGTTGCTAAGCGTGGTGCATGAAAAAAATTGTCGTCATTCGAGATGATTGCGATTCGTTGGGCCTGTTGAGCGGCAAGGCGGATACACGCCTGGAATCACGGTGATCGTCTGGTTGTTGCTGCTGACACTCGTCAGTGCCGGTTGTATTGGCATGAAACTTACCTCCGGGTCCAGCTCGTTGACACGACCGATGGCATCAACAATGTCACCACGTTGAATGGCACCGCGAATGATCATCCTGGTGAGGATACTGTCCGAGTCGACAAAGGGCTTGAGGCCGCTCTCTTTGCTGAAGCAGTCAGCTGCGTCTTTGTATCCTTCGATGACCAGGTAGTCCATCACGAGGCGGTTGAGATCACTGTTGCGTGCAACAAATGTCACGAAGGAGAAGAGAGAAGGGAACAAGTCAGATTTGCCGCGAAAAGAAACAGTCGTAGGTAAAAACGCCGTTTGCGACCGAGCAACTTTTCTTCCAATTCCTTTCCGACATGCACCTATGTGGCAGATTGCGCTTCGCTCGAAGGATCAGTGGGCATAAGTAAAATGGTTTTCCTCATCGGATGTAGGAGAGATTCCCACTTTGCGTTAAGTCTCATCATAAAAGGTCGAGCGAGAGGTGCATGTCGAGATAGGAGGTGGTGAAGCTCTTGCTATAGTCGGGGCTGGCACCGAGATTGTTCGAAGGAGTTCGACTTACTCTTTTGCAACGTTGATGGAGGAGAGCTGGCGTTCCCAGTCGGACTTCTTGAGAGGCGCTTTTGACATGATGGTTACGATGCCGGAGCTGATCACTATATCCCTCAGTCCTATGTCTTGCAATGCAACGGGACGCAACCGAACGACTGCGCGGCGCAAAAATGACAATCGAAAGGTGCTGCCCTACTCCTTCCTCCTTCTACGAGTTGGACTGAACGGTAGGGGGAGCAAGTGTCCCTGTGAGGAAAATCGACCTTAGTGGACCACGCAAGGTCAAGGGGGAGAGTGATTCCGGCCCGATCAGCAGGCGCGAGGGCCGGCAGGTCGTGGCAAGAGAAAAGGAACGGAATCGCCGTTTGCTAATAAAGTCGTCCCTTGGCCTTGCTCTCGAGAATCGAAAATTTTCCTCTCGGTCGTAAGAAATGCGAGGACGGGAGTGAGAGAGATGAAAGAAAAGGTGAAGAGATGGAGTCGCAAGGTGTGATTGGCTATCGTCGCCACTGAAATTGCAATTCCTCCAGCTTCCAGAGTCGAGGTGGAGAGTCGCCCTGTGCAGTCACTATAATTCCATGATTGCGCTACCGGCCGTAACAGCAGAGCAGTCGCGGTCAAATGCTCGATCACGGCCATCCCTGCTCAGCCAAACGAAAATTTTGCCTTGAAGAATTGTAGTCTCGCAACATCGTTCGTCTCCATCCTACCACCACCATCAACATATCTCGATCCAGTCCGCATACCTACACCGACCCTCTTTCGCCCTCAATCTCTCTGAAGCGCTAGGATTCAGCAAACAGCACTTTGCTGTCACACGACACCCTGTTGCTGCTCAAGAGCCTTGGTCGTACGGCTTGATTGTTTCCTTTTCAGTTGTTCCTTCTTTCCTGTTTGTTTCCGCTGCACACAATTGCACAGCTCTGTACGCTTCGGCCTTTTCCTCGTTCGAGAGTTGATGTTGGTGAATGATCAATCTTTTTAGCATTCTCTCTCACTGATTGTTCATCTTGCGATACCAGTGCTCCTGAAACCCACCATCTACATAGCATTAAACCGAATCCATTCGCTCAGCTGGCATTGCCTTTTCGAGAACTCGAGAACGGAGCTAAGTAGCTTGCTAAGCTAGCTTTACCCTTACGCATCGCTTGAACTGCGACGCTTTGCTCCAGCCGACTTTTACCCCCCTTTCTCCCTGTCCCGTCTGCTGCAGTTCAGTTCTCAATAAACGAACACTAGCACCATGGCGTCCGCATCCGTCTACTACAAGTTCAAGTCCCAAAAGGAGCCTTCGCGCATCACCTTCGATGGCACCGGCATTTCGGTATGGGACCTCAAGCGTGAGATCATCCTGCAGAACAAGATGGGTCGAGGCACCGACTTCGATCTCGGTGTGTACAATGCTGACACCGACGACGAGTATAAGGACGACAACTTCCTCGTTCCAAGATCAACCCAGGTCATCGTGCGTCGACTGCCTCCTTCCAAACCAGGCCGAGGTACCGCGCAAAACTATGTGGCTGATCTCAATGGAGCAGCCGACCCCACCGGAGCCAGTCGATTCTCCGGCACAGCAAATGCTGCCGGCGTCAAGCCAAACGATGCCCGCTCTCAGATGTACCGTGGACCCATGACGATGAGGTTTGATGGCGGCAAGGATGCCACCTCAGGATCTGCTCAACCTTCGTCCAGTGTTGCTGGGAGTGGCTTCGTGGATCCATCGGTCGCCGCCACGGGGGACGAAGCTGACCGCATTGCAGCCATGTTCCAGGCCACCACTGAACAATGGGACGAAACGCAGGAACGCATGTCGCACGCCACCTATCGCGATCGTTCAGGACAAGCACGTCGAGGTGGTCCACCAAGACCCATGACCACTCAGCGTCCACAGCATATACCCGATCGCCCACCACCCGTTGGTTACGTATGCTTCCGCTGCGGCAAGCCTGGACACTGGATTCAAGATTGCCCAACGAACGACGACAAAGACTTTGACAATCGTCCACGATTCAAACGAACCACTGGTATCCCCAAATCTATGCTGAAGACCGTCGAGCAGCCTACGGAAGAAGATCAACGTGCAGGAGTCATGCTTACAGCCGACGGAACCTATGTGGTGGCGCGTGTAGATCAGGAATCATGGCGCAAGAACCGTGTTCGCACCAAGCCACTAACACAATCCGATGTCTATCAGTCGGCACCCACCGATACCTCGCTGGCATGTCCGCTCTGCTCCAAACTTCTCCGAGACGCTGTGGTGACGCCATGTTGTAAGACAAAGTACTGTGAGGAGTGTATCCAGACACATCTCCTCGAGCATGAGTTCACGTGCGCTGAGTGCGACAAGCGCATTGCCGATCTTGAACAGCTCAAAGCAGACGAAGAGACGAGGAAGAAAGTCAAGGAGTACGTCAAAGAGGCCATCGAACAGAGCGAACGAGAGATTGAGGAGGAAGCCAGAAAAGCAGAACAGGGTGACACAGCGGACCACAAGGCTGGCTCGCCTGCTCCTGGCCAAGAAAGGACACAGAGTCCTGGCGCTTCCCACAACAATCAGGATGAACAAACGCACAAATCGACATCGCAAGCCGACAACGAGCTGTCTTATGGCGATGGCAACGACACCAGTACCGGCAACGGAAACGGAAATGGACAGACTGGCGGGATGCCAGCAGGAGGCATGGTATTCAATCCGCAGATGGTCCAACAGATTATGATGATGTTGCAGAACCCGCAACTTCCACCACCGTTGCGGATGCAGCTTCAGATGCAATTGCAGATGCAGCAATTCGCCTTCATGCAACAAATGCAACAGCAGCAGCAACAGGGAGGGAACGGAGGTGGACCAGGGATGGGTATGAGCAACATGCAATTGGGCCAGATGGGTATGACGCCAGGTGCACAAGGCATGTCATGGGGACAGCAGCAAGCAGCCCAGGCGACAAATCCTTTCAGCAATCGCGCGCCACCGACCAACGAAAACTCGGCCTACATGCGCATCCCCGTCAATCAGGCTAGGCCCAGACCAACAGGCACCAAGCGCGACCGTCCCACCGACTTTGTCGAGGTCGGTAGTCAGGGCGGCGACCCAAACAAGTCGGCACGAACTGACGATTACTGATCTGTGTACCTGCAGAACGCATCCCAGTCATCTTCTTGGTGGTCTTCACAATATATTCATATCTCAATACATCATCGGACACTCGACATGTGTGGAAAAGTGTGTTTGCTGACGGCGATACACTGTTGTATCTATCACTTTGACCAAATTAAGCAATTCTAGATGAGCGGGAACAAATACAACCTGATGATGTCAACCTTCTAAAATCCTTCGGCCGTGCCCGTGACCCATTTGACGTTTTTAGCGTACTTCTGAATGTCCGAGAAGAACTGATTGTCAACCTCCTTACCCCTTCCTGCAGCGATCTTGAGAATGGCTTCGTTAACGCCTTTTGCGCCGAGAATATCGACGTGATCTGCGGTCGACTCGCCCCCTCGGAGGTCTAACTTTTCGGGCTCGTGCTTCAGCTCATGTGTGACGACGCTGATGTTGGCTGGGTTCCAATGTGAGTGCTTCCATCCCTCGGCACACATAGCGCCTAAGGAAAGGAGCGAGACGGTTCCGTCACCCTCGCCCATCTTGCAACCAGAACGGACTTTGGGCAATGCATCCTCCTTCTGAACAGCATGGTCGATCCAGCTTAGACGAGCGGTCGGAAAATTGAGTGCGGGAGTATGAGAAACGTCGGGACAAGCTTGACCGAAACAGCCAGGCTCGTCAAGCTGTTCACCGATCGAGGCCTCAGCGACGTATTCTCCCTGCTGATACCAGTAAGATCGTTCTGTGGGCTTGCCGACGCCATAGATGCAGTAGAGCTTCATACTTGGAGCGTTGGGAAGGGTCACCTCGAGAGGGTTGCTCCACTTTGTGTGATCTTGGTTGTTCGCTGCGAGCTTTTCTGAATCCCGTTCGATGCCATGTGAGTAGTTGGTGGCAAGCATCTTCTGAAATGAGCTTGGCGCGTGTTGGAGCATGAAATTGTGTGCCTCAGTGGCTGTGAGATTCGTCTTTACGGTGTCCTCATCAAGGTCATGCTGATCGGTGCCGGGTGTTCGAAAACTGTAGATGTGACCGTGCGTGTCCTCAGCGCCATCCTCATCATCGGGTGCCCAAGTGGAGTTACCCCAGATATCTTCTCCTCCCTTAATAAGCATACTGGCCCCACCTGCCCATGTACGGAAGAGCTTAGCACGTTCACGACGACTGAAGAATTTCTCTAGTAGGTATGCAGCTGCAGGGGGTACCTCGACGGTATCCCTCATCTCTCCGGAGAGCATGACAGCCATAGCTTTAGGCACGCCAAGGAAAGTACCAGCGATCGAAGTGAAGGCTTCAATATGGTCCTCGACCCAGTTGGGTCCACCGTTGCCGAAGAACTCGCCTTCGGCCTCGACCCACTTCATGAAGTAGAAGAAGACAGAGCTACCCATCGAATGGGCAACAATGACGGACTTCTGGCCGAATAGAGCCTTGTTCTGCTCGATCTTGAGCTTGAGCCGGGTGAAGTAGCGATCTCGAATCTCGAGGTTGTAGTAGCTCAGCCTCCAGTCGTAACTGGCGAGGGAGAGATTGTTTGTGTCGTAACCGAGGACGGCGAGGTTCTCAATGACTTTACTCCAGATCCAATATCCTGCAGCAAAGAAACTTGCTGCATCCAGACCCTCTGCTGCACGTACTCGGATGCCGGCAGGATCGATGCCGGTCTCTGGATCTAAGGAGAGATGGCGGACCCACATATCTTTCTCGAAAACGATGGTGCGCATCATTGTGGCTGTTCCCCAAAGACGTTTGCGGAAGTAGCTCGAAGAGCGCTCGTCGGTGGTCCAGCTTTCGAGACCAGTGCTGACAATACCAGGAATGAGGATGACGGGATGGTCGGCGACGTAGCCTCGACGATTCAAGTCTCGACCAACGCCAAAGTCTTTGTTCTTGAACCACTCTCTGGATCTACTGAAGAGGTTGTCGCCCATATCGGCAAACTCTTTTGGCATGCCAATGTCAATGGATGGAAAATCGATACCGAGACCGTCGATGGAGTCGTCTAGGAGGGAGCGGAAAGTGGACATGTGTTGTGCCATCTGGGCGTTCCTCGAGGCGAGGAAGGCAATGACTGCGCCAAGTGCAGCACCAAAGACGAAGAAAAGGCGGCGATATCGGATAAGACCGCGTTTCGCGGGCGTGTCATCGTCCACATGTCGCAAGAAGGGGATCTCGGAAAGATCGAGCTCGTGCCATGGTGTTCCTGGAGCTGTGACGCTATAGCTCGTCCTACCTTTCAACGGAGGTCTCTTGCTCTTCTCGAGGATGATCTGCTGAGGAGGTGTGAGGGTGCCATCGTCGTCGGTAGATATGGAAAAAGAGCCGTTGGTACGAGGATGAAGTTGATGAGCGGTCGAATTACCGTTGCGGTGGTCATCGTGCTGACGGCCGCCATCCTTGCCGCGCTTGTGTTTGCGGTTATTCATAACTGCGTGGCTGTGATTGGACCTAGTGGGTCCACTATGAGCAGCGGTGATAGGATAGTAAGGTGAAACGAGGTATCAAGTGTGTTGTTGAATTGAGCAGATTTGGCATTCCGGCCAAATCCACGCGGAGTTGGAGGGAAGCAAACCGTTCTTGACGAAGCCGAGGAGCCCCAAGTGGAGTTAAAAAAAGGAAACCCTGAAATAAACCCGATTCAAAGGTCAAATCGGCTGGTGAATCGCGCCGATCCGAGCCGCGAGCAAGCAAGCAAGGGTCCAGTTGCCTTGCTGCACGCTGTCGTTTCGCAGCAGCCAAATTGCTCTCGTATAGCCACGCCAAAGGCACCTCTTGGGACTGTTAGCCTGGCTAATTCATCGTTCTCGCACAGACCAGCAATTGTCTTGCTCTGCTCTATAAAGACCACAACTCAGCCACGAGCCACCAAGGTCATTCACTGAGCATCAAGGCTCATCACGATAAGCACGACTCGATTCGATCCTCCTCGACACGATCCTCCTCGACACGATCCTCCTCGACACGATCCTCCTCGACACGATCCTCCTCGACACGATCCTCCTCGACACGATACGGCACCTGGAACGCGCCCACACATACTTCTTGTAGAAGCACACGATCGATCTCAATACAAGTCAAGCTTTTCTAAAATGCTTTCATAGCGACCAGTGACAACGTTTTAGTTGCATACCAAGGTCTTAGGTGTTGCAACCTTCCAACTTCCACCGGTCGAGACGCACAAGCACCTCTCAAAGCAACCTTCACGATGCAGGTTGTCATTCCGGATCTAGACGACAAGCAGCTCTTTGCTCCGCCTCGGCGCATACAGTCTCCTGCTGCTTCCAACAGCGGCTCTTGCAACCAGCAAAGCGCACGACCTTCTTTCGATGACAATCCGCACTCCTCCAGTCGACAACTCCAAAACATTACCGCCTCCTTCCCCGGTTCATCACAATGGAGCGAGTCGCAACAGCCATCCGCGCAGTCGCCAGTATACTCTAACGCCCCCGCAGGCCCCTTTCGTGGCGCTGCGTTAGGATGGCACGGCAGATCCGGAAGTGCTACCAGTGACTCTTCCGCAGGTGGCTTTGGTGGCCTCGGCTTCCGCATGCCCCTCAACTCGAAATCGCAAGTGGAGGAGTCGCCCAACAATACATCTGCTCCGAATCCTCCCTTTAGCAGTCCTTCCACCACCAATGCTACCTCATCTGGCTTCAGCTTCCCCATGAAGCGCCCTTCCTTCTCGTCTCTCCGCTCTCAGATGCGAGCGCAGCAAGTCGAGTCCGAAGCCCTCGCGCAACAGCATTACCCTACCACTCCACGAGAACCACCACACCTCGACATTCCAGCTCCGGATTCTGACGCCGCTGACCTCACGGCTGGCTATCGCTCCGGACTCTCGACTCCTCGTCCTCCGCTCGCTCCCTCCAACTTTCAATTCCAGCAGCAGAATCTGCCTTCACCTGGCTTCTATTCGCCACCGGATCGATCCGTGCTGCTGGGCTCAGCACGCGACAGAAGCGATAGCTATATCTTGTCTCCTTCCAGACCAACAGGTCACGCCGCCTCTGCCTCTCGTTCCTCACGCTACCATCATGCTCCGACCGCCTCTTATCACTCCGACTCGCACCACTCCATCGGTGGCATGAGCAGCTCTGCCAGTTCTGCCGCCTATCCTTACGCTGGCTCAATATCCGACCTGCCACCCGTGCCTCCGCTTCCTAATTCGAGTGACAGCGTCTATGCTGACATGCCTGTCACTCCTGGCGGTCACACCAACAATGCTGCCTTCCAACTGCCACGCGCCATGACAAGCACTACCTCTTTCGACAATTCCGACCTCGGCGGAAGTCCTCACAAGCCTAGCGCACGCAAGCTCCGAGACGACCATGCTCCCCTCAGACAGCCTCGTGCCTTCGATGAGGCCGAGGACACCTCTAGCGGCGACCATGCTCAGTGGAGTACTTCTCAACGATCTCGTCATAAGCAGACGGGCCCTTCCAAAGATTCAGCTCGACCAAACGCATTAGCCATTAGCATGGGTGCCGAAGGCTTGGGTCAATTACCCTCGGGCATTGGCACTCCCGACCCGCAAGCTCCCGTCGAGTATGCCCTCAACATCCTAATGAGCCGCTTCATCACACTTGCCACGGCCAAGGTGAGGCGCGCGCTAGATTCTACGCAGGATCATGACCCTAAGCTGCTTTGCGCCCTCAGCACCGAAGAAGATACTCTCTTCGACTCGGTCTGCGATTCACTTGCCCATATATCTCGCAAGAGTGCCGCTTCCGTCATCAGGAGTCTATTTCGCTGGAAAGCCATCACAGTCGAAGCAGAGGTCGATGCCGATCTCGTCCGCCGCCATCTCACGTCAGCGCCAACAGTGGCTGCCTCTACCGTTGGAACGCGCGATATTGCCATCTACATCGCGCGACGCAGAGAGCTCTTCACGATTTTTCTCGTCACCAAAGCCCTTCTCGTCATTGCAAAAGTCTTGGCGAGGGACTCGCTCGGCGAGGCGCAGGCCGCTCAATTTGAAGAGCAGACCTTCACCATGCTTCTTGCCTGCACCCGCGAGAAGGACAAAGACCGCACACTTCCACGCTCCATCAATGACATCCGCGATGCATGCTTTGAAAGCGTCTCGCAGCTCATCGGTGAGATTTCACGCACACGTTTCGTTACTATCAGCGATCGCTTTGTCGAGATTCTAGAGCAGTCCACTAAGGCACCAGCGAGTAAGAACGTCGAGGATCTGCTCGTAGCAGCCATACAAAGCCTGCGGCATCTCAAGATCACGATCTACCCCATGGAGCTGTTTGAGGAAGGTGCCGACTTCGTTGAAGTTCTTGCTCGCCATTATGCGCATTGTCACGGCTTTCGTATCAAGGTTAGCTTCGCTGAAGCATTCGCTCACCTCATGCTCCCCGTAGCGCAGACCGCATCGGCAGAAGTCAACCATCCGACATGGACTAAGGCAATCGACACCATCTGGCCCAGAATGACCGCCATGACTGCCAAGCCACGCTATTGGAGCGTCGCCTATCCGCTGCACGTCACGCTGTTGGCCGTCTCGCCTGAGGAAAAGCTCACTTCTGGCTGGTATGCCTGCGTCGAAGCCGGTGTAGCCAAACTTAAGGACAGGCTTCATCGATCCGTCGTCCTCAATGCAGCCGTGCGACTGCTCTGGGCCTATGCTTTTCGATGTCACGAGAGCCATACCAACACACATAAGAAACTCGAGGCCTTTTTCCGTATATGGTTTCCGTCGAATCGACGGACTCTGAATCCTACCGATTCCTCGCCTGATCCTTTCATCATGATGGTACATTATGCGCTCTATCGTCACTTTGACTTCGGTCGCGAGCTCTTGCTCAACTTCCTTTGCCATTCGGCGCTTGGTGGAAGCACACTCTCGCTTCAACCAGAAATTCTGACGGGCCAGCGCATGACCATTGCCATCAGGGCCATCCTACTCACACTCAACGCACACGTGAGAGGCGAGTCTCCACCCTTCCCATGCGGCGCAGACTTCAGTCGCTTTAACTTCGAGACGCTACCAGAGAGCTGCGGTGATGAGCTGCCGGAGGGCTTCAAATATCCCAAGGCAGAGATCGGCGAGGCGCAGAATCAATTCAACGACCTCATCTGCAAGATCGCCCTGCTTTGTGACCACCAGATAAGCGACATGACTATCTTTGATGCACGCATCCAGATGTTCGCCCGAACATCAGCCAATGCGGCAGCCTCGACTGCCGAGCGCGCTGTTCTCGAGCGCGATGGATACACTTGGCGCCTTCACCGTTCCGCCATGCTCATGGTAGCATACCCGCGCGAGAACCAATCCTTCAACGACCTTCTCCGTGCTTGTTTCGAGTCATGGCCACGGTGTCTCAGCCCGAACATCTCCTTCTCTAGCGTTCTTGGCGTTCTCTTCCGCGCTCATTTCAGCGCTGATCCAGATCTCAGCAGAGCCTCAGCACGTGCCTTGCGTCGAATCGCCAGCCAAAGGCCTGGAGGCTCCTCAGCCGTCGTTTCAGGCTTCATGCGGTGGGTCTTCCGCATGGACACGGCCTTCTGGGAGATTCACCCCAAGCAGGTGCTTCTCATGCCCAAGATCGAAGAGGCTATCCGTCTTTGGATCGACTTCTTACAGATCTGGCTTGCAGAGCTTCGTGTTCAGAACAGCCAGGCGGATCAGGGCCAGACAGCGCCGCTCAAAGGATTCGAGATGGAACGCACCAGCGCCTGGGCCCTCATGGACGAGGTCGAGGCATATGCTTTGTTCCTGCTGTGCTCTGCATCCCGACCCTTACGCTCGCTCGCGATTGAGGCTTTGCGCCTGATCGCAGTGTTGGACGACGCCTTCCTATCACCCAGCCGTCGAGCTGCGGCAGAGCTGGCCCGCGCTCAAGGCGAAGAAGACGAGCCAACTCGTATCGTCCACCTCCTCGACATGCCTTGCCAGGATTTCCTCGATGCTAACGATCCGCACCTTAGCTGGCATCAGATCAATCATCTGGCTCGCTGGAAGTCGCCCGACCGTTCCACATCCCTGAAGACCATCGCAGAGAGTGAAAGGGAGGTCGAGCAGTCCCTGTGGTTCCATGCACTGCCCCTGTTTCTGCGCATGAGCTTGGAGCGCTTCCCGACAACAGTGGCTGTCTTCCGATCCTACATCACCAACCGTGTTCTGGAGATGGATCACGTCGCTGTGTATGCAGCTGACATCTCGAATCGTGCGCCAGCTCACACGATGTCGAGTGCCACATTTAGCAAATCGCAAGCAGCTTCAGCTGCAAGTCAATCGCTGCACACCTCAACCTCGATGGCCTCACTACGTGACGCCGCAGCTGCTGGCACAGCTGGCCCCGCGGAGCATCTCCTGATGGCACAGCACTGGCGTTTCTATGTACTTGCCCTCTGCACGACCACCACCTCGACCGAGGGCTCGCGAGGAGGTGTGGTAGGCAACCATCACCGCAAGTTGAGTGAGCCAGAGACCGGCGATCGTATGATTTCAGCACGAGACCTCTTTCAGAAGCTCGTGCCGTTCCTGGCCTCTGACAGCGAAAGTTTCCAGGATGCAGTCGTCTTTGCGCTCGGCAACATCAACGAAAATCACTACCTCGCATTGCTGGAAACCATGCAAGCGTTGAGCGGAACTCTCACTGACGACTTTAAAGTACGATCCGTGGCTCGCACTGGGCTGAAGCGCAATCGACGTCTGGACCGTCTACGCACTGCCCTCGCGCATGTGCTGCAGCTAACCGCGCAGCACATGGAAGCTCTAGACCATCTCGACAACCCGAAAGTGGTCGCGATCGTTCATAATTGGGTCAAAGAGACGTTCCACTTCCTCACTGACCGCGAGATCCGACAAGATTGGGAATTTCACAGCCTGCGACGCTACTTTTGCGCTGTGACACAGCACTTCTTCGACGGACTTGCCAAGAGGGGCCAGGCTAATGCGCACTTCCCCTTCGAAGTTCGTCTTCGCATGTTCCGCATCTTTCGCGATTGGCACTCCTACAGCACCGTCAGCGAGGACGGCCGTAACAAGTTGGCCAATCTACTCAGTGCGGCTGCTGATCAGCAAAGAGACGACCGAGGCAAAGAACGTACCGTCAAAACGCTCAACTACGAGACCCAGGCGCTCTCACATCAGGCAGGCTGCGCCATGGCTTCCCTCTGTCAAGGAGCCATTTCCGTGGTGGGTGGCCCTGCTCCTGCGCCGATGGCTGGATCGTCACTGGAGGCAAGCTCGCTGCTGCACTGGCTTACTAGCCTCTTCCAGACTAGCGACGAGAAGAACCATGATCTGGCGCGCAAAGCGCTGCGCTCGCTGCTTGTTTACAACGACCAAAACGCCGTTCTTGTCGACAATGCCGTTGACCGTTGCATTACAGAGTATGATCGTGCTGTCGGCAAGAAGAGCTTCTTTGTGACCACGGCGGAAGTTGTCATCGAGAAGGAAGATTTATCGATGCCACTCCACGCTATCTTCTGTCTCGGATTGGTCAAGCTGGGCCATCCTGACTCCAGCATCCGTCGAAAGTCGCTTGCTGTCCTTGACAATTGTAGTCGCCGCTTCGACGAAAGCTGCATGCTCGACGAGTTTGAGGTAGGCGTGTCAAGCCCTCTGCCAGCTATCTATCTGCGTGCGCAGCGCGACGTCAATGCTCACCTGGCCATGCACTTTGACGGTTTGAGGACCGCGATGCTCAGCGAGTTCACCCGTCGACTACCGCTGGTGGACGCTTCGCGACGTGCAACCATACTCGGGCTGTTACCTGAGTGGCTGCGCGGCCTCATCTTGCACACTGCCGATGTGCATGTAGACGACTTCCCAGCACCACCTCCTGAGGTCGTCTTGTACAGATCCTACCTCAACCTCTCCAACCTCTTCTGCCTCACCGTCAGGTATGGCGATGAGCACAACTTCGAGATTCAAGAGATATGGAGCAGCCTTGTCGCTGCATCCGAAGATTTGCAAAGCGCTGATGCGGTTGTCACGTTCCTAATTGATCAAGGCCTACACTTCCGAAGTGAGCAGGTGGTTAACCACTCGAAGCGCGTTGTGTCCTGTATCTCACACACTCAGGCTGGCCCGCACATTTTTGAGCAGCTGTGCTCTATGATCGAGCCAAGTCGCATGATTCAGGCGCCTCGACACGCTCCGGCTCCCATGCCGGACCCTGACCATCGTCATCTGTACCGTGCCGATCTGACCAAGCTGCTGCCGGAGCCAGAGTCAACCTTGGCATTCTCGCCCGGCCAGCTTGCGCTCTTCTATGTCGGCGAGATGACGTACGAACGAAGAGAGCAACTCGACACAAGTCTACCAACGCTTCTGCACGCCATCTTCTTGCATATCGATAGCCGGTCTGCTTTCGTGCGATCCCAGGTCGTAGAGCTATTCGAGCAGTTGATGCGCTGCGTCATCTCGATTGGTGGCAGTGCGACGACGCATGGCAGCATTTCGGGTTCATCCTTCCTTGCTGTGGATCCGGAGCGTACCACAGCAGCGAAGGCTCAAATTGAACGACTCTTTGCACGCCGGACATTCGCCAATTGGTCATCAGAGACCGGCGACGAGGACAACGATAGCCAAGCCAGGATGCCAAAGAATCTGCTCAGCACAGCATACGATACTCTCGCTCTCATTGAGCCTTTCTTCGCCTCCTTCCGTGAAGATTGGGGCTCTGTGGCCTTGACATGGGCTGCCTCGAACCCAATCCGACACATGGCCTGCAGATCTTTCCAAGTATTCCGTTCTCTGGAGCCGCCTGTGACGCCGAGCATGATGGTAACCATTCTCGGCAGACTTGCGGACACAGTGTCGGACCACAAGCCGGAGGTGCATCGCTTCACGCTCGAGGTGCTCTACGCGCTCAATCTGGTTGTCAAGCAATGTGAGACCTTCAATCCCGAGTACTTGGCGCAGACGTGGTGGGCTACATTGGCGTGCTTGTCCACAGTAAACGAAGCCGAATTTGCAGAATCAGCCTCGATCCTCGAGAGTTTGGTAGACAGGCTTGACATCGGCTCGCCAGACGTGATCGCCTTTTTGGTGCAAAAGTGCCCGGAGGGATGGGAGGGCGACGTGGGCATCTTGCGCATCTTGGTATCGCGTGGGCTCCGTTCATCAGATACTTCGATGCCAACCTTCCGGCTGATGGCCAAGCTGGCCAAGTGCAGAGATCCAGCATTGATCGATTTCGACGACAAGTGCCGTCTTGGCTACTTGTTCGTGGCTGCATTGCCCTGGTTCCTGCAAGTGACGGAGGAAAGCTTAAAGGCAGCAGGTGGGTCTGTGACAAGCAAGAACGATCCACGCGTAGCCACTATGTGCTCGAGCGCTGCTAAGAAGGCTGGTGCAGACGTAGGAATTAGCTTTAAGATAGATCCTGGCAGTACGGTTCTATCAGCCGTCGAGACGCAGATGGTCTCAGAGATGGCGGCGGATCTCGCTGCGACTGCCTCGCACCTAGAGATGCGCGACTTGGAGCGCGTTGCCACCTCAATCGCCCGGTCGCGTTTTCGTACTAAGGATGATCTGGTGAGACAAGCGGTCAATTGCATTCGCTCGCACTTCTTGCCTGATCATGGTCCCGAGATGGCCGTTCTTCTGCTCGGCGTGGTACTGAATCGGCAGGAGTGGATGCGAAGACAGGCAATGCAAGTGCTCAAGATGTTCTTCCAGGCGTTGGATACCCGCAACCACGCCGCTTTCAGCAATCTGGGCTCGGAGCTGCTAATGCCATTATTGCGCCAGCTGTCCACGCCGCTATCGGCTCAAGCCTTGGAAGTTCTTGATGAACCGATTGTTGTGCATGGTGGGCCTGCAGCAAATCAGATCCTGCGAATGAGTCTGCAGTGGGGCAACATGGCTCTGAATGGACAAACACGCGACTTCGTTCACGACGCTTCTATCTTTGGTCCCCCACAGGAAAGCGGATGGGCCGTGGCAGATCCGCAAGACATGGCCACCCGCACGCGCATCAATTTGCAGGCTTTGGTGAAGATGTGCGAACGCACGCTTGACATCATCCCGACGGGCAACAATGTCAACTTTGTGGTCGACGACACGTACGATGGGACTGCAGAAGGCGATGGTGTCGGATTCGCACTTGACGAGGCGCCCGGCGTCGGCGGGATCAGAATCGAAGAAGCACCGGCATCCAGCTTGGGCGACATCGTCAACCAGCTGCATGATCTTTCGTCGTTCTTTGGCGATGATCCGATGTCGAAGGACCGTCAGGCGTCTGTCATGTGGCGCGAATCGCGCCTGGATCGATCCAACTCAATACGTTTGGCGTCCGGACTTGGCCGTGCATCCTCAATCAGATCGAATGGGTTGAGGGCTGGGAGCAGTGCCGGCGGGGGTGGGTCACTTCGAGGGATGCACTACAGCAGACAAGTATCACCAAATCCGACCGTGGTTCCGGATCATTCACCAGGCGCCTACCAGGAAAACAACGAAGCCAGGCCGACGTACCGCGATGGAATGTTGGGTTCGCGTGTCCATCGAGAGGCGAGTTTCAGTAAAGGAAGCAGCGCCTCTGCCGCGGACGCTTCCGGGGTTTCGATGGGACGCTCAGCCAGCACCATGTCAAGTCGAAGTGAAGAACCAGGCTCGAACCGCTCCCGAGCTCAGATTGCCAAGATTCTAGCGCGCTCGACCACGCGCGACAGCCCAACACCGCTTGCGAGAACCGACAGCGGTGGAGGGTCGGTAGGCTACATCAAGGATCGAAGCGATTCCGTCACCAGTCCGGTACGAGGCCCGGGCATGCGCCAAAGAGAGGACAGCAATTCCGATTATCGCGACCGCTCACACAGCATGGATCAGCTGTCTGAAACTGGGAGCTCGCAGGCCCATTACCATCAATACCAGGCCTACCGCAATCAGTATATCACCACGCGGCAGCACCATCAGAGTCCACAGTCGTATCACCAACAGAAGGCTTCTTCTTCATCGGCTGCATCGTCATCGGCGGTGCCCGTTTCGCCTTCGCCGTATTCAGCTGCCCCCCCGACGAATCAGCGCTGGAATGGCAATGGAAAGCCTGCGACGCCGAGCGACACTCGATCTCATTCGATGGCCAAATCAGCTGTCTCGAATCTGAAGCATTCTGGTGACGGATGAGGCATCGGCCCATCCTAACTTGCTCGTTTACGGACGATATTTTATCGCATTCAAACTAGTCAGTGATGCATGCCTTTTGTGTACAGATACATTCCCTCGGTGTTGGGGGGGGGGGAGAGTTAACGATACCGCAAGGGAAAAGGATGTCGGCTTTGCCGCGCTGGATCCTGGTGTCAGCAAATGGATCTTAATCTCCGTCTATGGTGGAGTCTATTGGTGAACAATAGCGAGTATTCTACAGTTCTGCCTTTGCCCTTGCAGCCTTCTTTGCACGCCACTCTCGCAGTGCCTTCTCAACCAATCCCAAATCTGTACCCGAATGACCAACCTCTACAAAGTGAACACCCAACTTTGTTCCCACCTCAGCATTCCTGTATTCATCATCGAAGAAGACCATATCTTCATAAGGAACCCCTGAGTCTTCGTGCAGCTTTCGGAAATGTGTGATTTTGCTTCCAGGATAAATTTCTTGATAGTCGAAAAAGTCTATCGCCTTCACCAGCTTACTTCGTTCTCCATTTGGTTTGGCTCCATTTTCTTGCGGGATGCAATCCGAGTCATCGACCAGATACAGCCCGTTGAGCGCTTGTCGTGCTACACTGGGTGCACTTGTGCGTGAGGCTGCTGCGATGGGGATCCCTCGACGCTTAAGCCAGAACAAGATGCAAGGTACATGGGGGAAGAATTGCAATGGTTGACCGTTGCGATCGTATACTTTGTTGATGTCGTGACCCCGACGACGAAGTGGCGAGTCTACGTGCGTGTCTACCCATAGCGGCCAAAGAGTATAGTCAAGGTCGAATACGACAAGGCCAGGCAGAGGAGGAGAGTTGAGTGCTTCGAGTGAGGAGACGATCTTGCGTGTCATTTCTGAGTGTATGTATCCGTCGGGTGGTGAAGTTAACGAAGAGGATGGAGATCTCTCTCGTTCTCGACGACCTATCTTTCTAACCATATTTGCTTGTTAGATATCTTGTGTCTATGTGATGAGCGACAGTACGACGGTGTTGGTGAGGAGAGGAGCAAGATCCGGCTGAGCAAGAAGAAAATGAGGTTCAAGTCGCCGCAAGAAGGTTCAAGTTCAGGCGGCAATGAAATTGACCGAAGTTTAGAGCTCCTGCGGCGAATTTTTGGGATGTGGAGGAAAAATTCTTTTCTGTTAGAGTCTAAGATCGAAACAAATCGAAAAAGTGGCGGCTTCTCATTGCGTTCTCACATGCTGTCTATCGGACTCTAGATCCTGTACTTTGCTGTCAAAGCATTGTGTTGATTGCTTGTTAGTGAAAGTATTATGGATAACTATACCTTCTCGTATTCCTCCTCCTCCTTCTCGTATTCCTCCTCCTCCTTCTCAGCACCGCTCGCTTCATCATTCGTATCAAGCTGATCGCCGCTGAGCTGAGCCACCGCTGCTCGCCTTGTCTCCCTAACCCTCGTGTTACACCTCAAACACTGCCAACCTCTCTGACCGTGATCATCTTCCTCGTCAAGCTCATCCTCCATTTCCTCGTCTAGAAGCTGCTTGGCGATGCAAACATAGCAGTAGGCGTGATGGCACGGTACTGTCTCGTAAGGCGTGGTAACAATCGCATCTGCATACGTGATACCGTCGGAAGACACGCCCAACACTGCATTTCTTGCTGGGTCCGAGCCGGTCGCTCCTGTCCCAGCATTTAGTGGCTGCGAGGCAGAGTTGGGCCTGTTGGGCGCAAGCAAGCCAGAGCTCGGATCGAGCGGGTCTGAGGTTGGGATGCCCATGCTGAGTGCTCCTGTGCCGATCTTGGTAGGATCTCGTCTAAGGCCGGATTGTGATTCTAGACGCTGATAGCATATTGCGCATACTTCGACCGGGAGGTGTGCGTACGGTCCTTCCTCCGCTTCAACTTCTTCTGTGGGAGCCTTCTTGGCCTTCGCGATAAACTTGGAGCTGCCGCCAACGATGTTCTTTAGGATAGGTACTGAAATGTCGCTCCTGTTGAAACGTGTGCGTCCAGCTGCATCCTGCCTGATACCCAAGCTTGTGCTGATCGCCAATGGCAGGGACTTGAACACGACAGCGAGAAGCTTGGGGTGGGTGGGAAGCTTCAACAGCCTCCTTAAGAGGCGCTTCGGCCTGACTAGTGGCAGCAAAAAGAGCAAGAACTCTGTGAAAGCATGCCAGACCAGCTGTCGATTCAGGAACTCGAAGGAAACGTTGCGATTCATTGTCCTATGCGCATATGTCAGCCGCATGCCCAACACTCGATCTGCTACACTCCTGAACTTTCCGCCTGCCAAGAAGAGTGCAAAGTTGGCCAACACTAGAGCGGACCATAGGCGCTGTGATGCGTGCGTAAGCTTCCAGAGTAACCGCCGCGGGTCATTGTTAGGCATATCGGAGTAGCTGAGTGATGTCATGTGGTCTTTCCATTTTGAGCCAGCGTAGGGGGCTATGATGGTGAGCAGTGGGTATAGTGTAAGCTGCAATTGGGAGAGTGGTTGATCACGTGCTGTTGATTGGAGTGCGCCTCGATGAGCCCATTCGTTGCGGTATTTGAGGTTCTGCAGCATGGATCCGTAAGAAGCGCCGCGGTCGACGATGCTAAATTTGAACAGAGCAAGCTTGAGCAATAGGAGGAGTTCTGGCTCGAGGTCAGAAGGGAGGGTTGAGCGGATGGTGCCAAGTGCTTTCTTGACAGGGTCGAGAAGAAGCTCGGCAAGTTCGCGATCGAGAAGCTCGGCATCGAGCTGGTTGACACGTTGGATCTTGAGGATGGGTGTGGGGAAGCGATGAAGAGAGGAACGTATGGATGCGATCGACGAGGATGCTGCTTGTGATGCAGAGTGGTAGAAGGGCGGTGGATGCGGGATTTGTGCGTCGGTGGCGTATGGGCCTGATGCTAGGGCTTCCAGTGATGGCATGCCGCCGTTGCTTGGCTGTTCAATGGCTGGGTTGTCCGGTTGGGATGAGGGACCTGCGATAGGCCGCGACGAGCCTGAAGAGTCGTCTGCCATGGTGGAAGTGGTATATCTGGAGCGACGGTGGAGAGAGTGGGACTGAAGGGTTGATGGAAGTGAACAAGATGTGTCTTTCCCCACACGGGCATGTGCAGTCTTGTTATGTAGCTTCGAGAGTTGAAAGCCGACAACCGGATCTCTTTGGCGAGGCTTTAGTTGTGTCGTGCGTAAGCCAAAAAAAATAAATATCAATCGACCAAATGTTGCAAAGATAGCTCTAACATTGTTGGAAACACACACGCCAGCAGTGTTGATTCTTGGCTGCATCCAAGCCGAATCGCAGATCTTGTGTCTGCTTCGCTGTCAACTGGAAGAGATTTGCGCGCCGGAGTTCAGAGAGAGAAAGGCGCAGCTGTTAGATCGCTTGCGAGTGTTTTGTCTGAAACCAACACTTTGTGTCTGCTTCTTCTCTTTGCTTGGCTGCAACCGCCCACATCTAAGGGCCCCCCTTTTCCCGCTTGTCCCTCGGGGTCTGCATCATTCGTTCGCTCGCTCGTTCCAGTGGAGTGTTGGCATGTCGTGATGCAGAAGCCTGACCAAGATCAGCAGCTTGCTTTGTGTGCTCAGTCCTTCGGTCTGAGAGTCCGCTTCCGCCTCGGCAAAAGGGCACGCTTGTTCTGCGAGGTGCAAGCGTCAGAGTAGTTGCAAAACTCGATGAAATCAACCCCACCCAGCTAATACCAGTCCGACTTGCAACCTTTCTCCTTCTCTTGTCATCTCCACCAACCTCTCCTCCTCCATCTTCCTCCTCCATCTTCCTCCTCCATCTTCAAGACAGTCCAGTCCTTACTCATCGTTCGTTTCTTTCCAAAATGGCCTTCTCCAAGACTTCGCTCCTTACCACCGCCCTTGTGGCCATGGGCTCTATGGTCTCTGCCCAAAGCGACACTGCTTCGTACGAGCAGGTTGCTCAGATCCAGCTCACTTTCCCTGCTGCTGATCTCGTCCCCACTCCCCTCCCTTCCGACTGGCTCGACATCCAGGGTGTTCTCAACGTCACCTTCGGCAACACCGCCGTCTCTAACATCGGCGACGAGCTAACCGTTGCTCAGGTTCAGCCAGCTCCCGCTTTCCGCATCAGCTCGCAGACCCCCGCTGCTACAAGCTCCTCCGTCTTCGGCAGCGGCAAGAAGTTCACCGTTGCTTTCCTTGACGGCGGTGTTGCTGGCAAGAATGTCTCCACCGAGGTCTTCTGCCACTACCTCGGCAACGACTTCACCGTCGACTCCAACGGTCAGCTCCGCAACCAGACCGCTGCTCGTGTCGCCTACGGTGCTCCTCTTCCCGCCAACAACGACGGTCCTCACCGATACATGCAGCTTGTCTTCCAGCAGTTTGACAACTTCACTGCCCCCGCTTCGCCCGCTGCCGGTGCTTCCATCCAGCGTCTCGAGCTCCAGAACTGGTACCGTCAGGCTAACGGTGGTCTTGGCAAGATCGTCGCTGCTAATTACATCCAGATTGAGGTCGGTAGCGCTACCGCTCCCAGCTCTACCTCGGCTGTTTCCCAGGCTAGCGTTACTGCCCTTGCTGCTAGCAAGAGCGGCGCTGCTGGCTCCAAGTCCGGTTCCAGCTCGGCCGCTGGCGCCACCTCATCCGGCTCTGGCAGCAACAGCGCTGCTTCGTCTTTGCTTAGCTCCGTCTCGATGGCTGGAATCGTCGCTATGGGCTCTGCTGCCTTGGTTGGCGCTGCTATGCTCTAAATGCGTCGATAAGCAAAGAATCAGGTGTCAAGCGCAAATAGCGTCCACTTGACTAGCCTCCGCTGTCTTTCTCGGTCTAATTTGAGCGTCGCATCACTCTGTACATATGCATCATCTCAAGACAAACAGTCTCCACTTCCCTCTGTCCCAATTGTGAGAGTCTTGTGATGCCAAACCACCTTAGCTGTATGAGAAGGGAGTTCAAAAAAATGAACCGACGACTCGATGCAGCCGAAAATGCTGGCCAATGTTAGATTTTCGCAGTCAACAAGCCTAATATTTAGCTTCGAGAAGAAATGAAGGCGTGCGGACCTTTGACAGCGAACGAGCCACGTCAGTTCCACTCCCGTGTTGCAACCCATTCGCGAAAGCCTTCTTCTTCCCCTCCTCCCATCATCACCACAACGTACATCGCACAAGATGAAGCCCTTCCGCTTCATATTTATGGCAGCAGTGCTACTGCTCGCAATCTTCACCATCTCCACCTTCGCCGCTACCAATTGGGACAAGGACGATCACGAGATCTTCGACCTTCAATCCGCCCTCGAGAAATCTGAAGGCAAAGGTGCCAACTTTTACAACATTCTTGGCATCCCACGCTCTTCCTCTCAAGCCGAGATCAAGCGTGCATACCGCAAAAAGAGCTTGGAGCTTCACCCTGACAAGAACTCTGGCGTGGCTGGAGCTCAGCAACGTTTCGAGAGGTTGGGATTGGTCTACAAGATCTTGCGAGATGGAAGGAAGGACAGATACGATCACTTTTTGAGCAAAGGTTTCCCCAAGTGGAGGAAGAATGGCTGGTTCTATGAACGCTACAGGCCCGGACTGGGTGCTGTGCTGGTCGGCATTGCATTGTTCACCATGGCTGTGGAAGTTGGAATCTCAAAGTTGACAAGTGGACAGGAGAAGGCAAAGATTCAGAGGCTCAAGATGTCGGCTAGATTGGTAGCTTGGGGTCCACGATACCAGGCTATCCTCGCTTCGCTGCTCTACCCTACCGAGACGACACCCGCTCTGCCACCATCGAAACTCGCACTGGTGGAAAAGAAGGTTCGTGTTCCGATCACTGGTTTCCCCACCCTCCCTGCCTTCCCTGCCCCGACCGCTATCAAGACAGGTGCAGCCGATTGGGACGCACAAGAAGCAGCCACCCGCGCTGTCATCGCCAATCCCTCTGCCACATCAGCTGCTGACGGAGCACCTATCGTCGAGTGCCTGGTGCACGAAGCAGACGTGTTTTTGTTGGACAAGTTCAGCAACGATTGGGTCTTGTTGAGTGAGGAGGATGCTCAGCAGAGTCAGTTCCATCAGACTTGGCCGTTCAGGTTGGTTGCTGCACTGGTGAACAAGGTCACCGGCAAGCATGAAGATGTGTTGACCGAGGTGGAGGAAGAGGTTGAGGAGAAGGTCGAGGAGGTGAAGGCCGCCGCCGCAGGTGCTGGGAAGAAGAATAAGAAGGCCGGCAAGAAGGACAAGTGAGGTACTTCTTTCTCACTTCGCGACGTCACAAAACACCGCTGTCGTCATTTGCATGACCCGTCGACTTGCACAGTCACACAATAGAGTTCGGCATTGCTACATTGATTGAAGACATACATGAGCTCGATCTTGGGTTGACAAAGAATACGTTGACTGAGTATGATGTTGACTGATGACCTTAAGTGTCGCGATCGAATCGTATGATCTGAGGCTTGCCGCCCATCTCTAAGCTTCTCCCTCTCCCTCTCCCTCTCCCTCTATCTCGCCCTCGCCCTCTTCACCGTCTTCAGAGTCTCCCATGTCGATCTCTGGCATTTCCTCGTCGTCATCATCGTCGATGTCCCCTCTTCTGAACATCTCCACCTCGGTCCTGATGACCTTCGTGGTTTCAGCAGGCAAAATTGCAGCCGGCTCGACGTTCTCAAGTACATCCTGAACCACTTCTGCGACCTGAGGCGAGTCAACCACCTCAGCTACTGCAGCGACTGCGTTATCGTTGATGGCAGTTGCTGCTTTCTCCACAGCAATCACGGTAGCGGGCGAAGAATCTGGGTGGCTCAGTCTGCCTGAAGTCAGGAATGCTGGACCTGATCCGCCAGCAACAGCGTCGGGCGAAGGCGACGCGTTGCGCGACAGTGCTCGAGGCGGGTGCGAGGTGGACGGGCTGCCGATGCGAGGCGTAACTGGGCGATGCGAGGGCTTCACTGGGTCTGGTGAGAAGATGCGCTTCTCCACCATAGTTGAGCAGAGTGGTGAGGTTGGAAGACCAAGCCCCAACTTCGGCGAAGCAGAAGCCTGGGCTGCGTCGGTGGGGGAACCAGCATCAGCGCCGCCGGCTTTGAAAAGTTGAGCGGATTCAGCCGTGATCGCGTCCACATCCATCCTCGCCTCTCCTTGCGTCGTTTTCTCTGCGTCGTCTCCTTCTTCTCGGTTGTCAGCTCGATTGCCTCCCAGAGCGCCAAGAACACCAGTCGTAGCCGAAGCCAGGCTCGATTCCTGGGCTTCACCTGTTACAGAGATCGTCTGCCCGATATCGGCGGCACCAACAAGCTTGGCACCTTCCGGAGCAGGCTCAAAATCATCCGCTGTCCTTGGTCCAAACCCAACCCCTCGTGCAACAGGTACAAACTTGCCCTTCCTGCTAGCCTGCACCAGTGCCAGGGCACGCTCAGCTGAACTTCTCACTCCCGCATCACCGCTTCCACTGGGAGCATTTGCAATCCTGCCCAACGTTGGGATTGCTCGAGGTAGCACCGTGGCCAGCGCACTCGACGGTGAGTCAAGACAGAGCTCTGCCAAGCCCTCCATTCCGCTCTGTAGCAACTCGACTGCAGTTGGTGCTCGAGAACCAGCGCTGGCATTGCGAAGCTTAGCCGAGTGAGTTGAGACGGAGTCGGAAAGAGCTTCGACGAGGGCGAGGACGGTGTGCATACAAAGCTTCTGCTGGTCTGAGTGTACAGCGCTGAGGCAGGTGGTGAGTAGAGGGTAGACGGCAACGATGATCTGAAGTGCTGCTTGGGTAGAAGCGATCTCTTCAACGCTAAGAGACTGTATGCGGTCTTTGAGCGCAATGTTGGATGCGAACATCGAGTCTGATTCGTAGAGGCGTGCCTTTTTCGCCTTGCGACCGTCGCCAGAGGCGACAGTGGTGGTCGGAGCGTTATATGGTAGAACGCATCGAGCTACGTGGGCGGCTGCAAGACGCGCAAGTCGGAGCGTTGTACGTCCAGCTGGATCGAGAGGTAGAGCGATGCCCTGTCTTCCGACCACCACGGCGAGCGTCCGCATCGCAGCAAGCTTCACTCGGTTGCTGGCCAGATCTGAGCCACCGCTGACACCTGCTTCGGCGATGCGGCAGATGTCTCCGAGCACGCGTGATGCCTCAAGAGGAACAGCTGCAGGCGCAGTGATGGCAATCTGGGCGATCAAAGCCAGCGCTCTTGTGTGCAGAGTTGGGATGAACGATGCCTGAAGCGAACAGACCTTACCTTCAGCGGTAGGCTGGTATCTGCTTGACAGATCAACCCTGAGCATATCCAAAGCCAGCGTGATGAGTTTGCCCACGGGAATCGGAACGGAGCGGGACGTGGCTCCGCGCAGATGCAAGTTGATAAGGCCCGAGCGACCGCGGCTGCCCAACAAGAGCGCAAGTCTGGAATGTGCTATCTTGGTAGCTGCCAATGGATCTTTAGGGTAAGGATGCAGGTGCTTGTGTGTTGAACCCTCCTGCTGGTCCAGAGCGGCCTGCGGAGTGTCAGTGGCCTGATAGCTACTGGTTGCGTGGCGCCATGCTTCAAAGGCGAGATGTAGCTGACTGTCGATGGTGGCCTGCCAGAGCTGAGTCTGTGTGGTACGAGCGGATCCACCGGAAGCGTCGCTGCCCTTTGAGGCGAGAGCACCAGTGAGGTGGAGAGACGAGAGCACGGCTGCTGCTGCATTGAAGATGGGCTGAGGAAGGGACAGTGCGTCATCGCGATAGAGTAGTGAGGAGATGCATTCGTGAATACGCGATGAGACAGGTCGGAACTGTGCTGAGTGGGCGTGCAAGAGACGGTTGAGGAAGACCAATACGGTGCGGAGGTGGGTGCCGAACGCAGTCACTCCCTCTGCATCCTGCTTTGAGACAATGTTTTCGAGCAGCTGTGTGAGACCAACTGCAAACTTGGGCAGATTGGGGTGCACAACTTGTCGGTAAAACTCCTGTCTCGCTGTAATACCTTCCGGGAAAAGATGAGTAACAGCAAGCTGAAGCGCAGAGGCGAGAAGGCAGTCCGAGTGCTCCCGTTGCGTCAACAGCTTTTCAGGTGCAGAGAGCAGATTCACGATCTGTGTAGCCCAGGTCGACGCACTCGTAGCGAGATGATCGTGCCAGATAGCTGCGTCTTGCTGGATCCAGAGATGAGCTAAGCGGTACCCAAGGGCATTTTGCGAAGAAATGAGCGAGTTAATGCGGACAGTGAGCTTGTGCTGAGTCTCGTCTTGAGGAACATGAGCGAGCAGTCCGGATTGACTGATAATGGCGAGGATGTCATCTTCCTGTGCTGGATCAGAGGATGCTGAGGGGATGAGACTGAGGAGGAGATCGAGACGCGAAGCTGATCGTGCGGGGCCGGGCAGCTCGAAAGCAGCACTACCATTTGAGCTGCCGAGCAGCGAGCCCGAAGCTGAGGTTGACATGGCTTTTCTGTATGCAGCTGCTGAGTTGACAGCAGCTCTTGAAAGTTTGTCGAGTCTTTCGAGGTTGGATGGTGGTGGTTGCGGAAAGCAAAATGAAATTGGCCAACCTTTTTCCAAAGCTCAAAAATCCACTTTTCCGCAAAATCCACTTCCGAGTTCCTCTTGTTGAAAAGTGAAGACGTTTGGGTCCCGATAACTGGCGATCGGGGAGAGTCTAAGTACGATGTCACTGCTGGTTAAGACAGAAACATATATACTCAATTGACTAAGTGAACGTGGTGAGAACCTAGTGTTCTCAGCTTGCTATATATACATCTATTAGGCCCATACCGAACGTGGGAGTATGCTACCTCATGACCTAGCTTGACAACGAGCGGGACTGTGTTGTACCCGATCTCTGGTCAGATCGGTCCTCTGGCCAGATCGGCTCTGCCTGATCTCCGATCAGATCGGCTCTGCGTCATCCTTTAGCGTCTCACTGGATCGTAATCTTCAGCACCTCTTTCTGGAATGCAACAGCAGACAGCGGACAGTCGGCCGGTAACGCTCGCCCAGGGTGCCGCACGGACACACGAGCGCTTAACATGCAACGCTCCACACCTGATACTGACACTACCACCTTCTCAACCAATACCTTTTGCCTGCGAACGGCTCGATTCGCTTAGCCTTCATCGCTTACCTACAAACAGTTAGCCACATCCGACCAGAAGCTCCGTTGGATTCTCCCAGGAGGCGGCAGAAGGACACCGCAAAGTCGAATACTCCGAGGCCAGGACTTTCGACATGGCCTGCTCGCACCGTTGATCACGTAGGCGCTTTATACCCCATCTTGGAACGGCATTCCAGCACACTCACGCCTTATTATACTGCGACTTGGTTAATGAGGCGTCACAATGTCCAACTACAATGCCACACCACCACAGCCGAGGCCGGCAAGGTCGCGACCACCAATTGGTTCTCCGGCCCCAGTAGCGCCACTCAATCGCGCAACCACTTCAGGAGCACGTTCGTTTCACGACCCTATAGTCTCCGAGCTCTGCTCACTCGAGACGTTTCAGAACAACTTCAACACAAATGACTTCATCGCTCAGCTCACGTCAAAGCTCGTCCAGCGGTCAAAAGCGGACCCAGGCCCCTTTAACCCGAAGCCTTTCATTCGTACCTTCGAGGCTGCGCTAGACCAACTGGTGCAAACCAGATCACAAGTTAATGCACAGTGCCAGCAGCTTTCATCCTCAGTGCATGTTGCAGAGTCAGCATACACCAAAAAGCTAGATGAGCTCGGAAAGAACTTCGCCGCTGTCGGCAACTCGTTCACCAGCCTTGAAGACCGTATTTCGGAAGTCGGCAGGACCGCTATCCGTATCGGCGAGCAGCTCGAGACCATCGACAAGCAACGCAATCGTGCGAGCGAGGCGCACGATCTCATCGAGTTCTACTACATGTTTGCCCGTGGAGACACTTCGAAACTCGAGCGGCTACGGAAGGAAGGCGGTCGCGAGGGTCGGATGAAGACGGCTGTCATTGCACGGAGACTTGCTGCCATCAGCCGCGAGGTCGACGTCGCCGGCAGTGACCAGACGCGTGATGCTATTGATCGCTACTGTGAGCGTTTCGAGCGCGATATGCTCAAGCTTTTCGACAAGTTCTATCGACGTTCTGATCCTAAGATGATGTCACACATCGCAAAGGTATTGCAAGGGTTTAATGGTGGAGCCAGTTGTGTTCAGATTTACGTCAATCAGCACGACTTCTTCATCTCGAAAGATCGCGTTGGAGAAGCGAACGGGATCGAACTCAGTCAGATTTGGGAGCATATGGCGGACCCAGATCGACCTCCACCACAATCCGAGCCGTCGCTCACGGCACTCTTCAACGAGATTCGTCAAACTGTCGAGATCGAGGCCCAGATCATCTCAGCCGTCTTTCCAAATCCCCTCGTGGTCATGCAGACTTTCCTACAGCGTGTGTTCGCACAGTCAGTCCAAGCTTTCGTTGAAGTGATCATGGACAAGTCGATGCAGATTCACGCTCCGTCTTTCGTCGGAGCTGGTGGATCAATTGACCCCAAGACATCTGGTCTCGAGCCAAATCCTACCATACAGGCCAACGCTTCGCAATCAACGGCATCCCATCTCGCTTTCTTGAGGGCATTACATATGGCTCGGTCGAGTGCTTTGAGCCTCGTCAATGACCTCAAGATGTACGACTACCGAGGCGCTGGCATTATTGCGCCTTCCAATACAATACACGGGGCCAACGGCAATAACGGCAGCAATGGCGACAGCGTACTCTCGGATTCTCTCACTCTTCTAGGCAGTGATGCAGTTGCTGCAGCAGGTCAACTTGCAGGGGCCGCTGCAAGCCCCCTGGCTGCAATGCTAGACCAATCGGTCGAGGAGCTCTTCGTGCCATACATGGAAGGCATTCGCTACATAGACAGGGAGTCGCGCAGCTTGGCGGATATGTATGCGGGCTTATTGTCAAAGTACATCGCATTCCATCGGGCAGCTGCCATAGCCAAAAAGGACAAAGGCACCGGCAATACCATCTTCAATCGCATGCGCAACCAGATCTCGGCTCCGTCCGATGCCTCTTCGTCTACATCTAGCCTCGCATCAGGCTCCACGGCCACCAATGCAAGTACATCCGCAAGCTCGTCCGCTACCAACCCATCAAAAACGTCATTCTTCAAGCTCTCCAATCTGGCGGATCGCGTTCGTGGTACACACAACGCAGCGCCTGGCAGCAACACCGCAGCACCTATGTCAACAGAGCCCAGCTTGGACGGTAGCCAAGGCTCGGCCGGTGCACAAGGGCATGAGGAGATTGACGATGATGACGGTGAACTGTCGCTTGACGTTGCAGAGAAGATGTTGCGCTGGCACGCCGAATCTATTGGGCGATGTGTCGATCTCAGCTCGGCCTCTGAGGTGCCGAAAGCCACCTTTGCGCTTCTGCGTGTCCTCACCTCTGCATACATCAAGACATACGTTGAGACAACCCTTGACTCAGCCTTGGCTGCTGTCAGCGCACAAGACATCCGCGGACAGACCATGCCCGACCCATCAGCCGCCATGTCGCTTGTGCGCACTGTCGAGCTGATCATATCGCTCTGGCAGCACTACGTCAACACAGCTTTGCTTCCTCTTGCCAGCACAAGCGTTACGTTACGCAGAGAAATGATGATCTTCAACAATCACAACTTGCTCCGCGTGGAGGGCAAGTGTGACGCACTGATGCAGAAGATTGCCGACAACGTAGTCGGGTTCTTGTCGAACCGCCTCGCGACGCAAAAGAAGAATGACTTCACGCCTAAAAACGATGATCTCGCGTTTGCGCGCCAGAACACGGAACCGTGCGTGGCGTGCTCAGAGGCCCTGGAGAGGGTACAGCAGGCGGCGCGTGCGGACCTCAGCCTGTCAACAAGCAGGACGGTGACTTCGGCGAGCGGCAACGTCAACATTCGTGGTTCGCCGGCTACCCGAGCAATCCGAGGGACTGCATCTGTGGATGGCAGCGACGGGTCAGGTACACGTGTCAGCTGGGCTGATGGCGATGCTCTTGGTGATGCAGGAGCTAATGACGACGACGATGATGACGAACAACACCAACGAAACAACCTTTCACGCAATGCCGAAGCGTTTCTTACCGAGATCGGAGTCGCCTTTCACGGTCTTTTGCTCGAGCACCTGCGCAGGTACACAGTCAGTGCAGCAGGTGGGATCATGCTGACCAAGGATCTCGCTATGTACCAGGACGCCATCGGCACTTTCGGCATCCCAATACTCTCGGATCGATTCGAAATGCTGCGTCAACTGGGCAACCTTTTTATTGTCCAAGCATCCGTGCTCAAATCTTATATGCGCGAAGGACATCTGGCCAAGATCGAAGAGCGTTTGCTCCGACCATACTTGCTTCGAAGAGCAGACTACGCGAAAGAGGTGCGAGATCTGGATGATGGGCCCGCGTCAACGACACCAACGAGCGTTACGGCGGCTAATAATTTATTCGGTGCAGGAGGCGACATGTTCGCGACAGCACCAGGTGGTGGAAAGGATCTCTTTGGACACATCCCAGGGCTCATTAATGGTGGTGGTGGTGGTGGTGGTGTACACGCTAGTTCCGGAGGAGGGACTGCGTTACGTTCGACAGGAGCAGGAGGGGCGGGAAAGACAACAGAAGAGTTGAGGCTGCAAAGGTTAGCTGATGTGTTGGGGCATTTGGAGAAATTCAGCCTCGGTGCGACGACTGCTGGTGCCAAACAGGGCACAGGGAAGGCCTGAGGCAGAATAGCTAACATTGTATGCTATCCGAGATTGTTAGCATCTGCGCAACACCATGCCATTCAAGCTCATCATCATTATGCAGCAAATTGATTGAGAGAAAAGATTGTATTGGCAATGAACAAAGATGAGATGAAATGAGTTGCAATTGAAACCGAAAATCGAACCAAAGTCTAGGGTATCTCTAGTGTCTAGTTGCTAATCATCTACGAGATGATAGAGGACCTCGAAGTGGCCAGCACCTTAGGCTGACCGTTGAGTGTGTTGATCTGCTTAGCGCTGAAAGCATAGTTGGGTCTGTTGTCCTTGACATCATCAGGATCGTTGCAGCTGATAGTGACAGACTTGATCATGTTGACGAATCTGCCGTTGGGAGCTTTGCTCCAGTCAATCAATCCGCCAGACCAGTCCACGGTACCTTTCTGGAACGTGCCATCACCTGCACCCCAGATGCTCAGTTGTAGACGCATGGGGGATGAAGGGTAATGGTAGAGCCCATCTTTGGAGTTGAGAGTGTTTTTGCGGTAAAGAGTGCGCACAAGAGTGCCGTCGATGATCCATTGAAGACGGTTGGGAGACCAATTGATAGTGTATGTGTGCCAATCGTTGGCGTCGAAGCGGACGGGTTTGGAGATGTTGTCAAGGGTCGAGCCGGGAACTGAAAAGCCGTGGGTGTAGCCTTCGGGCTGGCCGGACCAGTACCAATTAGTTTGGACGTCTTGGCTGTCGCTTGTTGTGAATTCCCAGTCGATCTCGTCCTGGTGTAGATGAAGTGGTGGGCATTAATTCCGGTGTCAGCATCTGTCTTAGTCATGAGCGATTTTCATCTACAGTGTGCACAGTGTATGCTACTTACCTTAGTACTGGACATGCCGATGAAAGTGTTGACCACACCATCCCAGCTGCCGTGCTTCATAACGGCACTCGCTTGACCGTAGTACCAATATCTCGTAGTGCTAAGCAAGGTTCCCTTTTTAGCTGCGCCATTTTTGGTGAGGATCATCTTGGCACCCGACTTGGAGGGTTCAAGGACACCCTCATCGAGGGTGAAAGGAGCCTGATTGGGGTCACCACGATAAGATGAGGATGTGACCCATGGCTTGGCGTTGTTGGCGAAAAAGATGGTCTGAGGCTTGCACTTGGGCATGGGCTTGCAAGAGGAAGGCTGGAAGGATGAACTAGGGTCGCAGGCGCCGAGACAGTGAGCTGTGGATGCACCGCAGAAGCCGTAGGTAGAACAGCATGGTGCGTCAGCCCCACACTTGTTGGACGCAGAGCATGACTTGGCTGAAGCAGAGATGGTAAGGACGGCGAGAGCGGCTACGAGAGCGAAGAGAAGCGAGGTGAAGCGTGTTGTGGCAGCCATCGTGAATAACGTCTATGGAGGAGGATGTATGCGATAACTAGGGGATGGAGAAGATTACGGAGGCGAAAAGGTGTTTCTATTATAGGGACCTGAAGAGCTCTGACTAGGGCAAAGTATGGGACAGTCGGCTGCTACAAGCGCAGGACACCAGAACCCAGGAGCGATATCGGACAAAGGGGATGAATCAATTGTGCGCAGATCCTTTGGAAAGCGGAGTCTATTGCAGGGAGCAAGTGTGCCAGCCCGTCATCGTCTTTCAGGTACCGGGAGCGGAGGAACAAAGTCTCAAACACGGACATGGATCGCGAGGATACGCAGACACGGGAGACCTGCTTGCAAAAGAGGGGGAATGCAGATCATCTTGGCGCAGCGGTTGCAGATCTTTTGCACCTCTCCATGAGCCGGTGGAAGCAGCAACTTGGGGGACAAGCTACAATAACACAACACCAACTGGCAAGGCTCAGGCTGAAAAGCATGTCACGAGACAAAGGTTAGGGGAGGAAAGTTCCAAGATTCCCTTTGTCGCTCTCTGCACTGCCGAGTTGGACAGCAACAAAGACAAAAAGGACCGAGCGACCATGTTATTTCTTGGGAACGACAGAAAAGGAACTTCTGTCGAGAACAGGCGGAGTTTCTGCTAAAGATGACGATCCAGCAGGTCTAATCGGTGATCGGATGCTATTGGGTCCCGCTCGTTGTTGTACTCTGTCATTGAGGGTGATACTGCCACATATGGGATGTAGCAGCACTTTGTATATATGTCAGGCAGCCATGTTCTCTTCTTAGTCAATTGAGTATATTTGTTTCTGTCTACAAACTAGCAGTGACATCGTACTGAGACTCTACCCGATCACCAGTTATCGGGACTAAATCTTCAACAGTTTCATGCAAAGCCAAGCACGCGTGACTTGTCCGACTGTCGAGGATCTCATGTTGGATTGGAGAGCCTAACAATGCTAGACCTCAAATAATGCTCCACCAAGCTTCTTCCTTGCTTCGACACGCGACCAACACCAACTCTGCTTTCCTTCCGACCAACACTATCGACATTGTCTCGAAGCGGGTGAAGACAGGCAACATGGACCACAACTACTGGAACGTCGACGCCTTTATTGCCGACTCACAAAAGCTGCCATGCATCTTCAATATCGACGTACCCAACATGGGTCAGATACAGTCAACCGAGGAACGCGATATCAAGGCCCTCTCCCGCATAGAGCTTCCCTTCTGGCTCGCCGAACTTATGGCTCTCAAGTAAGTGACACACGGCTACCCAGCAAACTTTCTTGCTCTGTTAACCAAATTTCCTCCATTGCTCCTTATGCCTGCAGTAATATCGTCTCGATCAACAAGCCGAAATCCTTCTCATCAAGAGTCAAGGGGGCTCTTGATGCCAATCCGACCTCGGTTCAATTACGACATCAGAACATCCACTGGTATGCGCTCGGCGCACGTCTGGCTCAACTGTGAGCATCTCTACTGGCTCTGACGTCAATTTGTGCCCCTGGACGTCTACTGACGAACAGCTTATTCTTGCTTCTGGACCTCGATAGAATGGACGACGACGACACAGAGATGCAAGGACTCTCGAAAGCGTACATCGGCCGCATATCGCAAGTCTTCCAACAATCGCAGCATCTCTCGACAGCCTCCTCATCAACAGCTTCGGCGTCTGCGGGTGGAGACAGCGACGAAAGGGGCTTTGCAACAGCACAGGCGATCGCGGCAATGGTTTCAGACGGTCCAACGCTGGGTATGAGCGCTGGCAATGCGATCAGCGCAGAGATCACCGAGTTCTTGCAAGGCATGGAGGAGTCAGAGAGAGTCTTGTTGAGGAACGGTCAGGAGGGAGCGAGGATGATGAAGGACTTCCTCGCTGGTAGCCATTGATGGCCCTCAAGCCATCTGTATTTCTATCCCCATTCGGTCGCCTTGCAAGAGTCATCCATCAAATTGTACAACTAGCATAGCATAGCATAGCATAGCATAGCATAGCATAGCATAGCATAGCATAGCATAGCATAGCATAGCATAGCATAGCATAGCATAGCATAGCATAGCATAGCATAGCATAGCATAGCATAGCATAGCATAGCATAGCATAGCATAGCATAGCATAGCATAGCATAGCATAGCATCTCCTGCATTCATTTCATCCAGCCTCTAGCTTCTTGCCAAGGTTCTTTGTGGCATACAAGCTGTTCCGAAGATGGGTATGAGCCGTTGTCGTGAAGATCCACTCTACGCGCTTGTCAGGTCACGCGTCCGTGTTGCTCTCGAATGTTTCAGGGTCAAGCCGAATTCCGACTCGCGGAAAGCACACTTTCCACACTCTCACACTCTTCGAGCTCAGCTCTGCCTGCACTCCTCACTTCCACCAACATCTCTCGACAGATCATCTGGTCTCAGAGCCGCTGCATTGGCCAGTATGACGGCACCTTGGGCATGGAGGCTCGATCCAAGCTCCGGGTCTTCGTCCCCACTCGGACCGTCAACTTCGGCTACTCTGGCTGCGACTGGCCCGCTATCTTCACTTGCCCACAAGACTGATGCTGCATCCAAGGACGGCGTCTTCTGGCAAGACTTCCGAGCGCCGATCAAGCGAACATCACTAAGAGACAGGAAGCGGGCAAAGCTTCATCGCTTTGACTCTGACGATGTGGACCCAACGCAGGACGAAGACACGACAATCCAGACAAACGAGGCAGGTGCGGGCTCAGAAGAGGAAGATGCGAATGGGGTTGACGACACTTCCAGCGAAGGATCCCTGGAGGAGGAAGCGGAAGAGGACGATCGAGATGGCGCACAGGGTCACAAGAAGAACGCCGTTGTCATTCAGGGCAGCCCAGGCAGCGCCCCACCCACATTGCCTCGAGCTGGCATCCGAGGCGGAAAGCCAAAGCGAGCGCAAGCCGAATCGACAGCCTCCTCAACTCAGCTCATCGCAATAGCAATCCACACTCACAGTCTAGCGAACGAATTTGACTCGACGCATAGCATAGACTCGCTCCCGCCGCCTCTCACCTACAAAGAGACAGTCCGCCTTGTCCGTCTAATCGCGATGATCTTTCGTTTCCCAAAACCTCGCCGCATCTCGCGTCGTCGACATCGCAAACAAACAAGCTCTGAAGACATCAATGCCGCCTCATCCTCGTCGGCTCCTACGTCATCTCCTGTCCCTGAGGCAACGATCGGAGAGGCAACAAACAGGATCGAACTCAAGCCTAAATATCTCTCGTCTCCAGCTTCGTCCGCATCCTCTTCACGCAGACCGCGCATGTTTGCCAAAGTACACCCCGAAGACGCGCGGCCGAACTCAGCAGCGGTGCTGAAACTGATCGCGCTCATTCCTGCCGCCTTGCCTGCGAGAGTAGGCTGCGCCAAGTGGATAGCTAGAGTTGCTGTCAAAGCGAGGCGAGATGAGCATGGGAACATTTTGTTGCCCGATAGCGCATACGAGGGTGCTTCGAGCCGGCAGCAGTGGGCGGAGAAGGAGGGAGCGGAGAAGAACACAAACCTTGAAGCAGCGGATGGTGAGGAAAGAGCTAAAGTGACGAGATCAATGAGGCAGAGGATGGGACAAGATGCTCCCTCAATACCTTTGCCTGGGTTCTGGCATAAGCAGAGGACTCACATCAAACTGGAAGGCGAGGAAGAGCGCAAAGGAGAAGAGGGAGCCATGCCGCTGAGCGATCGAGCAGAGATCAAGACTGAACCAGCGGAGGGGAACGAAGTGGACGCACTCACTTGCACTACTCATCCTCCAGAGCTGGCCTCTGACTTTACATTTCAGCAATCTAGCTCTCCACAGATGGAAGCGGACGTCACGGTCGATCCAGACGAGACAGCCACACAGCAAACCATCAGATCAGGTAGCCCTAGAGTCAGTTCGAAGGTAGTGAACTTGTCCAAGTTGCTCGCTGAACGAATGAGGGAGAAACGACAGGCAAAGTCGCTGCTTCTTCGCACACATCATTCTCTGCGCAAGCGGAAAAGGGATGATGTTGACACGACAGGCTCTGTTGTAGCAGATGAGAATGGAGGCGTGGAAGAGGAAGACGAGATTGACCTCTTTGAGGATGCCGAGACTGCCGCTAATACCCTCGCAAATAGCGGTCGCCAAAATGATGCTGCAGAGACACTTCAATCTCTTGAAGCTACTGCTGATGCAAACCTTAGGTGTGGGGAGGTCAAGCAAGAAGACCTTAGCTAAGCTGCCAGAGCATGGCAATGCAATACAACATGCCCTCTTTCTATAATAACAAGTCTGTATGTACTTGCGTGATGTAAAATCTGTCGAAACGGTTCGGACCGGGAGGTCACGCTCAAACAGAACCAGCCGGGAGCACCGAATTCGAGCCACAGAAAGTAGAAAATCTGTGTCCAAAAAAGAGGTACACAAGATACTCATCATTGCCGTCCCCGAGCTTCGCATTCACAGACGATGGTCAGTCACCACAGCATGATACGAGATCAAGCTCTGACATAAATTATTACGAGCCTAGACCCGAAGATAACGATCATACAAAGACTGCGCCAGATGCGGACTTCCCGCAGTCGTATAAATCAAAGCCAGATTCCATGCGGCTTCTCTCTTCATTCCCCACCCACCTTTACTGTCATCATATCCCGCCTCCAAAACAGCCCTATAATGCTTCTCAGCCAGATGTACCAGCCCGATGTGATGCATAGCCCTTCCTCTGTTGTATTCCATCTCCGCCCAATGCCTTTCTCTCTTCTCCTTCTCCTCGCCTGAGATCCGGTACTTGAGATAGCTTTGGAAGAACGTCATAGCGGTCAAGATCATATGATGCCTATTGTCAGTCTGCCGGTTCGTACTGCGGCTGAAGAAGGCTACTGCAGTGGCAAGGCAAAGCACTGGATCGGTAGCTTGGATGGCGTATGCGCGAGCAAAAAATGCTGCTGAAGACTGGAAGCCGCCCGAGTAGAGGAGCATGTAGCCGTAGAACATTTCAGCGGGGGGCGAAGGTTTGGTGGGTCGAGCGAGACGAATGGCGAGAGCTTCGTCCGGACGATCGCCTTTGATATCGCTGATGACCGTGGCGGAGGCTGAGCGTCGGTCTCGTGCAGCAGAAGCCAGGGGAGAGTCTTCACGTGCTGCCTGATCGTGATCGCTTTCAGAAGCCCCTTCGAAATCACTGCCGAGTCCACTCGGAGCGTCTTCGTCCCCTTCTGCCTCAGCTGCTCTGCGTCTTGCTTCTTCTGCCAAGTCCCTCCTTGGTTTATTGTCGGCGCCGTCAGAGCCGTCAACATTGAAAGGCTCGCCATTCTTCATCGACCTGAGAGCATTGCTGATATGTGCAGGCACTTGCCACCGCTTGCTGTGAGTCGAAAACTTGCACGGAGCACCGCGAGCAATTGCTTCACCTTGCCTCATCCTTCTTTGGTAGAATTTAAGGTCGTTGTTGCTGATCAACCTGCCCAGGCTGTGGAACCCTGTACCATTGGCAATGCTCGCACCCAACATGAGGGGGAGGTTGTGAAATTGCATCTCTTGCGCCAACCATCTCACCGAGCTCCACACTGTCGGCCAGTCTCTCGCGTAGAGTGCGCACGAAAGCCATGAAAGCTGCACGACGATCATGCGCTCGAAGATGCCCCAGACCACTGCGCTTGTATGGAGAGACTGGAACAGCGAGTTGACAACCGCCATCGATTCGCCTGACTTGACGAGCAAAAACGAGTATTTAGAGAATAGGGTGATCCAGTGCTCAATAGGCAGGCCACGGAATTTGTTCATGTCGAGCTGCTTCGGACCGGGCTCTACTCGTGGTTTGGCACTGTCGGCATCCCCAGCTTCGGATCCATCGGCGAGATCCGAAGTAGCATCGTCCTCAACAAGCTGATCTTGCAGACGGTGAAGAAGGTTGCGTGCTCGCGTCGAGATGGCATTGCTCCCCCCGCCGCGTTGAGAGAGCATGCTGGCAAGGGTGTTACCAGTGAAGGATGACGACTCGGCGCGTTGCTGTTTTGCAGCGCTCGTACGGTGGCCACCTGGACGTTTCTTCTTTAGGTGAAGACCAGTGAGACGAGGGTTGAGACGAAAAGCGTCGATGAGACCGCCTGCTTCCTCGAGCCACTGTGCCGTCTGGCGGTAACGCTTTTCACGCTGCTCCGGCGTTTCAGCCGAAGCATAGAAGTCTCCGAGAGCATCTTCGCCTTCTTTTGTCACTGGAATATCATAACGCCAGAAACCTTCGATGAACACGTGCAGATCAAGCAGCTCCAGACGCCTCCATGAGAGCTGGGTTTCTTGCTCTCGCTGTAGCTCAAGCTTGAGTCTTTGCTGACGATTGTAGTTCATCCTGGCTCTTCTGGCCGCAGGAGCAGCTTTTGGAGCGCTGACCTTTCCCATTTCGTCAAAGAACGAGAGCTGACCGTCATTGTTGGTTGCACCTCCGGCTGCTATATGTGGGCCTCGACCGGCTTCTGCCTGAGCCTCGGCTGCTCGCTGCGTTTGTAGAATCTGCATGACCTGCCGCAGCACCTCAAGCGACTTCTCCTTTTCGCCCAAACCCTCGTATACCTCTGCAAGCCGCATCTGCCATTCCAGGGTGTCAGGGGACGCCTCGACGACGGGTTCGTACAGGCGTGCTGCCTCTTCCAGCTCTCCTAATGCATGGTTGCACGCTGCGAGCTTGGCGTAGAGCGAGACGTCGTCGGTGGCGTATTCTGTACTGGCGAGGTCGGTTAGCACGTCGAGTGCCTCAGCCCAAAGCTTGTGTTCATAGTAGCAGTCACCGACCTCGGCAAAGATCTGAGGTGTATCAGCTGGATCGCTCTCAGTCAAGATGTCGAAGTGGTGCTTGGCTTCGGCCACATCGCCGAGCATCATGCGGGCTTTGCCAAGTCGAAGACGGACCTCTGGATCGAGCATGTGGGGTTCAGCTGTTTCTACTTGTCGACCGTATCCTTCGTGGTCGCGTTCTTTGCGGATCTGTGAATCAATGTCACCATCGAACTCACGATCGTCATTGACGAGATCCCAGAACTCTTCACTTGCTCTGCCATCGAGCCAGCGAGCAGTCTGCCGCAAGACAGTGACGGTCTCCATCGGCTTACGCAGCAAGAGGAGAAGATCAGCCAAAGTGACCAGCTCTGAGATTTGAAAATTGTTGGCGGCAGGTGCTGCCATTGCTGCTGACATTTGCTTTTCAGGCTGCGTGGACTGGCCAGTTACATTCTCTAAGGCAGGGTCAAGAAGTCCATCGGTAGTGGGGTTTGGGTATCTTCCCATGCTCGACTTTCGCCAGCGCTCGAGCACCTCGATACCACGATCGTAGTCTCTGGTGCTGACGAGCATCGGAACCAGCTCCCTCACAACAGATGCATCATAAGGTTGCAGCTTGAGGATGTCTAGCATACCATTGATCGCAGCTTTGTAGTCACCAAGGTCTCGAAGCAGCAATGCGCGGTCCCAAATGCTGTCAATGTCGGTCTTGTCGATCTTGATAGCTTGCTGGAAGCAGTAGATGGCTTGGCGGTAAAGATTTTGTTTGATAGATCGGTAGGCGAGGGACTTCCACTCTTGCGTAGCACGAGGCTGGAGATGAGCGCCGATAATTCGACACTGAATGCTCTTTTCCTCTTCGCCCAGCTCTTCATAGATGAGACCGAGCGTGTTCCAAGCTGCCATGACGTTTGGCTCGATCCGGATGACTTCTTCGAGTTTCGGGATGGCATCGCGCAGGCGATTCTCGACATAAGCAAGGTTGACATCAGCCAATAGCGCTTGCACCTCTGACGAGAGAGGCTGCTCGTGAGCTCTGCGGCGTACGCGACGCTTCTGCTTGAATCCAGCCGCCGCTCGAAGCTCGTTCTCGAACTCGGCATTCTCGGCTTCGATGGAAGTGTCCCATCGTTGACGGAGGGCACCGGCTTCGCGAGAGGTATCTTGCAACGAGCTCACTAGACGCTGGAACGATTCTGGCTCAAAGTCAGCGTCTTGGACCTCGCCTTGCTGCTGCTGCTGCCGTTTCCTCTGCCGAGAAGGGCCGTCGTTTTCAGACAGCGCGGGATCCAGAACTTCGAGGTCAATTTCATCTTCGTCATCTTCGTCCCCGTCGTCATCATCAATCCCCGAATCGTCACTAGCTGTACTACGTATGTTCCTTCGAGATCCGGATGCGGATGCTTTGGGTTCTCTTGTCCTCTTTAGCCGTGCAGTCTTCGGCGGTAGTTTCTTCGACAGCGCTTTGATTAGAGTATATTGGTCCGCATCGGAATCATCGTCCTCTTGCCAATCAGGATTGCTGGCATCAGAACCATCCCTATCGTAGTCGTCTTGAGCACCAAAGGCGAGCGCTCCGAATTCAGCGTCTCCATCCTCGCCATTCATATCGAATCCAGCGAGTCGATTCCAATCGAAGGTATCGGTTTTGGAGGTAACAGCTTTTCGGGTTGACCGGCGAGCCGGCGTCCTGCTAGGACTTGCCTCCGCATCCATGACAGCGAGCGGTACTGCTAGCAGTAGGGCCTTGCAGGCAAGCGAGGCGGCCCTGGCATCCAGCTGTCAGATGGATGGATGAAGGTGGTAGTGAAGGCAGCTCAAAGCTGAATGGAAACTAGAGAGCTGCAGGGTCTAAATCAAGATCAACACTGTCAGAATAATGCTTAGGTAATCATGCCCGATCCAGCATTGACATTTCCGCAATGCCTCTTGAAGTACGAAGCATTAAACATTCTTCGCTCATCCTTCTCATCCTCAACCCACAGCAATTCTCTCGAGATCATTCGTCAGGTTGGCGTTTAAGCTGTCAGCATTATTATGAGCCATACGCAGGCCCCGCTGGGTGGCTATCCGCAATCGCCGGACCCTACGCTCAGCGATCCGCAATGGTTGCAACAACTTTCTTCTCATCCCATCTTCGTTCCCCGGCATCAAGGCGATGGAACGTCAGCAGCAACCAATGATCGATTCAGCGAACCTGCAAGTTACACGCGACTTATGATGGTGAGAGGCACCGATCTCATTGCAGTCGTCGACAATGAGATCCGCATTGCTTCTCTTGTCGATGCAAAAGCCTCTGCTGCCAATCAGCCCCTGTCGCCTTCAGCATCTTCGTCTTTCAAGACATATTCTACAGCTTCGTACAAGACGCTTGTTGCAGCTCAAGGACCCTTGGTTGACTTTGACATTAGACACCTAAGCATTAATCCTACCGGCAAGCTTCTCGCATGCGTGGGTGATAGCCAAATCGCCTTGATCGTGATGCCTCGATCCGGCTACACCAAGCACGTAGACCGAGAGATCGCTTGTAGAACCGTCCCGATCGCCCCATACTACCACTCAGCTCATTCGAATGCTGCGGTGTCCAAAGTTGACTGGCACCCTTGGGGCGAGAATGGCACTTCGCTTCTTGTTCTCACTGACGACGGCCTTCTTCGCGAGTACGATGTTGCGAAGGACGCCGAAGAGCCGCAACAGATCGCATCCTTTCTACCCGTCGATACGGGAGCCGCTTCTCAACGCTTCCGATCCCGTTCCGCGACTCCTGCCTACACCTCTCGCAATAACGCCTCTTCGCCAATCGCAGGTCGCAGCTCCACCAACAATGCTGCTTCCGCAGCTCACACTTCACGTGGTTTCGGCCTCTCAGCCGAGGATGACGACGCTACCACGGCTGTCAGCTTCTCTCTTTGCGTCTCCGAGACGCCCCTTTCTCGCTCCAACCCTTTCGATGATGATTCCGACCAAGCCGGCACGAAAGCTGCCTCAACGTCAACGGGTCCTTCCGACTGGTCACCTCTCACGATCTTCGGCCTCATGAAAAACGGCGATATCTGGGCCCTTTGTCCATTCCTTCCAAAAAGTGCTGTCGTCCCAGCCGCCTACATTCACAACTTGGCCAAACTTGCTTCGTATCGCGCGAGTTCTATCGAGTCCGCACAGACTTGGCACGTAGACGCACAACTCCGCTACGTCAATGCCCTACTCAAGCAGGCTTCGCAAGGCTCATCTAGGCAGCGTCCTGACAGCAGGAGGCAAAGCTCAGTGACGCCAGGACCGGAACGCTTTGCTCGCTCCAGGTCGACCTCAACAATGGATTTAGACCAGCTCGTCCAAGGTCCCTCTGCTCCTCAGGGCGTGTCAGGAATCGAATATGGCAACGAAGAAGTACACGAGGGCCCCGTGAAGCTGCACCCACCTTCTTGGTCTTTCACGCAAGATACTCGACATGCTGGCAGCGCCAAGAAGGCGCCAAGACCTCAGGGTCCTTTCTTGCTCAAGCCCGCGCCTGTCGAGCTTTGTGACGAGCGCGAAAGCGTCGCGTGTGACATTATTTGGACATGGCTTACTAGCGAGAATGCCGAGGCTGCTACGGATGGTGCTGTGACTGGAATCGCTGCCCTCAGTATTGTCGGGCACGACGGTCGAGTTGACGTTGGCTTGCTCTTCAGTTCGGTCGAGGCCGTCTGGGACGCACCGACCTCGCGAAGTCGCTCAGCAGCTCGTCGCCGTAGCAAGCCGCCGAAGACCAATCGGTACGGCCTCTCAGATACCGAAGATGAAGCGGACGATTTTAATGCTCTCAGTCTCGAGGATGCAGTCAAGCTTCCCTCGCTCCTTATATACGAAACAATCGATTTGGGCCTACTCGACACAGCCATCGACAACGGTGTCGGCTCTCAATCTACAGCTTCGGATGTACTGCTCGACAAGATGGCAAGCAACAAACCATGCTTCGTTCGCGATCCTCTGTACGGCGACACCCTCTATGTGTATCATGCCTTCGGCGCGCAATGTCTCGGTTTTGCGACATGGGCTCCCAAGTTCATCGAAGCGCTCAATGTGCCTTCAGAGGACGAACTTTACAACAACGCAGGCGACGACGTCTCAATGCCCAGTCAAGAGTCGCGGGAACAGGCTATCACTAAGATGCTTCACAACTCTATCAACACGGAGGTCGTCTGGGTCGTGAACACGGTTGCGCCCAAGGGTAGCAAGGGGCTCGAAACCAACGCGGTCACGGCCGTCTCAATTCTTTCTGATGTTTATCTTTCGTATGCATTCCTTGCTGTGACGGCTGACCTGCAACTAGTGGGCGTCGAGTTGGCGCTTCGCATTGAGCAAGAGTCCATGGACTCGCCCAGTTCACATGAACAAGGTTTGACAGGCAGTGGCGCTGGTACTGCCAACGGGCCGAAGCCGTATGTGTCGCTGCTCGGAGATGGTCCAGGATTCCAACCGCCAGCTATCTTTGCGCAATCTGCCGGGGTTCAAGGCCTGCCACAGCATCCACGACGTGCTGCGCTGTCCAATGCTACCTCTTCCAAGTCCGAACTGCAAATCACACCAGAAACACTGCGCGCTTTGGGCAAGACAGTCGAGACGTATCGACACGAGATCCGCGATGTTGTCTCTGCAGGCAATGAAGTCCAAGCTCGTCTGGATCTGCAAGTTCGCGAAATGACGCGCCAGCTCGAAAAACTCAATGCCATCCGACTCCGTTGCTCCGATCTCGGCTCTGACTCCTCCTCAACTAGCAAAGGCGCACTGGGCGAAAGGGTGCAGAAGATCGCACAGACACAATTGCAGCTCGTTGCACGCATCGACAAGGCGCTACAGCGGCTCATGGACTCGCATCAGCCAAGTCTTTCCATCTACGAAAAGAAGTGGTTTGAAGAGCTTGAGCGAATTGCATCCGAAGTTGGTGTCGCTCGCACGCAGACAGGCGAAATCAAAGTAGACACGCGCAACAACAGGAAGGCGCTAGCGGCAAAGGCCGAACTCTTGTCGCATCAGCTTAGTTTGTTGCGGCCGCAAATGGCCGCTCTGAAAGAGCAAGGAAAGATGGAAGGGGCAAAGAGCAAGAAGGATGGAATGCTGGGAATGGAGCAGCTGAAGAAGGTTGAGAAGCTATTGAGCAGCGAAGCTGTCATGCTGGCTGAAGCTAAAGACAAGGTACAGCAGTTGAATAAGCGGATTGCGCAGATCAAGCCATTGAGGGATGCGTCCGTTGGACCAAGCTATGGTATGGACAGCGACAGTTCAGTTTCGTTTTCAAATGTAACGGCAGGAGGAATGGGGCTGCCTACGAGTAGCACTGCAGCCAATTTCGGTGATCTGTCCTTTGCTTCCCGGCCTTCTCCGCATCGAACGTCTTTCAGGGCCGGATGAAGCTTCTTTGCTTGAGCACATCAACATTTGCAATTGACATGATCTGCATCCAAATGACAGGACAGACGGACTCAGATCACAGACTGGCTTCCTACATAGAAAGATATGGTCTGTGTCATACGAAAGACTTATAAGAATTGGTATACAGGGTCGAGAATATGGGACAAAGATCTGACCGGAACGTCGCAGCTCACAATTTAGCTTTAGCGTCCGCGCTCTTAGGAGGCTGCGAGTTCTGACCTCTGATGAGACCTTCTTGAGATACAACGGCGACGAGAGTACCATCTTCTCTGTAGATGCGGCCTATGACAACGCCGCGTCCGTTGGAAGCGGCTTGTGTTTGCATCTGCATAAGGTGAGAAGAAGGTCAGCGATCTTTTACTACCGACACAGGGAGAAGACTACGGATGAGAGGAAACTTACGAGGAAAAGCAGCCAATCGTGAACTTGAAAGGGCTGGTAGAACCACATGCTGTGATCGAGACTGGCCATCATCTTGATCCCCCTGCTGTTGTTCAACGCCTTGGGCACGGTGCTGAGAAGGTAGAAGTCGGAAGCGTAGGCGAGTGCGACCTTTTGCGCCTCAAGACCTCCAAGCATTGGACGACGTGTACGCATCCAGAATGCCTGCTGATTGCCTGGTGTGGGAATACCGTTTTTGTCGTACATCCCTGGGAGAGCATCTCGAATCTCTACAGGCGACGCTTGTCGGTCGCTGACCCAGCCTTCGAGGACCTTGCGGACACGAGCATCTGGGTTCCCGTTGACAAGGACATCCTGGTATCGCTTCTCGTTGAGCGGGCATTGATTTGGTCCAGGAAGAGCGCGGAAGTTGATAGCTTTGGCAGAGTGATTTCCGTTCGCGTGCGAGCCAGTGATAGATTCTAGGAGAGCTCGGCCGTCTGCGTCGAGGGAAGGGAGAGGGATGGCAAAGGTAGGCTCATGTGGCTCGGGCTTTTGGTAGCTGAGGATGATGGTGAAGATGCTCCTGCCTTTCTGAATAGCGTTGACCGAGCGGGTGACATAGGAGCCTCCATCACGAACACGTGTGACTTGGTAGATGATGGGACGTGTCTCGTCGCCGGCTAGAAGGAAGTAGCTGTGAAGAGAGTGGAGCAGCATACCCTCACGAACTGTCTTGTTGGCTGCTGCAACAGCTTGTGCGATGACTTGGCCACCAAAGACACCTCGAGCCCGTGCTGGCTTCCACAAGGTGAGCGACTTGTAAATGTCTAGGTCGATCTCCTCCACTTGGAGCGCTTCAGCGATATCGGCAGCACCTGGTCGAGAGGGAGAGTTGACACCTTGCTCGTAGACCGGAGGCTCTTGCTCCTCGGACGTGGGTTCCCTGCCCATTTCCCTTGCGCCAGTCTTGGTCATACTGGTACTGTACGAGGACTTCTTGCTTCGTCTTTCTTGTAGCCTTGAAGCTGGGTCTGGATCTGAACGCGAGATGTTATCTTTGAGCGGAGGCCAATCGTGCTTGGGACTCGAATGTGGTCAATACGATGTCAGACCGCGGAAGGGAGGGTGTTGACGAAGGGGAGACGGTGGACGTCGCAGAGAAGATGGTAGTGTTGGGATGACAATGGACCCTCGCTTAAAGTTCAAGCAAGTGCACACTCACACTCGAAGTCAAAATGTGTGAAAGACGGACTGCACATCGCTGGACACCCAGCAAGCATCACCACTCGGCATACAATAAGCAGACAGGCAATGCTGAAATCTGTTCCACGCATCTGAGCTAGCGGTGTGCCATCAATGAACATTGCCAGCCATGTCTTGTGTCTTGCAGCCAAACGCAGATCCAGAGTGCAAGCCAGAACCGGATGTCGGCTATGTTTGTGGGGTATGCAGCCGGTTCTAGAGTTTGTAAATGCTGAACCGCCTATCCACACTCCTCTCTTTGCCTCATCATACAGACACTCGGCCAGGAGCACTGTAGCATCTGTCTGTGAGCACTTGCGCGGAAGAGCGAGGTACCGAGACAGCAAGAAGTGGCTTCATGTGGCTGGTTGATAGTGGCACAAGATGCTCTTTCTTGTCTTTGTTTGCCGATCCAGCCGTTTCCGGCAAATGCAATTTTCACAGCTTCCCGGACGAGAGAGCCATTTCAAAGCAACTCAAACGCGTGCGACAAATGTATTTGTCCGTGTCTACGATTCCGGCCGTATGGTGGCTGTGAGATCGTTTCTGTCAAACATTCATCTCATCGAAAAAGACATGCGTCAACCGCCCGAATAGACGCTCCACGATCCACGTCAACGAACAGCAGAGCATGGGCCATCAGAGTGTGGTCACCGATTTAAAACAAAAACAAAAACAAAAACATCATCTTCACCTTCGCTCGGCTGATACCTTCACAGACCATCACTATCAAGATGGCATCAGCGACTTCAGCCCCCACGTCGAGTCTTCGGATCGCACAGGTCAACTCGCTGCTTTCGCTGCTCAACCTCAACACCTCTTCCTTCGTCCATGCATCCTCATCTTCTTCGGCACCAGGGTCCAACTACAACTCAAGACCGGGCTCGGCTGCAGGACAGAATGATTCCTCCTCCGCTGCTGGGGCTGCTGACCCATCCATCCCCTCCGGCCCACCAGTATGGAAGGTGCTAGTCATGGACAAGGTCTCGAAAGACATCCTAGCGACCTCTTTGCGAGTGCAAGACCTACGCGAGAACGGTGTCACACTACACATGCAGCTTCACTCGGATCGCCCACCGCTCCCGGACGTACCTGCCGTCTACTTTGTCTCGCCTACCTCGCAAAATGTGCAAAGGATCGCTCAGGATATGAAGCGCATGCTCTACGAAAGTTTCTATGTCAACTTCACCAGCACCGTCCCAAAGCCTGTCATGGAGGAGTTCGCCAACCTTGTCGCCGCAGATGGCACCGGACAGCTGGTTCAGCAGGTGTACGACCAATACCTCAACTTCATCGTTCTCGAGCCAAATCTCTTCGAACTGCTTCCAGATGCTTCCCCTCCCTCCAGCTCAGCTTCCTTCAACGGCGCAAGCGCTACGCCAGCAGCATCAACAACAACAACAACCTCTTTCCTCACCACGTATCAACGTCTCAATGACCCGCAGTCGGGGCAGAAGGATGTCGAAGATGCTACTGATCGCATCGCGGCTGGCCTCTTCTCGACTCTGGCAACCATGGGCGCGCTTCCCATCATCCGTTCACCGCGCGGTAATGCTGCCGAGCTTGTGGCCAGAAAGCTTGAATCCAAGATCCGCGAACACATCACCAGCTCCCGTGGCGGATCCAACCTCTTCTCTGAAGCAGCTGGAAGCGTAGGACATCCAAGTTGGAGCTCTTCGCGTCCCTTGCTGGTAGTCTTGGATCGAAATGTCGACTTGGTACCCATGCTTGCACACAGTTGGACCTACCAAGCTCTTGTACAGGATGTTCTCGACCTTCAGCTCAACCGCGTCACAGTCGTATCGAGCGAAGGTGGTGTGACGAGCAAAAAGACGTACGATCTCGACTCGAAAGACTTCTTCTGGTCCAAAAATTCCGCGACACCATTCCCACAGGTTGCTGAAGACATCGATGCCGAACTCAACCGATACAAGTCGGATGCGGCCGAGATCACACGCTCTACAGGTATCAGCAGCATGGACGAGGTGGGTCAGCTCGATGCGACATCGAACGCGGCGCATCTCAAAGCGGCAATCACTGCGCTTCCGGAGCTGACACAGCGCAAGTCGACCATTGATGCGCATATGAACATGGCCACAGCACTGTTGCAAGGAATCAAGAAGCGTGGCCTCGACACACTTTTCCAGCTGGAAGAGGTCATTGCACGCCAAAAGAAGGAGACAATTCTGGAGACAGTCAAGGACACGCAGCTGGAAGACGTCAACGACAAGTTGCGACTGTTCATCATCTACTATCTCTCTGCGCCTGACTCGGCACTCTCCCGATCGGATGTGGAAGAGTTCGAACGCATCCTCAAGGAGCAGGGCGCAGATCTATCGGCGTTGAACTACGTCAAGAAGGTGCGCGAGTTGACACGAATGACGATGCTCGCTTCTGCACCACAACAACCTACAGCGGCAGAGAGTGCTGGAGGAGCAGGTGGTTTCAAGGGTTTTAGCTCGCTCTCCTCTCGACTCACGGACAGGTTGAAAGACAGCGGTCTGGAGAACCTCGTACAAGGAGTGAAAAACTTCTTGCCCGCACAGAAGGATCTCACTGTCACCCGATTAGTCGCTTCATTGATGGAACCGGCAGGAGCCAACGCACAAGCATTGCAAGAGACGGACGAGTATCTCTTCTTCGACCCGAAAGCTCCACGAACACGTGCAGCTGTTGCATCAGGCGGAGTCAAGGCGAGACAAGTGTTCAACGAGGCGATCGTCTTTGTTGTGGGCGGTGGTGGATATGTCGAGTTTGCTAACTTACAAGAGTATGCAGCGAGAACTTCGGCAGCTGCAGGAAATAATGCAGCTGGAGCAGCAGGCGGAATGGGCGGCAAAAAGATCACTTACGGTGCCACAGAGATCTTGAAGCCTATCGACTTTGTTCGAGCTCTTGCACACTTGGCTGGTGGTGATGTGGCCAAGTCTATCTCTGCTACGAATGGCGCTTCGGCCCCGGCTGCTGGAGCCAAGTAACTCAGCTTTGCAATCTAGACAACTTTTGTGGTCAGCAGCACGGAGATTTGAGAGTATGTTGGGTTTGAATCAAGTGTGATTAGTGATTATAGTGAGCATAGTGCGATGCAATAGCGCAAAGATGAATAAAAATACAATGCAAGTAACAAAAGAAGAAATACAAAGCGAGAAATGCAAGAGTGACCAAGCGTGACAACAAGAGAGGGAGGGAGAGAAGAGAGAGCGATCAAGGCGAGAAGCTACCAGAGCCTATGGGTATGCAGTAGGGATTAAGGAATGTTTGCGATAGATAGGCTTAGGAGCGACGTCGGGATCGGCCACGAGGAGCCTCGGACTCGGATGGGGAGAACAGTGAAAAGATGCTTGCAAGCCTTCGGCTCTTCTTGTCGGATGATGTTGAGGATTTGGTGGAGGCGGAGGAGGAAGCGTGCTTGTCTGCGGGTGGTCTTGCATTGCCGTTCTGCCTTGATGTGACGTTGCCCGTGTAGGTTCCCTCGAGCTTGGCCTTCTCGATAGCGAGACGCTCCTTCTGCCACATGCCGGCAGTGTGGTTTGCCATTCGTTTTGCGTAGGCGATGTGTGCCTGTACTGCATCCCATTCTTCAAGCGACTCGGCGGCAGAAAATGCCGAGGATGAGGAAGAGGAGAAGCGAGAGTGGACCGGCGAAGAAGCAGTAGAGGAGGAGGCCTCAGAGGAAGGCGAGATAGAAAGGTTGAGGTGAGGAACGTGCGCAAAATGCGTCATCATGGGAGGTACGAATTGGGCGCCGCCGATGTTGACGACATGGTGGTGGTTGTCTGACTTGTACATGGTGATAGTGGTGTGTTCCAGTGTCCAAGCAAGGGATGAGGTTGCGATGGTGAAATGGTGTCACGAAGGTATAAGTGTCGTGTGAATAATGTAACACGTGGTTGTAAGGTGCTGTGGGCTGGGCGGTGTTGAAGCTGTAGTTGATGTCTGATGGGGGTAAAAGATGGCCGGAACAAGAGCGATACCGAGGCTGGCTATATAGCAATTGTCTCGGACGGCGACCAAAGGATTGCCTTCTCAATGGAATGGAACTTAGAAGCTGACAGTGCACGGAAGTGTCAGCCGAGCAAAAGCGAAGCAAGCCAAGGCAGAAGCCAAGCAAAGGCAGGACTTTGACGTGGAGGCTGAGTGCCGGCTAGCAGCTTCCACGGAGAGAGCCAAGGAAGGCCAAGAGTCGTACCAAGCGGCTATGAACGTCACACTCTGACACCGCTCCACTCGCACAAAAGGCAGGCAGGCAGGCACACAGGCAGGCAGACAAACAAAGTGGCCGGAGAAAAAGCTTACTTTACACTCTCGACATGCGCTAAAAAGTAAACTTACATGTATTTTATTGTACCGTCACGCGGAGATAGCTTGCCGGGAACAAGCAAAAGGGGGTTTTTTTTTTTTTTTTTTTTTTTTTTTTTTTTTTTTTTTTTTTTTTTTGGGGCGCAAGTGATGGAATCGCGTTTCCGAGAAAATCTCACTCCTTTGCGCCGCCACTTGATCACACGGCACACCACGAGGGCACGGCAGCATATGGCCGAGCAACACAAAGACGTCAGCCCAGGCCTTTTTCTTTTTCTTTTTCTTTTTCTTTTTCTTTTTCTTTTTCTTTTACTTTTTCTTTTTCTTTTTCTTTTTCCTTTTCTTTTTCCTTTTCCTTTTCCTTTTCTTTTTCCTTTCCACGGGAAACACGGCTCGTCTGCCCTTGTCTCTACACAGTCTCTTGACATGAGACACGCCAGGCTCAGCGCTAGAGTAACAGCAGGCCGCGGCGACATGCAAAAAGGCCTTCTCATATCTGCTTACATCCCGCGGCTATGCTGTTGAAAACACTCTTTACAGTGCAAGTGCTTGATAACCCGCCGTTGTCGAGTCAGATGATGGACATGTTCGGAAACAAGCACGCCAACAAGCAACACTGGTATTGACTCGAACGTTCCGCTCGATAAGATGGTTCCAACGGCGAGCGGCAACGGCAACTATCTGTTGATCATAGATGCTGGGAAGTTTGCACGCTGAAATGTGCCGCGATATGAGCGCCGATTATTACCATCAACCGTCAGAAGGAACAGAGAGTATCAATCTCATGCAGTGGAATACAGAGAGTTGATGGATGACAGTCCAACCCCTGATCAGCCGACTAAAGTTAGTTAAGTTCTGTTTGTGACTCTGCGGCTCTGACACGCCGAACAGAGTCTCGCTCGCACGTCACTACCGGCATGCACAATCTCGTATGCTTCCGCCCGACCCTGCGACCATACCTCACAGAAAACAGCTTCGTCGCATGAGGAATACTCATATTCCTATAACCACGTCAGTCCTCAAGCCTGCTGTCACTGACTTTGCGGCATCTTTCTGAGACAGCAAAGAAACTACACGGCAAAAGATGCAACAAGCGTCGACTAGGGGAGCAGCATCTTGGTATCTCACACGCACTTGGAATCTCGAAAGAGAATCATCTCGTAGACCAGATGAGAAATTTTCCACAGCTTGGGCGGACACAGAAGTTGCCGGCTGCCGTGAGTTGTGCGTCTCTGACACAGCGAGCAATCTCCGCGGCTAATTCGTAAATGTCCACCCCCTACTGCATATCCATAGATGCCTTTGCCTGGCAGATATTCCCATGGCGCAGGCAGTTGTCTTCGGATCACATGCACCACCCTCTGTCTTGTGACCACCCTCAGCCTTATGACCTCGTCGCATAGTGGAAGTTGCACGGACGAGGCCGGGATGGTTACCGACACGTTGTACGACGAAGCCAGCGGAACCATTTCTCCGGCAAAGCAAGAGAGGAGCGAATGACGATGGACCCTGCTGCAAGCCAGAGATGTTTTACTTTTTCATCCGTTCTTCGCCGAACGTAGGGAAAACTCCACTTCTCTTGTTCGCCGGCAAAAGTTTTGCTTGCTCTGCTTCTTGCTTAACGTCAGTAACTCAGCTGGTCGGACTTTCGCTTGTAGCATTCCCCCTCTCAAAGTTGTGACCTCTTGACATCGTGTTGCTCGCCCTCCTTCGGAACAGGCGTCCGATGTCGTCCGTTCCACGTTTTGGGTTATGCTCGTTCACGTTGTTGCCTCTTGTGCACCCTCGCTTCTGGCTTCAGCGTCCAACGCAGCACACCAAGTTTGATTGCTGCAGCCCGATATGGTTGCCGATTCTCAGTACCCCGCGACTCCGATGATCGGCATCGGGAACGCTCACTGCAGACCAACATTATTCGGCATGTTTCCCGATTGCGTGCCAGAGTTCTGTTTCGCTCTAGTTGAAGCATGTGACCTCTCGGAGTATGTAACTTCAACTCCGAGCTCACATTTAACGCCAACCTCACTCACTCGGATATAAACCACATTATCCGGGTCGACCTCGGCATAACTGGCCACTTAACGTCCAACACAGTCCTCCCGCTCTGCTCTAGCGCCATCATCCTCACATATATATAAACATCCGAATCGCCATGTACTTAGCTCATTGAAAACTCATCGCAATCGACACTTGTAATCATTGACATTTGACGCACGCCCTTCAACAGCCCAGCATCTATCAATCTATCTGCCGCTCATTCCCAGCAAACACTCAGAATCTCACAGCCACACACACACATCTAGCCAAATCAAGTGAACAAATGAATGTGAATCCTACAGATACAGAGTTATAGCGCAGAGTGTAAGATAAGTTATGATATGATTGTAGTTAAGATAACAAGATAGAACCAAAAGGTTAGAAGTTCTTGATACTCTCACGAACGCCAGAGAAGAACTTGCCCATGCCGCGCTTCTTGGGCGCTTCGGTGCCAGCCTCGGTAGTATTCTTGTTGCTGCTGCCTCCACTGCTGCCGTTGCTCTTTGTTGAGACAACAGCTGGAGCTGGCGTCTCAAGATCGTCTTTGGTTCCTTGCAGGCTGTTGGTACTCGTTGAAGCATCGCCTCTCATGCCGAGGCTGGCACCGAGGTGCTCACCTGAGGCCGAAGCACTTTGTTTGTCTCCCTCCGCATCAGCACCGGCTATGTTCTTGTTTGTCGACGATGACGAAGAGCCAGGACGGCGGAAGCGCGAAACGAACGACGCTGCTACTCCGGTATTGCTCGATGTCGAGGTGCTGCTGCTGGCGCTGACACTACGCTGACCAGCTCCGTTGGCCGTTGCAGCCTGCGATGCCTCGGACGTCTTGGCGACACTAAGCGAGGCTGTGCCGTTGACCTTGCCATTTGAGTCGGAAAGGAGGCTGAACAGCTTGTTGCCTCTATCGTTGGGCACATCTGAGTTCGGAGCAGAAGACTCGTTGGATCGAGCAGCCGTCGACTCTTTTCGCTTTTCTGCTCCACCACCAAAGATACCAGCCAAGTACTGTGCATCCACTTCCTTCTTCGAAGGAACCCCAGTCCTCTCGCGCTCCGAAATTGTGTCCAGACCAAATCCAGATCCTCGTGTTCGGTTTCGCGCAGAAACGTCCTTGCGTGGCAGAGCAGCAGGAGCTGATGCAGTCGAGTAGATGCTCGATGTCGCAGAAGAAGTCGAACTGTGGCTCGAAGCTGTCGTGACCGAAGACGAGAGCGACGACAGAGTAGCAGCTGACTGGTTTTGCTCTCGCCACGACATGACACGACTTTTGCCAGAATCTTGCAGCACCCCAGCTCCGGCCTTGCGAAGCTCAGTCATCCTCTCGCGACGCAGCGCTGCAGAATTCCAGTTGGCAGCGGACGTCGCTGGGAGCGCACTCGCGTCGTCAGTTGCCTTGTGAGCTTCAGAGTTGCCATCAGCCATAGTCTGTAGACTGTATCTCGCTGCGGCTTCAGCTGTTGGTTTAGAAAGAACGATCTGCGGAGATGCGAGACTGTCTGCAGCATCGCTGGCCTTAGCCATCTTGCTCATCTGTCGAGCCAGGTTCTCCGATACCAGAGCCAATTCCCGGATGGTACGCTCACGCTCTCGAGCCCTTGCTTCGGGATCGTTGGCGTCAATGTCTGCCATGCCCTCGACTGATTGAGACCGTTTCAGGTGTTTGGCAAGCGTTCGTCCCTTTCGAGCTCCTCGTTTTCGTCTCTTGGAGTTGTTCGAAGTCGCAATATTTTCCGGCTTGTCGTCGTCTCCTCCATCGCCATCACCGTCGTGCTCTTTGGCTTCTCCGTTGGACTTCGCGCCTTTCCTAATTTCAGTTTCCTCCTCCTCGCCGGTGTCTTCGGGCAAGGCTTCCTTGGTCGAATCGTTCAGCTTCGGGTGGATATCAGGCGGCACATCTTGGGACGGATCCTCAACGTCCGCTAGCAAGGCTCCGGGTCCTTCAGATGCGCCCTGGCCAAGTCCCGAGGCTTCATCCGCTCTGTCATCGATGAAATTGCCAGAAGCAGATTGCGGCAAGCCGCTCAAGAGTGTTGCAAAGTCGTGCTGGTGGGACCATGTCTCCGGGCTGTTGCGCTCTTCCTGCTCCACAATGGTCTCTGTGGCTCGGCCGGCGTCTGCTGTACTGTCGTACTGTGTGTCAAACGGATTGCGCTCAAATGGCTGAGGCGCAGGAGTGAATGTGGGGGAAGGGAGTACGTCAGGAGTGAACAGAGCAGGATGGGGTGACAAGCTGCCTTGCCTTGCAGAGGCAAGGGCAGCACGGAATGTTGCATCGGCCGTCATGTCGAGGCCCGGAAGATGATCAGTGTCACGAGCCACTGAACGGGCCCCCGGTCGAGGCGAGCTAAGCAACGAAGGAAGCCTAGACATGGAGCCCGTACGCGAGTGGATCAGCGGCACAGTTGCGTAGATCGAGGCACCCTGAGACATTCGTCCAGGACCGGGGCCGGAGAGACCCATGTGGTCCACGAGACCGCATGCCCAACGAGAGAATTCTCCCGCCGAGATTCGCTTCTGCGACGTGTCATCGTCATCCGAGACCGAGCAGAAGACGTTCTCGGAAAGGAAACGAGCCACTGTCTCCGTGAGGCCGTCAAAAGATTCCATCAGGAAACGGATGGGGTCTTGGCAGTAAGCGGAGAAAGAAGGGCAAGCCGTCGACGGCTCTGTGAAGGGGCTTCGATGGAAGAGAAGGTTGAGGAGTACCACACCGAGCGACCAGATGTCGGCTTGCTTGGGGTCGTAAGTCTCAGAAACATTGTTGTGGCACTCGAACGCCATGTAAGGTTTGCTTCCACACTCGAAGTCGTCGCAACGGTCTTCAGCTGTGGCCAAGCCGAAGTCAGTCATCTTGACGATAACCTGGGTGTCCTCGTGACTACTCTCGACCAGAGTGCTGGCGCTGGTATCTGGGCAGGCTGACTGCATCTCTTCGACGGTGCGGCGGTCTTCAACGATGAAGTTCTCTGGCTTGATGTCGCGGTGACTGACGCCTCGATCATGGCAGAATTGGACGGCATCACAGATCTGTCGGAACATTCTAGCAATGAGCCTGATTCGACGCTTGGAGAGCAGATTGTGACCGGATGTTGAAGCGAGCAGAGATGGAGAGGGGGGCGTTGCATCCAACGATGAGCCCAAAGCTCCGTAGTTGTCACTGTCATTACCTGAGCCTACACGGCGCAGGGGTGATACGGCATGATCATCCTCCGCGATGGTCTTTCCATACACCTCTTCGACGGTGGCAGTCGTCTGGCCCGCGTCTTGGGCCTGTTCCAGCCAGTAGTACAAGTCTTGACCCGGACAGTATTCCAGAATCAAGAAGAGCCAGTCCGGTGTCTCGTAGGTGCGGTAGAGCGTGACGATGTTTGGATGTGCTGGAATGGACTGATGGATTGTGGCTTCTAGTCGCTGCACCTCAAGCATGTCCTCTTCAAGGTCGCGTTTGCACAAGCACTTGAGAGCAAATTCCTTGCCAGGACACAGACGAGTGTCAATCTTGAGATCTTTTCGCCTTCTCTCCTCAAGAGCTGGCGAATTGTGGAAGCCTTCGTCCTTGCCCTTACCGTCCGCTTTCAAGGTGGTGCTGAGAAGGTCTTCGGATGAAGCCACGATGGTGAGATCGGCGTCGTCGGATGGGTTTCGCCCATGAGCTTCAGAGACGCCGGAGCGACAAGTTGAATTGGGGATTGCGACACTCTTCTGAGAGGTGTGGGAAGCGGCCTCCTCGGCGCTGACTTCTCTTACCAGATAGACCACCGCGTAGCTCCCCTCGCCGAGCTTGCGAATGACTTCAAGCTTGCTTCCGGTCAAGTCCTCGTTCTGATCGACGAATCCGGATGTTGTCTCAGCGATCTTGATGACATGGCCATCATGCTCAAGACCAGGCCCGAGCAAATCACCAATCTCGAACACATCCCCCAGAGGGTGACTTTCGAGAGCATAAGCACTGCCATAGCGACTCAACGGATGGCCTTCTGACGCGCCGTACTCCATCATGTCGGCCAGGTCAAAGAACTCTTGCTCATTGTCCTCGGTTGTGACGGAGTTGCGATCCAGTTCTGATGCAGCCACATCAGACGCCGCTGCTTCTCTGCGGACGAGCTGGGCCCTAAGCTTGGCCAATAGCGAAGCGCTATCGAGAGGCTGTTCGAGAAGATGAGTGGTGTTGGGAGCAAATGCGGGGACTTCGCCATCTTCGGATGTGGATGCAGCTGCTGCAGCTGCGGCATTACGTTGCTGCTGATCTGCGATCAAGTCCGGGAGATGGATTGACATGTTGCTCTGCCGTCCCCGCGATGGGGCTCGTGAAGCATCATCTGTCTGTCCATCTTCTGGAATGCTATCCGGGTTATAGAAGGGCACAGTGGAAGGTGGTCGGCTGGTAGGTCGGCTGAGAGAGATGGAAGATTCTCTGGAGCGAGACAAGCCTCGTAGGCTTGGCGTCCTGACTCGATCATAGTGAGCAACGCTAGACTTGAGACCCGATACGCTTCCGCTGTTGCGCAAATGAGGCGGACGGTAGACACCAATACGACTTGAGACGGTGGGCGAGTTGGGAGAGAAGACAGATGAACTTCTTCGCGAATGCGACATGGTGTGGCCGGCACCTCCAGAAACGACAGAGTTGAACGACTCACGACGAGATGCTGGACCCGGACGAGTCTGTGTGCTGGTCCAGTTAAGAATGGAAGCAATGCTGTTGACGACTCGGTCGCCGTTTGTCGGAGCTTCGGCGATGACCGGTGGATGGCGGCTTACTGGCGATAGAGTGCGATGGCTGAGCTTGGGCGAGGTAGTCGGACTAATAAGAACAGGAGTGCCAGTGACACTGCCAACGTTCTGTCGATGCGGCATGCTGGCAAATACAAGGGGCGAGCGCTTAGGCGATGACTGCACATTGACGTTCGGGCCGCGGTTGAAGAGCGAGGTGCCTGAGAAGCCCCCTTCTTGACGTGTGAAGAAAAAGCCGGGGCTTGGAGTACGAGGTGCATTGTTGACAGAGGCGTGGAAGTGCTCCAGCGGGCCTCGAATGGATGGCGATGTTCGTAACGAGCTTCCGGGAGAACCCTCGATCTGTTGACCAATTTGACCAGGACCAAGGGATTTGTCGGTGCTCGACTCGCGAACGCGATTGGGCGTATTAGGAATGCTGGGTAAGGAGCTGGTGGGAGTAAGCATCCAGTTGTCGTCGCGATTGGAATCTTGCTTGCCAGGCTGACCAAGCTGGGATGTGTGACCATCCTTTTGCACCTTGAGCGGTGTCGACGTTTGTGGAAAGAAGTGGGAGCCCTCTGGTTCAATGCGCAAGGGATGGAGATGAGTTGCCGGACCTGTTGTGGGGTTCTTCTCGAGTGAAGATGGGAGTGGCCAGTGATGACGTGCCGTTGGAAAGTTAGAACCTTTAGGCTTAGTGGGTGAGGTGCCGAGCTCGGGCGCTCTACCGATGATACCGTTGCCCATGCCACTAGGCTTGATGGCATGAGGAGCATTTGGGTCGGGGTGTGGATGATGACCAGGGACCCAGTCAGCGTCGAGCATACCCGGCTTCTCGCGCTTCAGACTGGAGGAGAGCAGCGAGGGCTTGGAGGGGGGCTGTGAGCGTGAAGAGGACCGGGGATGTAGTCTTGTAGAACCAGTAAGAGGATGAGCATGAGCCCTCCAGTTGTCATTGGGTTTGTCTTTGTCTTTGCGATTTGCATGATGCTCTCGAAGCCCATGAGCTGGAACTGGCTGAGGGCCGGCGCCGACCTGACGTCCTCGCCGCCAGCTGGGAGCGTTACTGCTGGCTGCTTGTGTAGGCATTATGCGCTGAGACTGCGGATGGCACCGGTTGAAGAATTTCTACCTTAGGTTTCGTAGAAAAAAAAACGAACGGAGTTGGAAGTTGTGGAATAGGGTGCTTGAGCTGAGGCTGATTTCAGTTGTATAAAGCCAATACATGCGCCGAGGAAGGGGGCGCCCTTTCGGGGAAATGAAAAGCCAATAATGACTTGAGAGACGGGTTAGGTCATGCCGTAGTTGTTCAGAGTGTAAGAGATGATATTGTAGTCGCGAGCTTGACGTGTTTGGGCTGCGCTAGTCTGCAGGGGGGCGATGGAGCTGGGTCAAGTTGAGGTTGACATGGGAGGCAGAGCGACGCTGATTAGGGATGGATGCCTGTCTTTGAAACAGCTGGAAAGGTAGGGGCGAGGACATTCGATGACAGTCTGATTCGGAGTGATATCTGATAGACTGAATAGCAGTGATAGAGGTTTGATGGTGCGATGATGCGATGATGTCGAGTAGGTTGATGATTTCGAGAACCGTGCAGGTAGAACAGTCGAGGATGCAGGTTTGCGGCAGGTAGTTGTTGAACGGAGGGCTGCTGTGAGAAGTCTGATAAGGAAAGATGATGAGAAAAGCGAGATGATGGAAATGAGCCACCTATGCGTCGTCTAGCAGTCGTCGCCGATGGTCAACGGACGACGAGGAGAACTGCTTCTTGCTGCTGGAACGAAACAATGGTGGTGAACGGGTTGACTGTCGCCTTTGGGTTGCAGATGAGCAGTGCAACGTGGTGACGAACCCTCGACGATCGCTTCCGGACAGAAGTTGATGGTGGAGGAATCTAAAGGCGTAGTCTTGCTACTGAATTGGTTTGGTTCCATGTATTGAGAGAGGGTCCGGGCCAATATTGATTATTATTATTTTTTGATTTTTTTGATTTTTTTTAATTGGTCGTGACGGTGGACCTGCTCTGTGTCTGCCGCAGAGTGTTGATTAAAGCCTTGAGAAAATGCAATTTTAAGGCCAGCAGCACAGAACGTATGGCCCATGCAGCCGTCAAAAAAGGGAAGACGAGCAGGTTCATGGGTGACACAGCGAGCAACTGCACTGATACTCATCACACCATACCTCACTCGCGGCTTGCAGAGTGACAAATGCTCCCATCAAGGTCTCATCTGCACACTACAATCCTTGACCGACACTCGAAATTGCTAGCCGAGCGACACAATCACAGCCGATGTTCCAAAGCTATCGTGGCAAAATTGTTTTTGTCTGCAGGTTATATCCCACTAAGGTGTGGGGATTAAACAATCTAACAAGTGTTCATGCTGTGTCTGAGGTTCCACCAACTACCCCACAGTAGTGAAACAAGGTTCGGAAGGGGAGCTTCAAAAGCATTGATCTTGTGCTACTTACCACCGCCATCATGGTTCGTGCGGCAACGGGACAAGTTCTGTGCTTCTCTTCCGACACTGCTTTAGCGCATCCTCTGTGCGATCGAAAGCTTTGCATTCGAGACTCGCTCTGAGTTGCATCCATAGAACCAAAACGGTCTTCTGCACAAGGCACTGTGTCGGTGTACGTCGACACACTAGGCGTTAGGAGCTGGATTTTTCAATGTTAAGTCCAACTATCGAACAAACCTTGTTGGTGTCGCTGCTCACGTGATCGAGCCAACCCTAACTCAGAGATCAACACCAACAGTTCGAATGCTGTGTGTGCTTTTTTGGCCGCGCTGAGCTGCAGGTCCCACGTCCAACACTTTCAGCTCAAGACTTCCAACACAGCGTCTTTCCGTTTCAGCTCTCTCGAGCAATCATCCTCGTTTCTCACCTTCGCCACTGCAAGCGCTCCAAATCTCTCGTCACCTATTGCCGCTCATACTAGCTGCCGCCACCTGCCAACACCACAGCTGAAAGCGACTAGCAAACTCAGCAGCACACCACATTCTAGCTCCACCCAAGCATCCCTTCCAACATGTTCAACAGCAGAGCGTCATCCAGCGCAGCGATCAAGCGTCTCACTATCGAGTACAAGCAGCTCTCAACAGACCCCAATTCGCTCTTTCCAGCTGTCGGCCCCATCTCCGAAGATAACTATCTAGAATGGGAGGCACTCGTGCCCGGTCCAGACGGCACTCCCTTTGAGGGCGGTGTCTTTTCAGCACGCCTCAGCTTCCCTGCATCATATCCGCTCGAACCACCAACTATGCGCTTCGACCCTCCCATCTTCCACCCGAACGTATATGCCGATGGTCTTGTATGCATCTCGATCCTTCACGCCCCAGGAGACGACCCTAACATGTACGAATCCTCGTCTGAACGCTGGTCTCCCGTTCAGTCCATCGAGAAGATCCTGCTCTCTGTGCTAAGCATGCTCGCAGAACCGAACGTCGAAAGTGGTGCCAACATTGACGCCTGTGTAAGTACGCCAAAAAAAAACAACAAAAAACACACACACACACATCTCGTTTTGCGGAGGGACTCTGAGCCACTGACATTACTCCGCTTCTCTTCTGCCAACAGAAAATGTACCGAGACGACCGCGGAGGATACGAAAAGATCATTCGCGACTCAGTCAAGGAGCAGCTCGGCCTGTAGTCTCAGCTTACCCTTTTTATCGTCATTGTCATCACTTTGTCACGCGCATAATCACAGTATAGCAAAAAGAACGCTGGAGATGCTTTGAGGATTGCGTTTTGGACGTGTGGCTACGCAGGATTTAGTCCAAGTGCCAGGCGCTTTCAGTCCATCCAGTGCAGGAACAGCAGCGCCAGACCGCTACCGACGAGGAAGATCGAAAGAAATTTGTCCGCTTCTCGACTACGTTGCCTTGCCTTGCGCAGTTCTTCGTTTCCCCGTCCAACCTCAGTGCCGACTCCTATTGCCTCATCCAGAAGCTGGTCCGTGATCTCACCTTGTTGCTCTAGCTGTTGCACCACCTGTGTCTGCAGTTCGCTGATCTCGTACAGCCTCGACTCAGCCTTCTTGATCGCAGCCAGATCCGATTCCAGCGACTTGATCAGCTCGGACGATTCGTTTTCAAACATCTCGATCTGTGATGCTGAGAGTTGCGCACTGATGTCCTTGCCAACCAGACTTGACTCTGATTCTAATTCTGGATTGAAAGAGCCGCCAACACTGCCTCGAATCACTGCCGGTCCTGAGGAGCCCGATGATCTTGGAAGGCCTGCTTGATCTTGAAGTTGCAGTCTGGAGTTGGCAAGCGACTTGGTCTTTTCGCGCTGAACCCTGAGTCGAGCTTCCTGCATGTCGCTCTGCAGTGATGAGGCTTTTGACAAGAGTGTCGATAGATACTGTGTGATTGAAGCTCGGTGCGCTGAGATGAGCGAAGAAGCCAAGATTGACGTCGACGAGTCTCTTGCGGTAGACAGAGCAAGAAGACTGTGGAGGGGCGAGAGTGCTGTCGGTGTTATTGGTGCATTCTTCTTGCGTGCTTCTTCTGCTCGTTCTAGCTCCTTAATGCTTTCCAGACATCGCTTGATCACCACTTTGATCTGAAAATCGATCTCGTCTCTCTGTGTGTCGCTCAGTGGCCCTGTGAATGCTTTCCACTTTGTGAAGGCTGATCCTGCACCCCCTTCTTCATTGTCTTCTGGTGTGTCTGCTCCATCTTGACCTTCTCGCAGGTGATGGACGCGAGACTTGTTACCGAGCGCAAGGTACTTTCTTCGTATCGAGTAGAGAAAGCCTAGCAGTGAGATGATGTGTTTGCGAATGATGTAGGCTTGTGCGAGCCATTGCTTGTGGGCTCGCACCACATTCTCTGGTGGATCCTTGCGCTTGAGAGGTTTGAGAGCTGATGCTGAACTTGACGATGGTCGATAATCTTGCCCTCGTTTTGCAAGGAGGCTTTGAAAGTCTACAGTCAAATCGGTCGCTGGCGGCACGCGAGTCTTCCGTGAGGTCGACATGATCACAGGAGTGATGCTACCTTTTGCTGACAAGCAGTCCGTGGAAGGACGGAACGGCTGGCTAACGAGCCCGAATCGGTGAGTGACTGATGGTCGTGTTGCAATCCTGGTGTCGAAGCCGATGTGGAGAAAATTTAGCAGCCACGCTGGAACGATGGCCCGCGCTCAAATTCAGAAGAACATCCCTGCCTTGCTTCGACGATCCTTTCGAAGACAAAACGTCAAATTCTGTCCGTTGGTCAACGGAGAAGGCATTGGCTACGCCCCTATCTCACCGGACACCTCCCGTCTCGAAACGGAGCAGGCTCACTTCGCAAGGACCGCAACAGATAATGTCAGGCTCAAGTCGCACATGAGATCCAGCATCAAAAGCAATGGATCGTTTGACCAGCCTGATCTGGCTGGGCGGCCTTGTCTGCCTGCTGGTTCTTGTGTCCTGGCGAACGATCTCGTGTCCATACACCAAAGTTGAGGAGAGCTTCACAATACAAGCTGTCCATGACATCCTCAGCTACGGCATCGGACCTCAGGCCCTGCAGCGGTACGATCATCAAGTGTTTCCCGGAGCTGTGCCACGTTCCTTTGTCGGGCCTATCCTCCTCGCTGCCCTGTCCTATCCTTTCATCCTGCTGTCGCGACTCTTCGGAGCAGTCGAGACCTCTGCAGATGTTCAAAGCGTCGTTCGGCTCTGCCTAGCAGCTGCCAATGTGACCTCTATCGCCTTTTTCTGTCAACATTGCTTTGCAACAAGAGCAGCTGTGGGCAAAGCGTCTGCATCGCGTACTTCGAGCAACGACCGAACAAAAGCGGGCCTCTTTCTCGTCATCACGGCAGTGCAATTCCACTATGCATTCTGGGTCAGCCGTACGATACCCAACTCGCTTTCGCTGCCATTTGTGGTCGTTGCGATGGCTTTAGTATGTCGCAACATTAGAACTCAAGCAACGAGGTCAAATCGAGGGCAGCACGATGCAAGGATAGCCATCTTACTGCTCACGTTCAGTGCTGTTGTGCTACGTCTCGAAATAGTAGCGACCATCCTTCCTGTCGGGCTCTACCTTCTCGCAACCGGCCAAATCAGTCTCGTTAAGGGGCTCAAGACCGGGATCGCCGCAGGAGCCTTCAGCATCCTTATCACGACCATGGTCGACACATACTTCTGGCAAGATTTGACCAAGGCAGAAGCGGTGAACATCCTCAGCATCTTCGTCAAGTCGCTCAATGGGATGAGAGATGTTCAGCGCCCGAGGCCCCTATGGCCAGAGCTCGACGCTCTGCTGTTCAACGTGGTCGAGGGAAAGAGCAGCGAATGGGGTGTCTCTCCATGGCATGCTTACTTGACGTCTTTGGTCCCGAAAGTTCTTGCTTTCACAAGTCCACTGTTTGCCATTGGAGTGCTGCAGCTCATTCGAAGGAAGCCATCAGTAGCTGACGAACGAGCAAGATTCCTGCTGCTGACCGCAGCCACACACATTGCCGTCCTGAGCATTCTCGGTCACAAGGAGTGGCGATTCGCTTTCTACATTCTACCAGCGCTCAATGTCGTGTCCGCTATCGGCGCTTGTTCACTAATGCGCTCGTGGCCCGGCAGAGTAACTCTAGCCTCGCTGCTCCTGTTTCAAATTGGCCTGAGCTGGTTCACAGGATACCTCAGCGGCATCAACTATCCAGGAGGCGAAGCGCTCAAGCTGTTGCATCTACAGCCAAGCCTTACTGCGACTCCGGGCGTCAAGGTCGTGGTCCACATCAATGTGCTGCCAGCGATGACTGGAGTGACGCTGTTTCAATCTGTCAATCTGGAACGAGACCCTTCGCCTGGACTCTTCGATCGGCTTGCAGACACCCTGCCTGCTACATGCGAATCAGACAGCTGCTGGGTATACGATAAGACCGAGGACCTGCCTCTTTCTGGCCCTGCTGCCTCAGCGGCGTGGTCTGGCTTTACGCATCTCATCACAGAAGCGTCAGACTGCGGTGTCCTGCAAGACGAATCGGGAGAAGCCTTGCCACAGTCCGAACAGCCATTTGAGATGATCACTCCGCCCATTAAATCTTTTGCTGGTCTGCGACGGAAGAGCGTATCGCAAATTAAGGCAGACCTTTTGAGGCTTCCAAAAGCTCTCTTGTCTACCCTTCCATTTGCCGGCGGCTCAACGGGACAAACCTCATTCGATCATGCAATGCGTCTCGCACTGCCTGTCATCATTGTAGAGCAACCTTCCATATGGCTGTGTAGACGCAAGAAGTAATCAACGTTCCTGTTCATATCCATCTTACAACGTGTGTATTCTGTCTGTATGGAGTGTCAAAGCTGAAAGCCGCGGAATCTCTGACAAACAGCGGGACGTGTTCCGAATTCCGTTCCTTTCTGCAACTTTCTCCACTTTTTTCCCCCACTAGCCTTGTTCATCATCATCTCTTGTGCAGCACCGCATCCCGACGACCTGAAACATGTCGCAATCGCAGTCCGAGCTTCGCCGACAAGGCATACATGAGAAGGCTCGCGTCAAGATGATGGAAGATTTCGAGCGGCAGAAGGCCGATCTGGCAAAGGAGGCGGAACGTAATCGGACTGGCTCTGACCGTTTCGTGGGCAAGAACGACTCAATGGAAGATGCGCTGAAGAAGTCGACAGTAGGTCTCGTTCATCTCGAAGACTTCCAAAAGCTGCGATCTGAACTCGAGGAGGAGAAGCGTAGAGAGGCAGCACGCACCAACGAACTGAAAGCGGACGACAGAGCTGCTAAGAAGAACAAGAAGGTCAAGAAAGAGAAGGCAAAACTTTCGTTTGCTTTCGATGACGAAGAGGAAGACAGTGGTGTTGTACCGTCGACAACACAAGCATCATTAACAAACGGCAAGAGAAAGCGAAAGTCAAATGACAATCCGGCCAATGGCGACAGCCTTAACGATCCCGAGGAAGACTCGCCGCCAATCACCAAGAAGACAAGCCTGAAGAACCCCAACGTCGATACATCTTTCCTTCCGGATCGAGATCGCGAAGAGGCCGAGAGACGTATGCGTGAAGAGCTACGGCAGGAATGGCTCAGGAAGCAGGAAGAGATGAAGAAGGAAGACGTCGAGATCACATACTCTTACTGGGATGGGACAGGTCACCGAAAGACCGTCATGTGTAAGAAGGGGGATACCATCGCACACTTCCTCGAACGCTGTCGACAACAAGTCTCCGAGCTACGTGGAGTGTCGGTGGACAGTATGATGTACATCAAAGAAGATCTCATCATCCCACATCACTATAGCTTTTACGACTTCATCGTCAACAAAGCAAGAGGCAAATCTGGTCCACTCTTCAACTTTGACGTACATGACGACATCCGACTCGTAGCAGATGCCAGCGTCGAGAAGGACGAATCACACGCCGGTAAGGTTGTTGAAAGGTCATTCTACAACCGAAACAAGCACGTCTGGCCTTATAGTCGCTGGGAAGTGTATGATCCGAAGAAGGACTATGGCAACTATACCATTCACGACCGCAAAAAGTAGATCAGCAAGCTTTCTCTTATTTCCCCTTTGCGCACACTGGGGCTGTACTTGTACCACGCATATAAACCCATCTCTCAATCATTCGTTCTAAGACTATACAACTTGTTCATTCGATTACGATCGCTAATCAGTCGGAAGCACCGACTAGGTTTCAACCATCGTCCTTCAGCGCTTGACATGCATTGCTAAAGTTCCCACCCTTCACACAGATGTAGTCTCTGTCCCAAGTGGATACGGCAAAGATCGAGATAGAAGGAGCTGCAAGACACTTGCTCAACTCGAGAAGCACTCCAACCAGGCGAAACTCCATCGGTCCTCGAATGTGGAACGCTCGCCACGGTCCATTGACACCAAAACCATCTGATTCAGCCTTGTTGCCGTTTGGATTGAGCTCAGCTTCCAGATCTTCCCAGCTGTGCTTTGCCGATGTAGAGACAAGGAAACTCAGTTCTCGCTGCGTTCGAGAGACAGTGCAGAAGAAACACTCTGTATCTTTTGGATCGACAGGCTTGCTGAGCCGCTCGAGTATTGTTGGCGTAACACGAGCTGTCGGAGGAAGCCGTGCTAGCATGTAAGCGTCTGGTTGGATGAGGACTGATACATTACAACACCAAGGTTCGCGGTCACGTCACTGTTAGCACTATAGCTACTTGCAACGAGCAAAGACGCAGAGAGGGGCCCTGCTTACCATCTAAATTAGGATATTGCGACTTCCCGGACTGCCAGTCTCTGGCAGCCTCTTTGTCGTTGATGTTGTTGGAGGCATCTACAGACATGATTGCTACAGGGGACAAGGACAAAGAGATGGCGCTTGGATCTCGAACGCTCTGATCTATTCCGGAAGGTGCTTGTGGAAGACCAGAGGGTGTAATGGCGCAAGCTTCGTCGTCAGTTGTACGTAACACCATAACGTGGATGCTAGTGGGAGGGCGTGCAATCACAAGTCCACCAGTTCTTATTCTGTTGAAGGGCGTGCGTCAAATGTCGATGATCACAAGTATCGATTGCGATAAGGAGCATTGCTAAGTACATGATGATCGCCACTGTATATATATGTTCCAGTGTTATGTGTATACATGTGTGTTTACAAGGACAATACGGCCGAGTGAGTGAAGTTGGCGTTACATGTGAGCTCGGAGTTGAAGTTATATTACTCCGAGAGGTCACATGCTTCCACTTATTCGCGTAAAGTTGTCGAAAATGGCGTTCAATTTTGAGGACATGAAAAGCAACGGCGCCACGCGATCAAGGCAGGGCTGAGAAGTGTGCGCGCAGCCGAGAAGTGACACAGGACCCGATGCACGCACGGCTCGTCGCAATCCCACCAAACAGACTTTACCTGCATCGTAGTTGGCTTCTGCATCCATCAGCCTCTCTCCATCTTTTCGTTCCGTCTTGGCACCATCTTACTGCTGCAGTGCACTCGTGGAAGGAAGCAAGCTGCCAGTGCAGCAGGAATCATCACAGTCCTCTAGCCGGATCCGTACCTTGACGCAACGGAATGTTTTTGCTCTGAACTGCAGGACGTTGCAGCCGACGTCAAAAGTTCGTCACCGAGTCAATCACCTTCCAGCAGCATCTCGTCTGGAAAAAAAAGTACCACTCCGCACTGTGCAGCTCTGCAGCTCTGCAGCTCCGCTACTCCGCTACTCTGCCATGTCGCAGCCTGTCAATTCATTTGCGGCTCCCTCTGCAACCTTGGATGTGGCTAGAGGCCTTACAAACACAGGTGCCAGTCTCTCGGCAGCGCCTTACGGCACCTCGTACCGATCCACCACGGGGAGCTCTGTCGTCTCAAATGGAAGTCTGCTTGATCTCTACGCACACTCGCCTAGCTCGGTGCCAAGCTCTGTAGGCGCAGAGGGAGCTTTCGCTAACACAGCAACCGGCCCTACTTCCTCACCCATGCAGTCTACCGCTTCGGCTTCCTCTCCCAACGGCATATCCATCACACCAGCAACATGTGGCTTCCAGACTCCAAGTCATGCCGAAGTCTCGTCAACAGCAGGCTTCTCCATTCCTCCCAGCGACAGTAATGCTTCTGTCTGGACCACCGCCTCCGCCTCATCTGCTGCCTCAACATCCGATTCCATCCCGCAAAGCAAGCGCGCATCCATGGCTGGATTCGACATCGATGCCATGCGTAGCATAAGACCAGCTCATGACACCAATATTCCCAAACCCTCAGCCTTTGAGCTTCCTCACCCATCACATATTGGAGTAGAAGCTCCTAACGACGACAGCGACGGCTCGCACTACGACGACGAAGAGATGCCTGAAGGTCTTTCTCACGATTCTTTCGACCGCTCAGCCGACAAGACAGTAGAGGCTGCGACACCATGCAATGATGCTGCTGAGATAGATGATGAGCAAGCAGAAGAGATCTTCTCCAATGCTCTACCCTCTCCACCTGTTCCAAGGCGCACCAGCAGTGTGATGCAGGACAGCTTCACCATTTCACCAAGTCCCTCGTTGACAGAGGATCTCGTTCGAGTAGACCCATCCCTCGCCAGGCATGCAGCTTCTCGCTCAGTCTCTGGCCAGCTCTCAAGTGATCTGATCCCACAGCGACGCAGTAGCACCGACTTTCGCGACGACGTCATGCGCAGACAAGCTTCCAAGGAGCCCTTACAGGCTACGCAGGAACCATCTGCTGGCTCTACCCCGGTCCCTGCTGCCGAGAGTGTGCCCGGTACTGCCACGCGTGGCTACATCAGCCCAGCGAAAGGAACCACACTCTACCCTGTTGACGAGAATGCTCGCCTTTCCAACGAGAAAACAGGGGACGGCAGCAAGTCTTCGCACGAGCCGAGTATTGAAGAGCAGAAGAGGCTGGAAAGAGAGCTCCTCGCAGAGGCGGACGAGTCTCGGCCCAGGACGCTGAAGGAGGCCCGTGAGCGAGCTAAGCTGCGCAAGCAGCAAGGCGACAGCGTCTCTCCGTCGGCATCGGCAACTTCTCCGCCGGGCGCTACACAGACAATGTCGAGTCCAAGCAAGGGTGCTTCTCTGCATATGCGTGATGTCGCTTCTTCCGCTACAGCTGCATTTGCCGACGACAATAACTCTCGCAGCAGCATTGATTCGAAGGATCGCCCCTTGCGTAACCCCAAACGCATATCCAATCGAGAAGGTGCACTTACCGCAGAACGTCGCTCGATGTCTGAGCGATCGGCTCCTTCCGACTACTCTCATGACTCGGGTGCCGAGGGCGCTTTCACGTACGACGAGGGCGCAGTGCAGTCCAATCAGCAACAGTCCTCAAACATGGATGACCTTACAGACACTATCGACAATGCTATGAACGACCTGAGCTTCGGTAGTGTCGACGAGACGCTCTCAGCCGAAGACGAGCTCACCACTCCGTTGCCACCTCAGACGCAGCCGCGCGAGGGGAGCCGGCCGCCGATTCCAGCTTCTCTGCCTTCGGCACGCAGCCTGGCTAGCGTCACGGGCGTCCAGCAGACCAAAGCACAGGATGCATTCAGGTCTAGCCCCCTTGCCTCACCAGTCAGGCAAACGCCACAGACGCCAAAGGACAACTTCTTCCCGTCGTCCCTTTCCGGTCAGCGACTAGCAACCCCACCGATCACTTCGCCCGTTCATCAACGTGCAGGTCAGGACCCTATCACGCCTCAGCGCTCTACCACCTTGCCTCCGCGGATCGAGGTCTACGGCAAGACTGTGCCGCTGCCAAAAGCTTTTGCCAGCAGTAACATCGTTGTTGACAAGAAGCGCATGTCGTCCTGGGAGCGAGCACGTACTTACGCTCAGTACACGAACGAGCTGCTGCATTTGGAGACAGGCTTGAACTTGTGGATGGAGGTGGTGCAAAGACCAGCTATGCGTCAGCAGAACAACCGTGCGGCTCCAGGCAAACAGGGCGATGACTGGTTGACGCAGGGTACGCTGCCGAGGTCAACTCACGTTCGCAACGAGGGGTCCTACGCCGACTCGATCCGTTCTGACATGACCTTTCCTATGCGCGGTGACGGTGCAAAAGCGAAGGAGATCGTTTCGGTGATGCCGACCATGGTCGAATCGCCGGTCCGCACCCCAGTCAATCTGCCATATCCGGGAGTCGTCTCGCAGCAACAGCAGCAGCAACCGCAGCCTCAACCTCGGTCCAACTCTACTCAGTCTTTCTCATCGATCTCGGGCAGTACTCTACCAATGTCCACATCTGCTACTGACTCTCTGTCAGGTACCGGTAACACATCCAGGAGCTCTGGGATGGGTGGCGGAAACCGCTTCTTCGGAGGGCTTGGTCGGAAGCACAGTAAGCGAACACAGCCTTCTGCACCCATTTCGAATGCCCCTGCACCTTCACACTTCTCTTCAGCCGCGACAGCGGTTAGAGGCTCACGTGCCTATCTGGCGAACAACCGGAACAAGAGCGCTGCATCATCAGCTGACCTCCCGGGTGTTCCGAGTGGTTCCTTGCCTGCTGCCCGACCCAGCATTGATACGTTTGAGACGAGCTATTCCAGCCACAGCCGACCAGAGAGCCCAGCGACAGGGCCTACGCGTATCACAGGTCTGGGTATTGGTTCGTCGAGTGGTGATGCGTCACTGGATCAGCTAGCATCTGCCTCAACAGGCAGATTGAACTCTGTCCAAGAACATAGGTCAAAAGGTGGCAAGTCCATGACCTCGCCAGCGGCCATTACGACTTCCGTCTCCACTGCCAGCACGAGCAGCACAACCGGCCTGCGTGCTCCGCTTGGACCTCGTGCGCCAAACATGGGCAGCACCAACGCAGGACCCTCGTATGACATGAAGCGAACAGACTCCAACCAAACTCAGACTGGCACCATCACACCTGTCACACCGATCACGTCCAACACTGGAGGCTTTGGTAGCGGTCCCACCTTTGTCTCACGTCTTGGTGGTGGAAGCTTTAGCAGCTCTGGTGGTGCTCACGCTCCACGTTCACCTGGTCGAGAGGGTTATTCTTCACCCGAGTTCCTACACACACCACGCCGAACAAGTGATTTGACAGGCACCTCACCCACATCTCCGCAGTCATCAGGCCAGGATCGCTCTTTTCGGATCGGCGGCGGTTTGCGCTCGTCATTGTCATATGGTTCGGTGAGGGAAAGGATGCGTAGCGGTTCAAGCCCAGGTCCGGATGATGAGGCTTTCCAACAAGCTCTAACCAAGCTAGGCGATGTTTTGCCTGATGCCGATACTCAAACGCTAAGGTATTACTTGAAGAAGGCAAAAGGGAATGATTTGGCTGCTATTGGAGATTATTTACAGGATCAGAGTTTGGCAAAGTTGCCAAAGTCTTAGCGGCAGACGGGACGCTGCATGCTGCCGGCGAAATTTTGTGTGCTCTTTCTGATAAAACGGCATCCCGTCTGAAGACTGTCGATGCCATCAATAGCCGCGACCCTGGATGTCGTCGGACTGTGAGCAGGTGCGGGTCAAGGCGGTAGTGAGGGAGTAGCGGAACTTGTAGCAGCTGTAGTGTGTGTGTTCAACGTTGTAGAGGCGCCGGAATGCTGCAGTGTGACCGAACTCAAGGACAGGGTCGTGTGCAATGATGGGCAGCATGCAGAAGCCATGCGAAGGGGTCGCCGAAGGGGATCATGCCATTTGGATGAAGTGGGAGGAACTCCTGAGAGCATTGAATGAAGTTGGCGCAAGAGGAGCATCACCATTGCTGATGGTGACAAAGAATGTATGAGGAGAGTACAAAGAGGAGGACTACACCAAGTGGGAGAGACCCCTAGGGGTTGATGAGGTCAATCGATCTCACCCAACGACCAGGAGCCAGAGGAGCAGGACTATGTCAAGGAGGAGCTCCCACAGAGTGAGAAGAACAGGAGGAGGACGAGCAGTATGGCAGAGGCCATGTGTCATGGGACCGGATGGATGCACAGGAAGAACTGGAATCATATGAAGAGACCATGCACAGCAATCATGGATCAGGCAAAGAGAGAGTTCTGATGGAGCTCAGTGAGATTGGTAGGCTTGAGGCTCTATGACAGAACTTGTTGGGATTGGCAGGAGCAAGGTCTTACTACAGAGTTTATCAGAATCAGTAGAACCACACTTGTATGGCAGATCTCATGGAAACTGGTTTGAAGATGCTTCTCTCACCAATCTTGTGATAGGAGGACAACAGACAAGAAAGGGGCCACCACCTGATGAGGTAGGGGCCCTATGTGACAATGAACTCAGTGTAAGAAGATGGGCACCATCATCAGGAGCAAGATGAAAGGGGGTGCACACTGCCACTGGTATGAAGTGGGGGTGACCCCTATCAATGATGAAGTGACACTAGGACTCCCTGACCACAAGAAGGAGCAGGAGAGGCAGTGCTCGAAGAAGAGGATACACCTCTTGACATAGCAGGAGCAGTGTCACAGACAACACTGCAAGGGGTGTTGATATAAGACATACATTCTACTCATGGTAGTCGAGTGGATCCCCATCCACTCTACACATTACTAGCTATATCCTTACCATAATGTATACTTCGCAGTTTTCTGTCAACAGTAGCAATTGCAGAGCATTGCTTCTATCTTAGTGTGTGTGTTGTATCACCACTACTTGATGCCATCCAAAGGCAGTACTCTTCTGCAGTCCAGATATTGATCAACACTGAAGGCAGTTTCATACTGCAGTCCAGCTCTCTCAATCTCATACTGTAGGCAGTTGTCCACTGCGGTCTGGGGATCAATCAACTCAATGGTCCAGGGATCAATCAATTCAATCAACCATTGACACTCTGGACACTTGTGTCAAGACAGATGTGTTCATATCACTCTTCAGTATTGTAAGGAGTCCACCTGGACATTGATTGTGCTGTGCTACCTCTGGACAAAGTGTCCACAGCAGTTAGTCAAAATCTGTGGTAACCCTTAGTTACAATCTATCCAAGTGAGGAAGATCATAGAAGTCTTCTACAACAGATTCCAGCAAGAAAGGTAATAGAAGACCTCTACAATAGATTTTGCCAAGGTTGATTTTAATTGACCTTTACCATAAATTTTGGGTTTCAAGTGCGCAACTGCTGACACCATGCTCCCCTCAGAAGGAGCAGGAGCAGTGTCGCTGGCGACACTGCAGGGGTCTATATATACTGCTCATTCTCTTTGTCTCCTCAAGCTCTTTGTCTCCTCAAGCTCTATCAAACCCCATACTGCAAGCAGGCATCCAAGCAATGTTGTTCATTGGGAATCTTGTGTTGTCTCTTGACTAGGTATCCTAGGTACCTTACAGAGCTCCTGCACAAGAGACCTGCCCTTCATTGATGCTTAGAGCACATAGGCCTGGCCAGCCTCGCTTCAAAGCTGTTGGAAGGGTGATACTTCACTGTATCTGTTCAAAAAGTTGTTTTTTGCCCAAAAAACCTCAAGCAATTTCGCTCAACTTTCGCATCAAGACACTCGACTGCATCAAGACTCAACCGCATCAAGACATGACCACATCAATCAGTGTCTGGTTGCCAGGTGCACGCACCACACACGGGACTGGAGACATGGGAAATGTGAGATTGCCTAACTCATGGGAGAGTCGCTGGCGAGCTCCCAGCCATGGCCGTAAGGGCCACAGGTGGTCGAGCATCACATGATAGCAAGGCGGAGCATGCCTAAGACCGAACTACAGGAAGAGAATGACAAAGGAACAAGATCATAAAGGGACAGGAGGGTGGGTGAGCTTGAAGAGTGCTGCACAGAGCCAGCACGAGAGTGAGATGATGGTGAGAAGGGAGGAGAGGTGAGATGAGGCAAGTGATTGATGAGCTTGCTCACTTGCTGCGCAGCGACTTGCGCGAGCACGCGCAGGTCACGTGCCCCGTACTCCGATCACTGAAATACGTGTCTGTACCAAACACGACTCTAGACACTCGACTGCATCAAGACACACGACTGCATCAAGACACTCGACACTGTTATCCAATGTCATAGGACCAGGTGCGCAGAAGAAGAAGTGCCCTGTGCACGAATCATGGGATTGGGCAGACAAGTGGGTTTCAACAGAGTTTGCCAAGATTGGCAAAAGAGAGACCTTATGACCAAACTCATTGAGATCAGGAGAACAGAGGCTGTATGACAGATCTTGACAAAACCTGGCACAAGGAGCTGATCACACCGATCTCACAAGATATGCCACCTGTCATAGGAACGGATGGATGCACAGGAAGAACTGAAGTCAGATGAAGTGGCCATGCACAACAATTGTGGATTGGGCTACGAGAGGTTTCTGACAGAGATCAGCAAGATCAGTAGGACCAAAGGCCTTATGGCAGAACTTTTTGAGATCTGCAGTAGCAAAGGCCTTGCTACAGAATCCATCAGGATCAGTAGCATCCAGCTGGTAAGACAGATCTCATAGGGGATGCTGATCTCACAAATCTCACTGTGAGACAGATGTCAAGGACATTGGGGTCACCACCCTGATGAAGCAGGGGGGCTGACCTGACGATGAGCTCAGGACCAGGAGGATGGGAGAGATGAAGGGGGGTGTGAGTCACCACCCAGATGAAGTGGGAAAGGCCCCTATTGGTAATGAAACAGCACAAGGACTTCCCATCCACTAGGAGGAAGAGTCAAGAGGAGGAGGAGCAGTGTAGGAGGAGATCACAAGGGGAACAAGCATGGTCACTGGCAATATGGCAAGGACATTTATATAACATGCACTTGCTCCTCATCATGATGGTGTCAGGGGTCTCGCGCCTGAAACCCAGGTCGGTCTGTCGAGATACTCGGTGACTATCAAACTGTGCGACAGCTATTGTCTCAGTATCAGTGACTATCAAGTTGTGCAGTGACAGCAGGTGGTGTTCGTTGTATATACTATCGTAGGTTTCGGCTGACCTCTGTGGACACTCCGTTCAGGGGTAGCTTGGCATGATCAATATCAATGTTATGATGACACCAAGGTCTGGTGTGAGTGTTGATGATGATGAGGTTGATGGTGTTGGTGATGAGATTGGTGATGTCGATGATAATGAGGTTGATGGTGTTGGTGATAAGGTTGGTGGCGTCAACACAAGTGTCCAGTGTGTTGACTTGATGCTTGAAGTGATCCCCGGACTGCAGTGGACTACTGCCTTCGGTTCTATCTTGATCCGGACTGCTAACCTGCTATGGGCGCCTTCGGACATCAGGTAGTGGTGATACAACACACACACTACGATGAGGAGCAACCTTTGATGGATTGCTGCTATGCTGACTGAAACTAATATATACTTTTGCTGAAGTGATAACTAGTTATGGTGAGTAGAGTGGATGAGGATCCACTCGACCTATTGATGATGAGAAAGCATGGTTATATACCTCTTCTCAGCATCGCCAGCGATGCTGCTCCTGCTCTCTCTCCAGAGAGTACCTTCTTCATCGAGTACTGCTCAGGGGCCTCTCCTGCTTGGCACCCCTGTGCCTCTTGAGCTGTGTCGACTCCTTTGACACTGCTCCTCCTCCTCATGACCTGGTGTCGACTCCTTTGACACTGCTCCTTCTCCTTTGATCAGTGACAGTTCCTTTGGCTCTTGTCTCTCGAGCCCCTGAGTGGTAACCATCTGCATGCTCCTTGAGCTTGGTCCTCTTCGTGGCTGTGCCTGCTCCTTGAGCTTGGTCCTCTTCGTGGCTGTGCCTGCTCCTTGAGCTTGGTCCTCCTCGTGGCTGTGCTTGGCCCTTCTTTGCATGTGAGTCCGTAGGAGTCCATGGCCTCCATGGAGACTGCACTACAACCATGCTCTCTACTGATCTCGACTAGATCTTCGATACCTGTGCTCCTTCCATATGAACCCGTGACCCTCCTGCTTCTTGAGCATCCAGGCCCATGACACTGCTCAGGGGCCTCTCCTGCTTGGCACCCCTGTGCCTCTTGAGCTGTGTCGACTCCTTCGACACTGCTCCTCCTCCTCATGACCTGGTGTCGACTCCTTTGACACTGCTCCTTCTCCTTTGATCAGTGACAGTTCCTTTGGCTCTTGTCTCTCGAGCCCCTGAGTGGTAACCATCTGCATGCTCCTTGAGCTCAGTCCTCTTCATGGCTGTGCCTGCTCCTTGAGCTTGGTCCTCCTCGTGGCTGTGCTTGGCCCTCCTTTGCATGTGAGTCCATAGGAGTCCATGGTCTCCATGGAGACTGCACTACGACCATGCTCTCTACTGATCTCGACTAGATCTTCGATACCTGTGCTCCTTCCATATGAACCCATGACCCTCCTGCTTCTTGAGCATCCAGGCCCATGACAGATGGTTGAGTGGAGATCCATCCACTCTACACCATATCATACTAGCTATAACTTTCACATAAGTATACTTAGTAGTTTGTCAACAGTAGCAATTGTAAGACATTGCTCCTATCATAGCACATGTGTTGTATCAACACTCATTGACATCATCCAAAGGCAGTATTAACTGTGGTCCAGATATCAATCAACACCAAAGGCAGTTCATACTGTGGTCTGGCTCTCTTGATCATAGAACCAAAGGCAGTCATCCACTGCAGTCTGGGGATCACCTCTCATTCAATCAACACCCTGGACACTTGTGTAGGCATCAACATCATCATCAGCACCAGACCTTGGTGTCATTACCCAGTATCTACAGTTATTGCTTGTGCCAAGCAACCTCTGGATGGAGTGTCCACAGCAGTTAGTTGAAACCTGCAATAGCAATCAATCTATCACATATTCGAGTGAGAGAAGTCTGTAAGCGGTCGTGCACCAGAAACCAGATTGGGTGTTTCCAATTGGTATTGGTGAGGACAATCGAGTAAGATTTACTTGGGATGTTTCAACTAAATGTAACCAGATGGCTTCATACTGGTAGGTCTCGGCTGACCACCTTGAACACTCCATTCAGAGGTTGTGTGGCATGTCTGTTAATCTTTGGAGGGAGAGTAATACACTCTCCTTTACAGTATGAGTGTTTGTGGTACTGTTGCTAATGCTCTCTAACATCGTCTGGGCTGCGATATGCTTATCTCCTACAGAGGATGGGAGTTACTGGACTGCAGGTGTTGGACACTGCCTACAATAACTGACTGGACTGCAGATGTCGAGCAGACACCACCTACAGTAAGGGACTGGACCGCAGGTGTTGAGTAACATGTCATAGGAGCCGGATGCGCAGGAGGAAAAGAGGAAGTTGAAGTCATATGAAGGAGCGCAGGAATCGCAGTATCAGGCTACACGGGAGCTTAAGGGAGAATTCGCAGAGATGAGTAGGAGAAACGAGTCTATGGTATAGTTCATTGGGACCAGTAGGAGAGACAAGCCTATAGCATAACTCGCCAGGATCAGTAGGAACAAAGCTGTTACCACAGAGTTCAGTGGGGATTGCAATATCATGCTGAGTATGACAGGTCTCATGAGGATTGGTCAGGAAGGCACCCCATCACTGATATGACAAGGGGAGGATACCATACAAGGGGAGGACAGTTGCCACCATATGAAATAGGGACCTTGCACAACAATGAAGTCGATGCAAACAGATGGGTGCTAATGACAGGAGGGTAATGAACAGACAGATGCAAGTTGCCACTCAGATGAGGTGGGACTGACCCCTGATGATGATGAAGTAGCACGAGAACTGTCTGTCCATATGAAGCGAGAGAAGCAGCGAAGAAACAGCACCAAGAGGGTGGACAGGATAGGAAGGACAAGGAGGAGAAGCAGAGTTGATGAGGCCTCCCAGGGAAGGAGCAGTGTTGCAGGCAACATCACAGGGATGGTTATATAACCATGCTCCTCATCATAGCAAGTGAGTGGATCCCCATCCACTCTACACCATACATGACTAGTTATCACTTCAGCATAAGTATACATTAGTTTTAGTCAGCACAGTCACAAACAAGTAGATTGCATCCATTGTAGCAAGTGTGTTGTATCACTGCTCACTGATGTCCAAAGGTGGTTCATAGCAAACCAGCAGTCCAGATAACAATAGAACTGAAGGCAGTTGTCCATTGCAGTCTGGGCATCACCTCAAGCACTCAGTTGACACACTGGACACTTGTGTCAGCACTACCAAACATATCACTCACACCAGATCTTGGTGTAGTTGCAATACATTCATCATTATTGATTGTGCCAAGCTACCTCTGGATGGAGTGTCCACAGTGGTCAGTTGAAGCCTGCAATGGCAAAGCCATTACTGCATTTTTGGGCAAGAAAAGTGATAGTGATGTCTCCACTACATATCTCACCAAGAATTGTAATACCACAAGCACTGTCTCATATCTCGATGGAATTTGTAATAGATGCAGTTCTATTACAGATATCAGGTTTTGGGTGCATGACCGCTGACATAACACTGCCTACAGTTGACGCCTAACGGTGATACAACACACACGTTCAAGGTGTCATTGTAAAGCTCTGCTATTGCAATGATATGTAACTATGAGTCAAGTAAGAGTATGTAAAGTATAGAGTAGAGTGGATGAGGATCCACTCATATGCTATGGTAGAATGAGAGTATTTATGCATTCAATTGGTGTCACCTGTGACACCTCTCCTGCTCCTCCTGAGAGGCCTTTGTCCACTTTCGACACCCTCTCTCCTGCTGGCATCAACCCCTTTGATGCTGCACCTTGTCATGGGCCTGAATGCTCAAGAAGCAGGAGGGTCACTGGTTCATATGGAAGGAGCACAGGTATCGGAGATCTAGTCGATACCAGTAGAGAGCATGGTCGTAGTGCAGTCTCCATGGAGACCATGGACTCCTACAGACTCACATGCAAAGGAGGACCAAGCCCATATGCGAGGAGGGCCAGGCACAGCCATGAAGAGGACCAAGCTCAAGGAGCAGGCACAGCCACAAGGAGGACTGAGCTCAAAGAAGCATACAGATGGTTACCACTCAGGGGCTCAAGAGACAAGAGCCAAAGGAACCGTCACCAGTCAAAGGAGAAGGAGCAGTGTCGAAGGAGTCGACACCAGGTCCTGAGGAGGAGGAGCAGTGTTGAAGGAGTCAACACCACTCAGGAGGCACAGGGGTGCCAAACAAGCAGGATAGCAAGGAGGAGGAGCAGTGCTAGAGGGGCCCCTGTACAGTACTCGATGAA